ATGCATTCATATTCGTCATTTTCTTGGGCAACTTTTGCCATTAATTCGAGCCTAATCGCGTCGCTATGATTTATCATAATTTATCCGTGATTACATCCAGAATGTGATGGAAAATGGTATAAATAATTTCTTCGTAAGAAGATCGCGGAGAGCATAAAAAATGTGAAAAGTGAAAGCCACGCCGGGAAATTATGTAAATGCGGAGTTAAAAAGTGAAACGATGTCGAGGCATTCGTCATGAGCAGCTGACCTGTACGAAACGCCGCAACGAAGCGGCGTTAAGGTGCCTTTTTACGTAACCGATCGCCCGAGTAAGGCGAATGTGCACGGAAGCGGTAATTAAGGATCAGCCTTAGAAAGAGGATGTCCTTAAGAGCGGCCGTAAATTTCCGCCGTGTACATTACAACGAAAATAATTGGGCGTAATTGTGCGCCACGTCGGGATTAATCTTCTCCTTAATTCGCAATAAAAAAGCAGCACTTTCACCTCCCCGCGTTATTACCGATTAACAATCAAGACCTCTGCCTTTCTCTCGGGAAAACCGACGGGTAAATCGGGCCCGTGAAATGTAAGTAAACAAATAAATACGTAAATAAATCGCCGTAGCGGGCGACTTTCTGTCCATAAAATGGCGGCCTAATTCATTTCGGAAAACGAAACGCGGTCCCGGGGGCTTTTACACGGTCTTTTAATCGATCCGGTTCCCCTCGTAAAGCTCGAGAGAGAGCTGCCGATTTCCATTTATCTCTCGAGTTGCCGTGTTTAATGGAAAATGCGACGACTCGCGGCTTTACGGCGACAAAATGGCGCGAGGGCTGAGTGCGCGTCGCTTCCTTTGTCGGGACTTTTCCGCGTCCTTTGCCTTTAAAGTCCGAGTTTCTCGTTATTTCGGAGGCGCTTTACGAAACCTCTGCCCTCTTTCGGCGATTAATCCGGATTATCGAGGGGCTCTTTTCTTGGGGGGTCTCTGCGAAGTCATGCAGTCGTAATGCACCTTGCACGCTGTGCACCTGTTACGTCCCAGATCCCGCCACGACACGATTTTACGATTTCCTCGGCTCTCCGACTTCTCTCAGTTCTTAAACGCGAGGAGAAAATTTATCCCCTGTGGGGACAGTTTATTGGGCCGTCCCAAACGCTCGGTCGCCATTATCAATGAACTTTGAAGAAACGTCGCGAGCAAGGCAATCAAAGTTTGTAATATAACGTCAGTCAATAATCGATAAATAGTAGGCAGTCAGTCAATAATCTAAAGGTGGCTGCACTTGTGACGATAAATCGTGGCAATAAACTGGGCAAACCTATATGTACAGATTTAATTGACGTCTGGCTAAAGGTGGTAACGTACATAGCAATGAACCGTGCAAACCGATAAGTACAAATTTAACTGTTGTTATTAACACTCGATGAAATGTAGTTGTCACTGGTGAATGTTGCAGCCGTGAATACAATCTGCAGACATTATAGATTTTTCATTGCTTATCTAACTAAAGCATTTCTACAGGTACATTTTGCTGCCCATTTTCACGTATCTCATATTTCTCGAAGCGAGCTTAATCCTTTTAGTGCCGGACAACGATATATCGTCGTTTTACAAGTACTAATTACTTTAGCTGGCGCTGAAAAAGTTAATTATTTATTATAATTGTGAATTATTCTTCTGGCGAAATTTTTGGCCATTCACTTCACGGCAGAATTTTCGGAATGTCCTTGCTCCTAATAAAAGCAAGGAGGAAGTCCTCTCCTGAATTTGGTTGCTGATACAATGCAACAAGAATTGCGACCTAGCCGGATCTCAAGAAATAATTTTTGTTTACGTAAGTTACCTTGACGGCCGCGAAACATGTCCACCTTTCACGTATTTCATATTTCTCGAAGCGAGCTTAATCCTTTTAGTGCCGGACAACGATATGTCATCGTTTTACAAGTACTAACTACTTTGGCTGGCACTAAAAAGGTTAATAATTTATTATAATTATGAATTATTCTTCTGGCAAAATTTTTGGCCATTCACTTCACGGCAGAATTTTCAGGATGTCCTCGCTACTAATAAAAGCAAAGAGGAACTCCTCTCCTGAATTTGGTTGCTGAAAACGATGCAACAAGAATTGCGACCTGGTCGGGTCTCAAGAAATAATTTTCATTTACGTAAGTCGCCTTAAGGTGAAGTGAAACACGTTAAAGAACTTGATCGACGTCGATGAAGAAGATTTTTCTAAATGCCTACGTTGCCGACGTTCGTTTTTATATTGACAGCTGTGTCGAATTATATTGGATGTTGTACCAAATGGCATACTCCATCTGTCGTTTTCGTACAATAATTATACAGAAATCGAAGTAAAACTCCAGAAATTCTCTGGATTCGTGCTTTCTGGGGCCCTAATTGACTGCAGAAAGACCCCCTGCGCCATCTGTGATTTCCAGGTCAATTAAATTTTCACTCCGAGACCTCGTATTAGTATCCTTTTAGCATAAAAGCGCATACAACACTTTTTTGCCTTTATCCCGTTCAAATGCGAGTTTATCCATTACCAGAGTGTTCTAAATTCTCGTAAAATTGTCCTGACTCTTTCGATTCTCATATCAGAGTCTTCGATAATTGTATATTGATCGAAATATGAGAGCTCGACGCCATTTTGGTTTTTGTCTGGGCTGAGTTAAACAATTTTTTCTACAAATCCAAATTGTGAGTATGTCCGGACAATTTTTATATGATCAGGAGTGATGTGTCAAAGTTTTGGACAGTTTGGTCCAATACCCTTAAAAAAAAAGTGTTGTATTCGAATCGACTGATTTGAAGGGGGTTTCACTTCACCTTAACGCCGATCGAAGTATGTCCACCTTTCGAGGTGGAACCAGCAGGTTTCCCGTCAATCGGCATTCTGTTGGGTGCCGGATATCGCAGTCGCGAAACGCGGCCCGTTTAACGGTCCGTTTCGTTACTCCTCGCGACATGCGTTGAAATAACTCATGGTAAAAAATTTTACTCGCTTCAGAAAATCTAAAGACTTGAAAATGGACCAACAAACATTTTTACCGGAAGTGCTGAATGGACCACAAAAAGAGGTCGGACTTATGCAATCATTCACTGGGGCAACGCGATTTATATTCATAGTTGCAATGAGGAAATTCGGTAGTTTTTTTTCCCCCGCTGAATCTATACATAATATAAAATGAAACCCGGGTAGGCGTCTGTGTTTTTTGTTTCAACTAATCTCGAGAACCACTGAACGGATTGTAATGCGGTTTTACTATTATCTAAAGTACACCAAGAATAGTCGATGAAAGTTTACAAACATTTTTGCACCCCTCGTAACTGAAGATTCACATTGAAAAACATAAAGTGGGAAAATTATTAATTATACAGAACATTGTGTATTTATCGTATTAGTGCGTATATATGGTACAATGGCGGACATGAATGCCTCCCCTGCAGATACGGCATCGCCTGTGCAGGATGGGAGGGCATTGATGTCTCCCAGTGTACAATGGCGGACATAAATGCCTCCCCTGCAGATACGGCATCGCCTGTGCAGGATGGGAGGGCATTGATGTCTCCCAGCGTACAATTCTTGATAAACAGGAATCGAGCTGACCTGAGTCCTTAGTGAAACATGAAAAATAGCTATGTAAACGCTTTCTTGGCTTCCTTGTGAAGCTGCTGGGTTGCTTGTTATTAATTTATTTATACTAATATATTCATACTAGCGGCAGCAAATTGTATATCGCTCATTAGCAAACATGTTCGCTGTTCGGGATTATTATATTACTGTAGTAAAAGCAAAGGTTTATCAGCAACGCTGTTCTTTCCGGCGAGCGCAAACGTCCTTTCCTTTGTCCAGGTACCGGACATACTTTGCACTTGTCCCGGATTATTACTAATTTCTTCTGTTCCTGGCAAAACTGATACCCGTACGCGAGAAAGTGGAAACGTCGTTTGAAACGACGAGATGGCCGCGGACGATGGTTACGCCGTCGTAAGCATCGAAACCGGACCTTGAAGAGCTGTCCTTTTTTAACGAGGTTTCCTGGAGTGGACTTTAATACCGAGTCTCGAAAGAGCACTTTATTAACCGGGCTCAAAAGAGTACTTTATTAACCCGACGCGAAATAGTACCTTATTATCGAGAGACCAAGAGTGGTCTTTATTAACGGGTCAAGGATCGGCCTTCTTTAACGAGTTTCCGTTAAACAGTCAACCTACGGTCAGGAAAAATAATTAACAGTCGCAATAAAAAAAAAACATTCAACTTCCTTCAGGAGCGACGACGTACTTGAAAACGAACAACGAATTTCTCGTGCAAAAATGTTTTCCCTGCGTGGGCGCGACAAAGAAAAAATCGGGATAACACAATTTATATTCATGGTTGCAATATTTTCTTCTAGTAACCACGGGTTTTATATCGCCCATTTAATAGAGTAATTGCACAGTTATTTTTTTTTTAACTGTTGCTACAAAATAATATATCCTATTCAGCAAGCACATTTTAATACGATTGCACACACTTTCGCTGTCGGTGCAATTATCACCGCGGTAGGAGATAAAACTGTGCCAATGTTTTTATTTCCATGCAATCTCATTGATGAACATTTTATATACATACGTATCTCTCGTTTCCTTCCATATTTATCGTGATTTATCCGAGGTTATACTTGCATATATGAGATGAAAAACGGCAAAGATAATTTCATTGTCTAATGGTCATGGAAGAATCCTTCTCGTCGTTAATGACGTTCCAGTTGATGCGCCGTTAAACAATTATATATATATANATTTATTTATTTTTTTAAAACTCATTTCCTGTAATCCCGTGCCCCGAGTGAAACGCTGAGATCCCGTCCGAGAGATAGAGCGATGGGTTCTGAGCCGATGGGCACTGGCAATGGCGTTAACAAGAATTTGCGTTGCTAATTGGGAGGTAATCGGACCGAGGGTGCGTCCGGATCTAGAGTAAGAGGCACCGGTGAAAAGGAGAAAATGATTTCTTTGTCATTGCAGCAAGAGCCCAGGCCGGATTTGGACGTCAGCAACGGAAGCGGCAATGGCGGTCGGCCCAGGTTCGTCCCCGTCACGGCCCTCGAAGACGTCCAGGCGGTCCGCTGTGCGGAATTTCATCCGCACGGTAAGCTCTATGCGGTCGGCTCGAATTCGAAGACCCTGCGAATATGCGCCTACCCGAAACTCAACGACGTACGGTAAGTCAGAAGTCCTTCTTGAACTGAATTAAAAAAAAAACTCGGTAGAGTTTCGCGCCAAATACAAACATGTATATATATATATAGAGAGAGAAGCGCGAAATTCACATATCCGACGCGACACTGAGAAAACGTACTTGTTAAATATAACCAATTTTGTGCTGAAAATATCTAAGCAACCCTGTAAATATGGGACAAATTTCGTTGTTGGAATCAACCGAGTGAACTTGGCTGCAATGTTATGATTAATAATAACAAACCCACACGGTTATGGTAGCTAATCTCATGCCCGATTCCACTAACCTCGGTTAAAAAGCTAATCCTCGATTAGAACGAGTTGCACATTTCACCACATTTTATCGGCAGGTTAATTTCCGTTAACCGCCGTTTAGATTAACCGGCGAAATTTGATCGTTTAGCTTCGGTTAATCGAACTTCAACCTAAAAACTGGACAAACGCGAGAAAAAAAATGGATTAGATTGAAGATGTATTAACCCCTTCTTATGACGAAACGAATGAGGACTTTTTTTTTTATTTCATTTACAATTTCTTAATGATCAAGGTACGCCTGAAAATATTTTATATTCTTAACCAAAGATTTTTACTTCTTGAGGTATGTCAAATAATTTGTTGCTTGAAGCTTGTGGGACTTCGTGTCTCGATAAGGACGCATCTATCTTACTTTCTAGTCGACCAATCACGACTATCAGCTGATCGGGTGAGCGCGTTCACCGAAAATTCAATTGACTTCGTGAGTGGTGAATACGATCACTTAATCACCCTCATATCACTTTATTGTTTTACCACTTCTGCGTAATCAAGGAAGTTCGTAAATTTCAAATTAACAAACAAATGGCAACATGATGTCAGACGGTTAATATTTATTAATTTCACGTTGTATAATTTTTTCTTAGCTTGAAAGAAAATTGGTTTTGTCATTATGAATTTCACGTTATATCATTTTTTTCTTGGTTTGAAGGAAAATTGAATTTGTTATTGTTAATTTCGCGTTATATCATTTTTTTTCTTCGCTTGAAAGATAATTGGATTATAGAGGGTTAACGGACAATTCGTTGGGCTTTGCTTATGGGTCTAAGGAGGATCTTCGAATAGCGCTTGGAGAAAGTTTCGCGGGAGAGAGAAAAAAAACGCCTCATTAACGACGAGGTCGAGGCATCGCGAAAGCGGAGGAAGAGAGGGAAGGAGGGGTGCAGGGAAATTATGGTGACGTCCCCCAACGGGCGCCATTTTCCCGGCGTTGCGTCGCCTTGCGTCACGCGATTATGGTCGTGTCGTTAAAGTCCCGAGAAGGAGGATCGTTTCGACGGGCGAACCGGTCGAGAGAGAGAAAAGTGGTCTCCATGCCGTGATAGCGGAGTAAATGTCGTCGAGCTTGTTGATAACGACGCCAGCAATTGCTGGAAATGGCGATACATCGCGTAACGACGAGTCTAAGTATAAGTAGCGACGCCTTTGAGGCGGAATCAAGGATACTTTCATGAGATAAGAGATATGAAAGGAATAAGAAATAAGAATAAAACGGAATCAACGATACTATCGTGAAATAAGAGATAAGAATAAAGGTATAAATGACGAGTAAAAAGACAATTATGGTCTTCATCTTGTAAATTCGAGTCTTACAAGACTCAGACCGATTTTCCTCGTCACTACCTCTCAAGATTATCACTATCTTCGTCTTGGTCTATCTCGGTTGAATCTTGTTCTTGATTTGCAATGATCAAGTCTTGGCAAAAAGTGCAAAACCAAAAACGAAAAGGGTCAATGCAAGACCAATTCTTCTCATCACTATATAAGGGTTTAGACGATGATTTAATCATCTTGAGGGTGAATCGCAAAAGAGAATCTTGAAGATGCAAATTGCGGTTCCCCCGATTTCGTTGCATCCTACCGTGGGAAAAAAAAACGGCGTCAAGTCGCTCGCGCACTTGGACGAGTGGGAAAGATTGCCCGTAATTAGATCGACCGTAAAACTCCCTGAGAAAGTGACGGTCCGCGCCGCCATCTTGGTTCCCTTCGTCAAAGTTCCCGGTTTCCAATTAACGCATACGTGGAAAACGCGAGCTCTGGGAAGAAAGGAAAGCACGTCAATCAGGGAAAAAGAAAGGAAAATCCCGCGATGCAGTCGGGAAAATGGCGGAGCGCCCGTGCCGCGCGACCTTTCCTGTGCAGGCGTCGAAGTCTCCTCCCTTTACCAAGAAAATGCGCTTTTCTTGTGTAACTTTTCATGGATATTGAAACGTATTCTCTCTTTTGCAGTGAGGATCATCAAACGTACCAGCCTACGGTCCTCTTCAAGAGGACGAAGCATCATAAAGGCTCCATTTATTGCCTCGCATGGACCCCCGATGGCCAACTCATGGCGACCGGAAGTAACGACAAGACGGTGAAGTTGATGAGATTCAACGCTGACACTTCCAACTTGGAAGGTAAATCTCTACTTTAGCGTGTAGACTTTAGTATCTAAGTCTATACTTAACTATACACGCAGGATACGTTTCCAAATATGCAATATCCAGAAGTATTTACCTAAGAAAAAGATATTATAAATCATGGTTTAGTGCCTATACAATAAAAATTAAAAAGATAATAATAATTCGGCGCCGAGTTTAACCGCTAGTTTTTAATGCAAGAATAATTGAGTCTAGAACATCGTGTCAACACCTTTTCCATGAAATCCTTGCAGGGCAAGAGGTAGAGCTGACGATGCACGACGGGACGGTGCGCGACCTGTGCTTCCTGGAGGACACGTCGAACAAATCTAGCTTGCTCATCAGCGGTGGAGCAGGAGACTGCAAGATCTATGTTACCGACTGCGCAACCGGAACTCCTTTCCAAGCCCTTAGTGGACACAGCGGGCCCGTGTTGACCCTCTACAACTGGGGAGGCGCCATGTTCGTGAGCGGCTCCCAAGACAAGACCGTGAGGTTCTGGGACCTGAGGACGAGAGGATGCGTCAACATGGTCACCCCCGCGACGGTCCCCGGGAGCAGGGTAATTGGAAGCCACCAACACACTGATAACACCCTGACGATCACCCAAGCACCTCATTCGAACCCGAAGCACGCCCTCTATTTGCGTTTCTTTCAGTTTTTTTCCGTTTCCGCCGTCCGATGAGGTACCCGTCCCGTTTACTCGCACCTCCATCGCTCATACGCAGCCTTTGCACCGGAGCTGGCTCCATTCGGGATGGGTACTTCGTCGGACACCCTTGAAGAAGCTGTGGAACTGTACGAATCCCCTCTGTGAGCAGCATTTGATCCCGTTGCAGGTCGGCAGCCCTGTGGCAGCTCTTTGTGTGGATCCTTCGGGGAGACTGCTGGTTTCTGGCCACGAAGACAGTAGCTGCGTCCTCTTCGACATCAGGGGAGGCAGGACCGTGCAGTGCTTTAAACCCCATGCTGCGGATATAAGGAGCATCAGGTTCTCCCCTTCGGCTTATTATCTCCTCACCGGGGGATATGATAACAAACTCGTGCTCACCGACCTGCAGGGTGAGGGTCCCAGTGGATCTTGGATGCGTTTTGTCCGGGTCGAAGAATTCAGAGGTCTCGTGGAAGTCTTGATAATGTGTTGCCGCTTGATGCTCTAAATTAACACACCTGGAACGAGGGTAGAGAGAGATTGCACGTGTGTGGGTCGGCACCTCACATGTGAGGGAAGGCGGACATGTCTAGAAAGACGGGTACTGAGTAAGATGAACGTTTGTTAGTAGGGTGTGATAAAATTCATGACCGCGGTTTACACATCAATGTCCTTTTTGAAAATAATGTCGAAAACTGTAGAAGTTCTTTCTACGGTGGATACCTTGTTATCATTTATTGAAAAGTAGCCAACCTGGCGCGTTAATTAGCGGAATGCAAATCAGCTAGGCTCTGTTGATTGTGGTGTACAAACAAGACAACTTCGCTGTTTTAGTTGAAAATTGAGTCGAAGAGTATAATTTTTATACAACTGTAGAATTTTCTCTGCGGTGCATAATTTACCTAGAATAATTCATTGAAAAACAGTAACTTCTGCCGTCTGCGGCGTAGAGGCATAACAACTTACAGTGTGCTCTTTGATTCGCATTCCACCAATCGACGCTCCTGGATAGCTATTTCTCAACTAATTATTACAGGTAAACTATGCATTTTAAAGAAAACCTCTACAGTATTCTTACTCTAATTTCAATAAGTATAACGATATGGTGAAGCACGATCACGAATTCTATTACACCTTGTACATCGCTTTAAAATGTATGCCTCATTTCCATACGTGTGCTTTCCGCGTATATGGAAATGAAGCATAAGATACTTGAAGAGATGACTACAGCGCCGCCATCCGTTAAGTAGGCGTACTATTCAGCATCAATCGTCCGTATCCTTCTAGACTTCTACGAAGACTTCTCAATTCTTTCTCTGCGTCAAATTAATCTAGTAATTAACGCGTTACATTATTAATTGTGATTATAGGTGACTTGACGATGCCATTGCCCAGCGTCGTCGTAGCCCAGCACCAAGACAAAGTAATTTCCGGGCGCTGGCACCCGACGGAGTTCTCCTTCCTCAGCACCTCTGCCGATAAGACGGCGACTCTCTGGGCCCTACCTCCGGTCTAGGACTCGACTCCGAAGAATGCCTCGAAGAGCGCTCGTTATTTATTTCCTCACGACCCGGTCGTCTTCCGTTCGAGATGGCCGATTATCTGAGATGAGCGTAGCAAGTCGGTAGGGTAGATCCCCGGGAAGAAGTCGACCGACGACGAGGAGCGCCGCGACGACGGGGGTCCTCGAAAGACCCTCGTCCTGTCGACGACTTCGCCCTTGAACGGGCTCGCTTCCTTAAGCGACTTTAACCATGACCAATTAAAATCCATTAACACCCTGCGCTCGTCTCGAACACCGCGAACAGCTGATCGCGGTCGCAAGTCAAGACAGAAATCAGCGAGAACTTGAAAAAGAGGCAGGATTAATAGCGCTTAAGGCGATGTGAAAGTGGCGTCAAAGAGGTCTCGTTGATGAAACTTTTCTCCTAACTGAATGTACCAAGTCGTTTCAAACCTGACAATGTAAATATGGAAGCTGTAAGAAAGGTCCTGACGCCCACAAAATTTCAATTTTTTTTTTCTTTTTAATTTCTTTATAGATACTTTCAAAATTGTTTATAAGACATGGAATTTCATGAGTGTAGAGACCTTCCTTATAGCCTTCATGTTCGCGTTGTAAGGTTTGAAATGATTCGGTACACCCAATTCGTAGATAAGTTTCATGAACGATTGAGCTTTCGGATGCCGCTTTCACCTTAAGGCACCCGGATTAATCATTACAGTAACGGAATCAAAGTTAACGCCGAGACACCCTCGTCCGGTGTCGAGAAAGAGCGGAAACGAAGAAGAGCGGAGAACAGAGGGCAGGAAAGCGAAAGACACTCTGGAGGTCTCATGCCCGAAATCGGGACGCATCGGCAGAAATTGTATCGGTCGCATGCTTCGAGAAGGCTTTAAATGGCCATCGGAAGACGGAACGAACCCGAAGAAGACTGTGCTGAGGAGTACTCGACCCCTGCAGCCTCTTCAGCGACCTAGTAGCGCGTTGAATCAAAGGACGGCGAAGAATCCTGAAATGCAGGCGCTATCCTTCGGGCTATTTTATTTTCCTTTTTCCTTTTCTCGATAAGAATTGATTTCTTGCTGACACCTTATTGTACATACAATGACTCGCGTTTACGGGTGGTTGATATTTTCAGAGACTCCCCGCGCTCAGTCGGTGAGATTCGTCGGTTCTCCGGTATACCTCCTAGGCCTTGTACCTTAATTCCCAAGGAAAGTCATTCGACTCTTCAGCATGTTCGGTTCTTTTAACCTCCGTACCTGTCCCGTGACTCCTCTAGCTTTACTCCTCGGCTTTAATTCTGCGAGACATGCCAAATAAGGGGCTCTTCCGGAACGGAAGAGCCCCGAGGGGGCGACGCGACGTTCCGTGTTCTCGATCAAGGCGTAGTATTTTTTAACGATATATATATATATAGATACCATACAGCGGTAAGAAATTAATAAACGGATTCGCAAGAACTAGGCTTAAGCTATCGCCGAGGTTTGTATGTCGCGATCCTGGGACTTGTAAATCTATGACCTCGAATTTCCTTTTACGCGGGGGAGAGAAACCCGAGGAAACTCATATTGAAAGAGACCAATGAAAGGACGAGGACGGGCGAGCTGAGAATCAATAAACAGAGTATTAACGGGACAACTTTGTTCTTCGTCTTCTTGCGCCGATGTCGAGGGCCTTGGATTTAATTTAAAAAGAAAAGAAAATCTACGGCTTTACGCCATGCGAACCTTATCTTATGTGGTCGGTCTCTATACCTTTTGTCGTGTATAAATGACTCGATGACTTTGGATCAATCATCATACAAGACTTTGTATAGACGTTCGCTTCCGTGTAGCAACTCGTGCCTTCTGTCTTGGCTGCTTTCGACGGTGAACATTGATTACCACACTCTAACCTGACCCCTCACCATTTCCTACTTTGTTGCTCCACATTGTTAATAATCAACAGGAATTTTACACCGCCCTCCTGTACCGGAGACGTGCACGAGTCATTTATTAATAATCGAGAGTATTACGCCCGGCGACCAAACTTGGTCATCGCAAACTGCATAGTAACTTATAACTTTGTACTTTTCTCCCTGTAGATATATATAACGTAACAGTGTCACGTTTTAATTTAAGCAATACATTCCTGTTATTAAAATCAACCGTGTGTCTGTGTCTTTCTGCCGGCGAGAGACGAACCCTGAGTTTTACCTGAGGAACTCTTCGGGAACTTTCGGAAAAATTGCGGTTTCCTTCGACAACGTTCCCATACGGTGAACGGTGAAGAATTCTGCGGATGCGGAACTGACGAGGATGAGCCACGTGGACTCGTAGGCTCTTTTGTCACCTAGTAGTTTTTAATAGTACACCTTCAACCACTCATAGAGCCTGAATTTCAGGCATGGATGCCTGGATGTCAGTCATGGATGGATGGATCCATAAAGGGTTGGAAGCCAACCCTTGGTGAGGCCGATGGTGCCCTTTTCGACCATGGTCGCGTGCGGCAAGTTCTTCTATTGGGTCGATGCATAAGTCATTGCGCATTTTTTCAAATATAAAAATGCGCGCAGAAATTAAATGTTTTAGCATAACGTTATGTGTTATTTTAAAGAGAAATCTTTGCTCTACAAGACAGCGTGTTAATACTTTTGTTAGATTTAATTTTTGTGAATTTTCGACGAATTTTCGGCATTTCTCCGTCAGTCGAGGAGCGTTCGACCCTGAAGAAGGAGATATCAAAACCCAGATGGCCCGTTCTACTCAAGACATCTCTCGATGGTAAAAACCTAGAAAAACCAAATAATTGAAGGATCCAAAGGACCAATTTTCGGCATTTCTCCGTCAATCGAGGAGCGCTAGACCCTGAAGAAGGAGGTGTCTTATCATAACCCAAATGACCCGTCCTACTCAAGACATCTCTCGATGGTGAAAACCTAGAAAAACCAAATAATTGAAGGATCCAAAGGACCAATTTTCGATATTTCTCCGTCAATCAAGGAGAGCTCGACACTGAAAAAGGAGGTGTCTTATCATAACCCAGATGGCCCGTCCTACTCAAGACATCTCCCGATGGTAAAAACCTAGAAAAACCAAATAATTGAAGGATCCAAAGGACCTATTTTCGGCATTTCTCTGTCAGTCGAGGAGCATTCGACCCTGAAGAAAGAGGTGTCTTATCATAACCCAAATGACCCGTCCTACTCAAGACATCTCCCGATGGTGAAAACCTAGAAAAACCAAATAATTGAAGGATCCAAAGGACCAATTTTCGGCATTTCTCCGTCAATCGAGAAGAGCTCGACCCTGAAGAAGGAGGCTCGCTTGACCGAGAAGGAATTAAAGTTCGCCGAGGAGCGACGATTGCGTGGGTGTGAGTCAGCTACGCGGAGGATTGCCGAGAGGAGAGAGGAAAGTAAACTTTGCGGGAGTCGGCTTCCTCGGCTCGCGCGAGCTCGCACCAGCTCGCACGTGCGACTGCGCCCATTCAATTCCTAACGAGTTAAACGCTAGCCTCGCTCCGACTACGACGTCCTCGACTTCGCCCATTTTTTCTTTCCTGCGACCGTCCGAGTCTCCTGAAGTTTTCTCCTCCGAGTTCCTCTGGATTTTTGGCACGTTCCGTCGGTGAGTTTCCCTCCTCTCTCTGTCTCTCCGCTGTTTTCGACTTTGTAAATAAACTAATCACGGCACTACACATTGCCATGCATAAATTCGTGTGTTGTAAACAAGACCCTTTTCTTGAAATGATACTTGTTCATTATCTTCCTTACACTTTAGTTTTCTTAATTTCATTAATTACTATTTATATCTCGTGTTTTGGTATTAACATGGTGTACGCGAAAGTTCTTGTACCGTTAGTGCGTTCTGTTAGTTAATCATTGCCATTTAAAAATGTTTAAGAATAATGCGGATGAAAAGTGAAAATAGGCATACTCGAGGGAATTTGTATTGAACGCGTTTTTTATTTTCTTACACTTCTTTTTATTTTAATTACTATTTACATCCCATTTTGATATTACCACGGTGCATGCGAAAGTTCTTGTAGCGTTAATGCGTTCTGTTAGTTAATCATTGCCATTTAAAAATGTTTAAGAATAGTGCGGATGAAAAGTGAAAATAGGCATACTCGAGGGAATTTGTATTGAACGCGTTTTTTATTTTCTTGCACTTTGTTTTATTTTAATTACTATTCACATCCCATTTTGATATTACCACGGTGCATGCAAAAGTTCTTGTTAGCGTTAGTGCGTTCTGTTAGTTAATCATTGCCATTTAAAAGGGTTTAAGAATAGTACTGATGAAAAGTGAAAATAGTCATACTCGAGGGAATTTGTATTGAACGCGTTTTTTATTTTCTTGCACTGCGTTTTATTTTAATTACTATTTACATCCCATTTTGCTATTACCACGGTGCATGCAAAAGTTCTTTTTAGCGTTAGTGCGTTCTGTTAGTAAATCATTAACATTTAGAGGGTTGTAAGAGCAGTGTAGATAAAAAGTGAAAACAAATGTGTTTCAAACACGTAAGGGTACTCCGTGAAAAAAATCGGAAGAACGAATAATATCTAATAATTCATTTTAACTTAAAGCTTTCGCTTTCAAAGCGCGTGGCGACTGTGCCCCGATTTGTCTCTCACTTTCAATTTCTTCATAAAATAGTGAAACATCGAATCCGAGTACTCAGGGAGTTTAATTGAAATTCGAGTTATTTGCCATTCCGCTGATCGTTGATGTTTCGGCAAAGCTTGCTTAATCAGCCGAATTGTTTCACGTTATCAGCACGTTCTTCGTGAGCCTCTTTCTAAATTTTCCCCGCAGCTCTAAGACGTCTATCGAATAAATAATAATTATCTTTCCTCGCTTTCAGAGAGATTGCCTATAGCCTCTTCTTCGAGATCAGAGGTCCAGGGGAGAGAGAAATACCGAAGACCCTGAAGAGACAGGACCAAGAAGAGGAAGAGCCGCCACGTCACTGCTCCAGAAACGCAGCCGAGAGTCGCTCGCATAAATCGACGGAGACGTGGCTTAATTGTACCGAGCCAATCAAATTTAATAAGCAAGGAGGAAAGACGGAGAATAACGTCATCGACCCAAAAGCACGTTGATTCGCGCCTAAATCTGCAAGAGCCATTTCCGAGTTTCGCGTTTCGATCGACAACAATAGGTCCTTTGTTGCTCGTCTAAGCAGTTCTGGTATACTCGAATCGAGAAGTGTCTGAAATACCGAAAGATAGGACGAATTTGGCTCCCTTTGCCCGCCTTGTTATCACTCCCGGCAGACAAGGAGTTATCACAAACGGATCCCGCGCGTCCTGTTGCGCTGATAACGCGGCTCGTCCGCGGGTTTCGGCTCTTTTCTTCAGTCTCGACTGGCTCGAAATTCTGCACAAGATTGTCCTCGAGGGGCCGCAAATGAATCGATCGGCTGTCGTCATCGATATCGGGAAGAAACATCGGCGATAAGGAGTCGCCGGCCGCCCATGGGGCTTCGCGGTGACGCGCGTCCACCCGACAGAGGACAATAAACCAGCAGAATGGGTCGCGACGCCGATGTCATCGGCATTCTTCGGGGTAATTATACCTTTTTTTTCTTTGCGATGAATATTTTTAGCACGCATATTAGATTTGGACATTTTTTTTTCCCGAGAAGAAACGGCAAAATTGGGGAAAGGGATTCCTGCTCCGAGAGGCTGGATACGAGTCCTGGACCGTTCTCAAGGAGGATTTAATTTATTATCAATGTTATCGACCCATTGTATCGGTGTTAATGTCGGGTCGAATTTGGGACAATTTGCCGAACGTGTCGGCACGTCGATCTAAATTGAATCGTCGTAGACATGTATGACGGTGGAGTGAGGTCCCCTTTATTGCGCGGCCATGTTTAATTGGAATTAAGAGTGAAGGAACTTCTTTTCTCCTTCGATCGGTGGCTTTGACAAATAAAAGAAATTTCCCTTCTTTGGGACTAATGGTTCCTGAAGATCTTGGGAGATGGGAACTGATCGAAAATGCCGTATCTAATTACAATTAAAATTCATCAGGCCTTATTCTCCCTGATTAATTTTTCAATGTTTCAAGACGCATTTTTCCTTCAGAAGTGATCCTGGAGTACCTAAAAAAACGTGATCAAATCGAAGATGCTACCCCTAATTGGAATTGAAATTCTAAGGACCTTATTCTTCCCGATAAATTTTCTTCCATTTTTAAAAAGAATCTCTTCCACAGAACTGGCGCAGTTCTTGGAGTCCTTGGGAGATGCGAATCTCCCGGCCAACCTCGAGGCCACCAGAGGAAACCTCCTCTCCAGGGCCAAGACGACTCTGGTGGCGGTGACGACCGGACCTTCCTCATCTCCAGGACCCTATCTCGACATGAACCCTGGGAAAGGTCTCTCCCTAGTCGGAAGAACGGAAGACCTCGAGGAGTACGTGGGAGCCGAGGAGCCCCAGGTTCAAGCTCCTCAGGACTATTACGAGACCTTCCAGGAACTGGACAAGTCCAGGCCGGAATCCTTACAGGAGGACCCTGCTAAGGAGGAATCCGAAAACTTGCTCCAGGAAATCTACATGAATTTCCCAGCGGCTCAGACCAAGAGCAAGTGCCAGAAATGTGGACCCCTGCAACGCAAAGAGGGAAAAAAGCTCTTCGTATTTGAACAGTTCAGAGGCTGCTGGGTCGGTATGTGGCCTCTTTCATTTCTTTCTTTGTGTCAATTTAACGTAAGTTACCAGTTCAATGATCCTTAATTTGATTTTTAAGGGTTGGTGGGCTCTCATCTCTTGATTTATGGAAATGAACGAGATAACAAGCCGTGCTCTGTCGTCCCTATTCGAGGATGCACCACAAGACCAGCTCCTTACATCACTCCTCGAGACCCCAAAAGGGGTGAATCCGCCTTCGAGATCTTATGTCCTGGCAACAAAACACTTCAGGTGGATTATTTTTAATTAAAAATTTGGTGCATTTAAAACGAAACGCGAATTAATAAGAATTATTAGGTATTATTAATTAGTCCAGCAATTTTCTCAAGAAATGCCCTCACTACTCGATGCAGGTTCCATTGGGCATTGTTATTTTTCAAGATCTTATGACCTGACAACAAAACACTTCAGGTGGATTATTTTTAATTAAAAATTCGGTGCATTTCAAATGAAACGTGAATTAATAAGAATTATTAGGCATTATTAATTAGTCCAGCAATTTTCTCAAGAAATGCCCTCACATACTCGATGCAGGTTCCTTTGAGCATTATTATTTTTCGAGATCTTCTATCCTGGCAACAAAATACTTCAGGTGGATTATTTTTAATTAAAATTTCGGTGCATTTCAAATGAAACGTCCGAATTAATAAGAATTATTAGATATTATTAATTATTCCAGTAATTTTCTCAAGAAATGCCCTCACACATTCGATGCAGGTTCCTTTGAGCATTATTATTTTTCGTAATATTATTCGTTCACTTTAAATGACAGCAATTACCAGAACAATACCCTAACGCTAACGAGCAAGTTTACGGAAATTGTTTCAATATTAACACCAAGTTAAATATAAACAATGATTTACTATAAGAAAAAAATTGGGATGATACCAATAATAATGAGCGATGTCAATGTCAAATTCCGCAAACCAGGTGGATTGACTTTTAAAACAACAAATTAAAATTAAGTAACGCTAACGAGAGTGTTTGCATACATTCTGGCAATACTAAAACACAAATATGAATGCAAATAATAAACTGTAAAAAAGGACTCTCCTAATCGAGTTCCTTTCATAACATGGGAATTTACACGTACCATGAAGAGTGTCATAAAAAGCGTAACTTCGAAAACAAAACTTAAATGTCCAGAAAATGTATTACTGGACGTGAAGAATATGTTCCATAAAAGATCTCCATTTAATGACCGTTCCTAATAGCCGGTATATTTGCAGTTCATCGCCAGGACTCCGAAGGACATGGTGCAATGGGTGAGCGTGACTTCTCAGATGGCAGGGACCGAAACCGAAAATAGGCAAAAGTTCTCATTGCCTTCCGTCTCCTCCCCATCCGGAGAAACCGCAGAAAAGGACTCTAGCAAGGATACGACCTGCGGCAGCGAGAAGAACCAGGAGATGGGATCCGTCGTCCTTGACGATAAAGGAGAGTCGAAGCGTCCTCCAGTAAAGGATCGCCTGGAGGCGAAGGAGAATCCTGAAAAATCCGACATTTCGAAGAAGAACGGACAAACTGAACCACCACCTCCCCTTCCTGCAAGGATTCCCCGACGTCTGCCCGCGTTGCCCCAGGAAAGGGTCAGCACATCCTACGACGTGATGGAGGACGACGAGGACGAGATATACCATAAAATCGAGGACCTCCGGGAATCGAATTACCAGAATTGCGCGGTAGGAGTTTCGGCAAAGAAGAATAAAGCTGGGATTAAAGCGAGGGAGTCCTCCTCCTCGCAGGAGGCTTCGCCTAAGAAAAAGGGTAAGAAATCTAAGGAAAAGAAGAACAAGCCCCAAACTAACTCGGAGGACGTGGAACTTTACGACGACGTGCAATCGGTCCTTCGGAGTAAGAAGTCGAAGAACGAGAGCCAGGATAGAGTGCAACAGGTGGCTGCGAAAGCGGCCTCGAAGGAAATAGGACCCGCTGATCCTGTTTGCTCGACGACGCCAAAGAAAGAGGATAAAGAGAAGCAGGAGGAAGGAAAGTCGAAATCGCCCCAGAAGAGGTCCTTCCTGGACAGGGTGAGGAACAAACGCGACTCCCCGAAGAAGGAGGAGAAGAAGGAGAAGAGGAACGCCCCGGTCTCGGAGCCTGCCAACGAATTGCCGATTTATGACGATATCAGCGAGATAAAGAATGCAAAGAAGGCCGTAGAACCTGAAGAATTGCCGGAATACAGTTTCCCTCCTCATCCTAGGCCGGTTTATTCTAACGGAGCTCAGGAGAACGTCGTCCTGCAGGAAGAGATCTACGACGACGTGACGAACTTCCAGGAGGAGAGGAGGAAGCTCCTCAAGGACTCGGGCCCGAAGAGCGTGGAATCCCTGAAAGCGATGTTCCAAAATGACGAGGAAAAGCGGGTCGAGGGTATGAAAGAGGTGCTAGACAAGATACCACCGAGGATCGAGGCGATGGAAGAGGAGATCGAGCACTATCAGACTCCTAGAGCGGACCTTGTTCCCGTTGTTGAAGGACTCTACGACGACGTTGCCCTCTTGGTAGACTTCACGGCTCGTCAGCGGGAGGTTGCCAAGGGTGCGAGTCCTGAAAAGGAAAAGAGACATTGGAATAGATTCACCAGTGGGAAGAAGAAATCGGAGGCTACGGGCAATGATTTGAGCAGAAAGGACGACTCGAAAAAGGACGTCGAAGGTGACAAAACGGGAGAACCTGAAGAGGGATGCGCCACTGTTGACGAACAGCAACAGATTCGTATGAACACTTTCCAGAAATTAATTAGCAAAATGGAGAGCTCTTTAGGGAAGCCACCAGTTAAGGCTGCTGCGATGGAGCAGACCAGAGTACTTTCTCCGAACACCGTCTCATAATGAATCTCATTCTTGGACGATCGTTTTATGACTCGCGTCCAAGTCAAGTCAAACTTGCGAGAGCTGCTTTCAGACTGTTTTTTGTCGATAGGATACGCACAAGAAATTTCGCTAGCTACTTGCTAGGGTAGATTCAACTTGCGGTTCACTATCAATAAATTTGCGCAAGTTCGCCTCCAAAATCGTGGACACTACCGGGAAGAGTTGTTTGAAAGCAGCTCTCCCAAGTTTCACTTGCAGGTGGATACGAGCAAAGGTGTAATGACGTCTTCAAAGTGATCCTTTGTAATTCATGGGAATCCACCCCGGGTGTACATAATCTTGTTTCAGATGTGCCGCTTAAAACGGCAGTTTTCTATCCGCTGTAAAACTCACTTAGTGTATGATTAATGCGAATCTCTACGTATTGTAAGTACTTTTATTTTAACAATTATAGTTATATCCTTACGTCAGTTACCGTTATACTCGAATCTCGACGAGAACTGAAGGTATTACATCGATAATCTCATTGTAACGACTCGATATTTAATATACAATTACAGTCACGACGTCTTAAATTAAAATGCACAACTTGACCTTCGACACTCCAACGCGCGAATTCACCTGAGGTTCCATTATTGTTTCCAGCACTTCATGTGAATGAACCTTTATAAACGGGCCCCATTCCTCATCAATGAACCTTTATAAACGGGCCGCATTCCTTATCAATGAATCGTTCTAAACGGGCCGAAGGTATAGTACCGTGGTTCGTCTGTATGACGGGAGTTTCCTTTAAAGATCCTTTTCCGATTTGGAAAATGCTTTCACGACGTAGCGAGAATGCGTGTCTCTTATGAATGTTTGCACCTTGTCTGACCATATAATCAGATTATCCATTTGCACCTTTAAGTGTCGAGTCCCTATTTCTTGATAATACTTTACGGGAAGACTAGTCTGCTGCTCCAAATACGACACAATTTCATCGGACTTCTTTCGATCATATAGTGGCAAGATTGCTATGGCGAACGCCAAAACGATTCCGAAGATAATAACGGAGCTTAGAAGCCCATAGATAAATCGAAACACTTTTCCCATTACGCTGGCTGTAAAAATTAAAAGAATATTTTATTTGAAAATTATTCAAATAAGAAGTGATTGTTTAATTGACTATTTGTGTGTAGTTACCCTTTTCTGGGTTTAATTCGGCCGTACGTTCTGTTGTTTCATGGGCTGATTTTGTTGTACTGGCATTGACTTCTTTGCTTTCGATGTCATTCTTCTGAGCAACTGATTTTTCTTTTTCGATTCGCTGCTTCTCTTCTTTATCTGCATTCTTTTTCTTCTTTTTCTTTTTTTCCTTCTTCGGTGGAGCTGCGTCTTTGTCGGTATCAGCTGAGGTAATGGATTTTGATATTAAACGATTGCATCGTACAATTGGTGAGGATTAGTAGACATGTCCGTACCTGGAGTAACTTGTAATCGTCGTTGCTTTTCTGTGTCGATCTCTTGTTTAACCTTTGACATGCAGGCCACAATACTGCGAGCACATGCTTGGCACTCGCTGGCGTTACTACAGGGACCAGCAACTGTAGCAACTGCAGGTGATAGTGGATTTCCCTTTAAATCTAGCCAAGTCAGTTTCTTCATTTCTCCAAAACTGAGCGGAAGTCTGCTTATCTAAATAAAAGTTTATCTTAGTTGAACTTAAGTGGCACTTTCTCTTTTACATGAATTTTTAAATAGTAATTACCTGGTTACTGTACAAATCCAAATGTTTCAAATGTCGCAGTTCTCCGAAATTTTCAGGGAGTTCGGTCAACATGTTCTTACTGAGATCCAATTTGACGACATGAGTCAACAATATGAAATTGTTCTAAGAACAAAATTATGCATTTGTAATACTAGTATTGCTTTCTCAAGTAAAACTTATTAATAAACACACTTACTGGCAAGGAAGTCAACAGATTATTGGACAGATCGAGGTGAGATGCCTTTTTTATCTCTGCCTGTAAACGAAGATTTGTCACATAAATTATTCATAGAATTGTACAAGATATAAAAATTCAAAGATACAAAAATTAAGCTTACAATTTCTTTTACAGGAACCTCTTCCAAGTCGCACAAACTAAGATCCAGAACATTGTCTTCCAGTTTATCCTTCAGATTCATTTTAATAGTCATTGCTGTACATACAGCATTTAGACATGCAACAAAAACCAACATAAAATAAAGTTTAAGGGAAAATATCACATCCCGTTGTGATTACGAGGAGATTTAAAAAACATTTCACAATATGCATTGTGTATAACACAAGAATTACAATGAATTAAAACATGTTTAGTACCTTACTAAATACTCTGTACCATATGTCAGTGACATGTGAATGATGAATGAAAACATATAACCACACGGCACAAAAATCTATACTGACCTTCTTCTTCTTGAATTTGACACGTCGAACAATAAATCGTTTCTTGCCTGCAGGAAAATCTTTCAAGAATTAAACATTAATCTTTTTCACCCAGTTAAATGATAAATAAAAGCGGCGGTCCTACTTAAGACATACACTCCAGTAATGATTTTAGAGCGAACCTGGAGATGTATGAGCGTATATAGTTTGTTCTCTTTTTAATGAGAATTTCCAAAATTTGATAAAGATATCGAATACGATGACTGCAAATTGGTTTTCTTCAACTCCAGAAAATTCAGGGATGATACGAAGTATCTGTCACGGATTCTGCCTAGTTCCACGTAGTTGCGTTGATAACACAAACTCCTGTTCGGCTGCTCCCGCCGCTAGTACGCTGCGCGGCCGGAGAGGGCAGTGCGGATCAGGTGCAAGCCATCGATGGAGTCCAGTGTACGAACAGAGATGAGCACATCTCTGGTACGAAACCGGAGGGCAGCACAGGAAGGCATCACGAAACCCTGCCCGTGAGCAATCTCCCAACTTATCTCTAATCTCTGGGTAGGGTTAGGTTGTTGCAATTACTTGACCCTGAAGTGACAGGTGACAACAGCAAGCACATACGATTGACATTTGTATAAGTTGGTCAAGTACTGTCGTCTTCGCTTTGCCAGTGAAACGCAAGAGAAACCACCGTGTGTATATTAATGAAATGATACGTTGAATTGGATGAACTTAACGAAACTACAAGTCAACGATGAGCACCAATGATATCTTCGTTCCTTAATTTATCTCGGACGTCAATAGAATTTGGATATTTCATTGGGAGTAAATCTTATACGATTAATTAACTAAAGGTATTTGGAACTCGTAATTATGGATGAAGAAACCCTAAACAAGTAATGATTTTTCTACATTTAATATGATTAAATATAGTTTCCTAAAGAATGCTACTTATACGTTAATTTATAATTCATCGAGCATAGATTGGCAGTTGAAGCATTACTCGAGGAAGCAAAGTTAGGAGCAAGGAGAGCCGAAATAATGGGACCCAGTGGTTGGACAAAGCCCAAAGAAACCGTTAATAAACGATTCCTTCACTCTACCCTTCGCAATGTAGTTCTTTCCAACAAACATCGTTCATCCAGGAAAGATAAAGGAAGCAAACATTATTCGTGCAAAGAAAATAAGAAATGAGGTATAAAAACGTGGATATTGACATACTTGTCATGCCCTTGATGACGTACCAGTTGTACAAAGAAACTACCGCGTAAAATAAACTGCATAACTTTTATTTAAATGATCATGGGTGTCTCCAAAGTCGATTTCACTATTTAATTAAGCTAGAAGTCGATCAGGATTACGGTAGCTTTAACCTTTGGAGCGATACTTCATTCTTATCATTTAAGAGACCTATGGTGGATACAACCGAACGTCGTTCTGTTACTAATAAAGCTTTTTTCTTGGTAGTACTATTTTTTTCCTTTCTTAAATGAATCCTGAGAGTTATCTTTTTCTAAGTCAAGACCAACGATAAAATCTAACATTTATTTCAACAGCTTATCATTCATTTGTTTAACCAACGCTATGTAGCCTCGGCTTAGAATTTTAACTAGCTACCTAAGATATTTACACTCATCGCATTCACAAAGTAGAAAGTGAACATCCTATTTTTCTTTGATGATAAAAACAACGTCCAACTCCAGAAGGTACAATTAGTTACAACTATCTTGACACTGCTTCCGAAAGCACCAGTACCGCTACAATTAATTCTCAACAAATATATTATAATAAATTGACGTCGTAAGTTTCCCATATAAAATTAACATATTAAAACACTTTGCATTGATAGGTTGCACATCATTTTCTGACATTGCCAGAGTCCCGTTTACGTTGAGAACGTACAGGAGTATCGAGTCGCTACGTAACACATTTTCGATTGCGTAAAAATGTTCTATAGGCAGCATTACTAAATTGGTAGTCAAAGCATACCTTGAAGTTCGTCTTGAATTTTTTGATATCTCAATAAACTGCCTTTCACATCAGCGTTGATTTCGTATTCACAGCGGCGCACTTCTGCAGAAATTAAATGAATAATCAATCGTAATGCTTTGTCTACTTTGGCTATAGAATCTTTCAACCTTTCTGGTCAATTTTTGCAGAAGTAAACCAGCCTAAGTACGCCCTCGTAGACGCAAGGGTATCATAAATATCCTCCAGCGGCAGAGTGTAATCTGCGCGTTTCTCCGTCAGTAAAATCCATTAATAAATTGCAACAACTCGTCACACATGCGTATTGCAATGGACGATTCGAAATCTAAGTAAAAATGAGTATTGCTCTGTGCGTGATTAATAATCAAGTAATATATATGTGTATATATATATATGTATATATGTATATTGAAAAACCCAATGATTACGACGGACCTCCGAACACCTTCCGAAGAAAACTGGCTGCGAAACGAGTCCTCGTTTTCGAGCATTATAATCACCGAGAAACCCTCAGCATTTAATCTCCGTTAAAACGCGAAAGAAAATTACTAAAGATTCTGAAAGTGTTTCAATCCCGAGCCCCCTTATCATTACACCTTATCGTCATTGAAAGTATAGAAAGAAAAATTACGGAAGTTGATATGTAAATGATAGCAAGCTCTTCGTGAGATTCTTTATACTCGAGAACCTTTTCAATTTGAGACAACGCGATTCCATGGTTCGTTTGTACACTTTTAACATGCCAAAGGCTAATAGTAATTTGAGCAAGTTCCACATCGAGGGATGTTTTACGTCATCGCTGTGTTCCACTTTTTTCTTGCGCCCCCCTAAACGAGGAACCACCTTAAAGAACTCTCGACCTCCTAAACCGTAGTTTATCGGAGGTAGAAAAGTACTATTTATGAAACGTCAATGACTATGTAAAACAATATAAAAATATATGTAAGAGGCACTAGTTGGTATGGCCATTTGTCGAGAGTCAAGAGCCCTCTGGGAAGAATTTCATTTCCAGTGGACTGAAGTCTTCTACCTACGGAACCGGGTTCTTCGTGGTCGAACCTTAGACGTATGCGTATTCGGATTCGATTACTTAAAATACTGAAACTATCTATGCCGTCCTGTCGGCCAGTTCTCCGGATCATGAGGGGGGTTGACTGTCTCGGTAGAACTCGCGCTTTACGTTAATACTTCTCAACCGATAAATTTGAAACGAATGCTCGTGGAGAACATCACGGTGGTACCCTGCCGTGGCAGTTTCAACTAATTCGTGGAATTGCCAAAGCTGCCGCTCCCTAGGATTACCATTAATTCGTTCGGGATATCGTTCTGAGCCAGGGGCATTCGCCATTACGTGGAGCCGTTCTTTTGCTGGTGCAGCTTCGCTTTCTCGAGAAACAGCTCCCTCATGTCGAGGAGAGCCCGTTCTATTTCCCTTGCAAATCTTACGGAATTCTGGGAAGAGAAACGAGATATCATCAAGGTCGGTCATCGTAAAATCTTCACGAGGGAAGAGCTTAATCGAGTCGCTGTATCGCGTTACTAGTCGGGTTAGATATTCGCAATTACGTCATACCGTTTCAGGGGAACTATGCTTGCTGGAGACGTGGAAGAAGATAAGATCTTCCCCGGCAATGATGTAGGATACTCCGTAACCGTCATCGGCTACGGGTCCAAATCCCCCTCCAGCCGAAATGCAGTTTGGATGTTTGTTCATATCCAATCTGGTTGTCTGTCCGTGAGGCGTTTGCGACGTAGAGAGCTTCCACGGGTCGCTCAAAACCTCCTACGATGGATCGGCATTAGTTACGGACACGGACGTTCCTCTTAAGGTGAAGTGAAACACGTCGAGAAACTTGATCAACGTCGATAAAGATTTTTCTAAATGCCTACGTTGCCGACGTTCGTTTTAATATTGACAGCTGAGTCGAATTATATTAAATATTTCACCAAATGGCATACTCCACCTGTCGTCTTCGTACAATAATTATAAAGAAATCGAAGTAAAACTCCAGAAATCCTCTGGATTCATGCTTTCTGGGGCCCTAATTGACTGCAGAGAGACCCCCTGCGCCATCTGTGATTTCCAGGTCAATTAAATTTTCACTCCGAGACCTCGTATTACTATCCTTTTAGCATAGAAACGCATACAACACTTTTTTTGCCTTTATCCCGTTCAAATGCGAGTTTATCGATTACCAGAGTGTTCTAAATTCTCGTAAAATTGTCCTGACCCTTTCGATTCTCATATCAGAGCCTTCGATAATTGTACATTGATCGAAATATGAGTGCTCGACGCCATTTTGGTTCTGATTTGGGCTGTTAAAAAAATTTTTTTTTTAAATCCAAATTGTGAACATGTCAGAACAATTCTTAGACGATCAGGAGTGATGCGTCGAAGTTTCGGACAGTTTGGTCTAATACCCTTAAAAAGAAAAGTGTTGCATTCGAATCGACTGATTTGAAGGGGGTTTCACTTCACCTTAACTCTAGGAATGGAAAAGGGCCGAAGCTAAAACCTTAAGAAACGGAGAATCGACTTCTAAGTATTTCGAGACTACGTAGAGACAGAAGAGATGTCGGTCCACTCCCTTCCCGCACATAGCGTCCTGATAGGCCTTCTGATGTTGTTTGGCAGCCTCTAGCAATAATCTGTGCCTCTCGTCGACCTACCGAATACGAAGCCAACCGTTAACCACTGGTCGAAAGTCGTTAAATGGAAAAGATGGGAATAAGGAACAACGATTTCACCGTCGTAGACTCGTCGTCCATTGCCTTGGCCCATGCCGTCGATTCGATGGAGCACGACCGAACGGTCTCCGTTCTTCCTTCTCGGAATAGTCGCGTCATCGAAGCTTCGTAGGTCAGACAAAATTTCCCGGCGTCCCGGTAATAGGCAAGCTGCATAGCCATCTGAATATAAGCATCCGGAGACATTCGACTCTTCTTCATGAATCCTTTGCCATAGGCATTGTGCACGTAAATGCGCAGGTCGACGTCGTTCAACAGCTTCTCGGCGACCTGAAAATCGTTTTGCGATTCACGTTAAATTCTATTCGGAGTGCTTTCGAGAAGCTTATTTTTTTTTTTTTCTTTTTCTTTATCTCACCTTACAGGACTCTTCGATGGCAGCTATGCAGTCGGTACCCAGATCCCATTGCAATCGCGACGGGGCCGGGGGTGCGAATTCTGGGGTTCCTTTTGTGTGGCCATCGTCTTTGTATCTGCGGAGTCCAGCTACCGTTAACGATTGTTACTTTATGAGCCACAGTACGGATTAACCCTTTCGCTCCGACGGGCGTATGTATACGCCCTGGAAGAATGACCATTCATGTACGAAGAGCGTACATATACGTTCATACCATATATACTTTTATTTCATACTTTACATGAGATACTTTTGTTAATCGAGTATCTAGCAACGCTGCATGCCTTAAACAATTGACTATCATGAAATAAAACACTATCGACAAGGCGATATTGTGTTTTGGTTTAACGATACTCAGTTTCAGTCTTCTTCAGAACATTGCCAGCGACGGATATATACCAGCAATTTATAATAGTAGTGATTAAAAGGTTTACACGAATGTATAATTCTAAAATAATTTTGTTAGCTTAATTTTAATGATTCACAGGTAAATACTCAATTTCTGCCGTTGTGTTAATATGCTGAGTTTTAAACTATTTAATTTTTTAGACCCATAAAGATAATAAGTCCGGTTAAATATGCCAGATTACTTTAGTAAGCGTGATTTTCCACGATTTTTGTTGTATTCCATCGAACGTTTAAAGACCCAATTATGATTATAAATTTTTATATTTTATAAAGTAAGATGATGTTACTGAATATAATAAATATAACTGTAAAATTTGGAGGACAAAAGACGACATCTAATTACTTCGTGGTATTCCGTACTTCGGTGTCAACTACTCGGTAATGCGCTCCGTTCACAGCGATCTCATTTTGATGCAAGCGCTCCGGGGCGAAAGGGTTAACTCCAATTAAAGTAAACCTACGCTTGGAAAGTAAAGCTGCCTAAGGTTAATCGTTATTATTTAGGGAGAAAAGTGCAAGAAAAACAGAGACCCAGAAAATTGGCGAACCTTAAAAAGTGAAAAATTAAGATGTGAATAGAGTGGAAAACTGGGAGGTTAAACTCCATCGTTAAAGAAACCAGCCTTGGGTTAACGTATCACTTGGCTAGCGTTGATTTTAATATTCGTACGATCATACAATCGCATTCTAGTTTTGTTAAATAGCGTTAAGTAGCGAGCACATAAATAAAGCCGCGGAAACGTACGAGCAGGGCTGGAAATTCATTGATAAGAAAAATACGGGAAAAAAATCATTAGACCGGGACGTCGGTACGTTAAAAGAATAGCGCATTGTTTCGCTAATCCATTCTGGTTTCAACGGTCTCCCGATAGCTTTCCATGAAACTAACGGATAAGATTACGATTAAATTAAAACTAAAACGGTCGTTCTAAACTATTCCAGGCCTGCGTGCAGGGGAAGAAAGAGAAGGAAGAAATTACCCAATTTCCACGTCATTACCGATCACGTATTCCCACAAGGACCCCATCACGGGAGCATCAGCCCTGATAAAGACAAAAAAATATACAGAGATATATATTGTCATCAATTATTTACAGTAGAAATATGTAGACCTATACCGGTACGACTTTCTTCAATCTAAGAAGTAAAAGCGACCGAGGTGTGTAGGAGTTTCAAAGGTCGGGCAACGAGAGCTCGTCCTCCTGCGAACCATTATCCCCACCGGGAGATGCAACGTAAACAGGGCCTCTTGAAAAGCGACAGAAAAAATAGGAGAAAACGGAAAGAGACGAACTAATAGGCCGTTTGTCAACGAGCCGTGCACGAGGGTATCCTTACTCGTCACCGATGACTTCCTCGCTGAACAGGAACTCCCACAAGTGTGACATCACGGCGGCATCTCCCCTGCTCATTACTTATCATTACACGTGGGGCCTTAACGACATACCTTTACGCGTCTATTACATCTTCGGTAACCGCGTGTCGATCATCAAACGTTCGGTCGAGAAGTGCTCTTGATCGAGGTCGCGTGATTACGAGCGCAAACGGTTAAGGTGAAGTGAAACCCCCTTCAAATCAGTCGACTCGAATACAACACTTTTTTTTAAGGGTATTAAACCAAACTGTCCGAAACTTTGACACGTCACTCCTGATCATCTAAGACTTGTCCTGACACATTCAAAATTTGGATTTTTTTTTTATTTTTTAACTCAGCCCAGATCAGAATCAAAATGGCGTCAAGCTCTCATATTTCGATCAATATACAATTATCGAAGGCTCTGATATGAGAATCGAAAGGGTCAGGACAATTTTACGACAATTTAGAACACTCTGGTAATCGATAAATTCGCATTTGAACGGCATAAAGGCAAAAAACAGTGTTGTATGCGCTTCTATGCTAAAACGATGGGAATACGAGGTCTCGGAGTGAAAATTTAATTGACCTGGAAATCACAGATGGCGCAGGGGGTCCCTCTGCAGTCAATTAGGGCTCCAGAAAGCATGAATCCAGAGGATTTCTGGAGTTTTACTTCGATTTCTTGATATTTATTGTACGAAAACGACAGGGGAGTATGCCATTTGGTGCAATATCCAATATAATTCGACCCAGCAGTCAATATTAAAACGAACGTCGGCAACATAGGCATTTAGAAAAATCTTCTTTATCGACGTCGATCAAGTTCCTCGAAGTGTTTCACTTCACCTTAACGGAGCCGCGAAGGCGCGTCGTTTCCGTTCGATGACGACCGGGTTCTCGTTACCGTCGGCTTATCGTTACTTTTACCGGACTCCGAGCGACCCTTTCATTTTAACCGTTTGACTGTTACGCGGCGCAAAAGCGCTGCGTTCATTTGTCTCGAAAACCGCGACGCAGCGCTTTTGCGCTGCGAGTTTCAGTGTTTCTTGGTTGCTCCGCAGTTTTCGTGCGTTCTTGCAAAAATTGCTTAGCAGTCAAACGGTTAAGCCACTTGGCTGCGGCTCCGCGTTCACCGCGAGACTGGGAATTTACAAACAACAAACGGTTTTACGAGTAGCTCGCGAAACCGTCGTGAAAGGTCCCCGGATCGATGGGTACTCACCACGAATGTTCCGCATTGAAGCCGATCTAGAAAAGATATGAACGATGCTAAGATTAAATCGCCATCACGCGGTCACGAGGTCCATTGACTAGTTTCTCAAGCCGTGCTTACCCTTCCGTTGTTTCCGAAACAAAGAGTGAAGGATTTGTCGAACCATCTGTCGTATCCCTTCCCGTGCAACAAAACGCGTCCGTAGTTGTCCAATTTCTCTGGATGCGCCTGAAACGACGAAGCACGTTCTTCGTAAGACGGACCACTCTCCTAAGGACTTCCGGAGGCGAGCGGCGCGCCCGAGACTCACCTGGTCGAACTCGTAAGGAACGTCGTCGAGCGCCACCACGAACGCGGCCTTCTCGATGGACTCGAGGGACGCCTTGTTGACGCCCTTGGAAAAATAGGCGTTTCTAGCCCTAGCCCAGGAGGTTCTTTCCCCGGCCGTCAGCGCGGCCAGCTTCTCCTCTCCCCGGGCGGGCTTCGACGTCTCGTCGTCCAGGATCTGCTGGATCTGTCTGAAAGGGGCGAAGAGATCTCGGGAATGATAGGCGTAGCGACTCGCGGCGTTCGGGACTTACATCTCGATTTCGCACGGTTGGAGTATCCTGTTCTTATGATATATAAGGACCTTGAAGTATCTCCCCTTGTGATAGACGACAACGTGCTTCGAGTCCTGGTAATGGACGATCTTGTCGGTCTCTATCCCGGGAATTCTGGTGGTGTTGAAGAGCCTCTCGTATTGCCAAGAGCAGAGGGGGACCAAGCCTTGCACCATGATCTGCAAGGAGAAAGGTCTCGCGTCGATGAGACCGCCTAGAGAGCGAGCCTCGAGGTCGACGACCACTCACCGGCTCTAGTTCCTGGCGCTCGATGAGTCTCCTGTACCTCAGGCAGGAGTGAATGATGCTGGCCGCCCTGGCGGCCTGCACCTTGGTCGGGTGAAGGAGGATGGCGTCGATGCCGTAGAAGTTCGAGTTGACCATGAGGGGCGATCTGCCCCTCAGGTAGACGTACTCCTCCCACCAGTCGGACACGTAGTTGGTCGACCACCAGGACTTGAGGATCAGGTAGCGCTGCAGTTTGACGGCGATGCCGGCCTCGAACTCCCTGGCCAGCCGTTCCATGCGCGCGTACTTCTCGTCGTCCAGGAGGGGCCGCACGCTCCTCAGGTACTGGAACGCAATCGGACTCTCCGGTCAGCAAGGGAGGGGCGGGGGGAGCGAAGGAAGCCTTACCCGCTGCACGGTGCTCTCGACGGAGGGCAAGGGCAGCCTCGGGAGCGATCCCTGGAAGCTGTACAGCATGGGCTTCTTCCACCCGGAGAGCAGCTTGACCAGGACGAGCCAGAGCTTGGTGAGGGCCGAGATTCGGCGGTCCTTACCCCTGGCCTCGTACATCCAACCCTTGTAGACCAGCAGCAGCTTCAGGGTGTAGCGGATCGCGTAGATGACCGCGAGCCAGAGCAGGAGGCCCGCCAGGAGCGAGGCGGCCAGGTGCGCCGTCACCGAGCACCTGCGGAAACGACTTACATTAGGATCCGCTTAAAGGTGCTCCCCTTCGGGGAAGGCACACGGACTTACCCCGAGATGTAGGGCGCCACCTTGCCGACGGGGTCCAACGGGAAGCGATAGCCCACAAAGTGAACGGCCGAGACCACGGCCACCGTCAGCCAGAAGCTCTGCAGGGAGGCCGGGTAGACGCCGTTCTTCAGGTTGTTCTGCAACGAGCGTGTCCCTGGTCAGGGTCCATTCCGGTCGGGGCTCGAAGGGCTCCCGCTAGTGTCTTTACCTGGAACCGGAAAAATCGCTTCTTCCACGAGCGGACTCCGGACTGCCAGACGAGGTGGAGCACCTCCCTGTCGAAGTTGACGTCCCATCCCTCGTGGGTGATGGAGAAGCTGAACGCGACCGCCGAGTGGGCTTCCGCCATCCTGTCCTCGTCCTCGTCTCACCGAGAACTCGTCTGAACATCCGGGTTCGTCAGGGGAGACGAACGTTATCGGGGGACCCGGGGGTGCCGGGGATAGGAAAGGAAAAAGACACCAGTTGACCTCACTTAGAACAGCAATTGCGCAAAAGAGATCGACTCGCGCCAGCGGCCGACGTTGCGGCTCGTCGCGAGCGGTAAACAAACGCCCGCCGAGCCCTTCCGCGCGGGAAAAGGGCCGCCCTCCGCCCCCTTCGCGCCGCGACTCGCGTCGGAAGCGCTTTCGGCAGCCTTGGACTTTGGACGGAGCGATTCCGGGCGCGCCGCATTACGCAAGTCCCGGCCGACGGCCAAAGTCGATCCAACCGGTCCGCGCCTACTTTGAATTCCGGCAGGAAGCGAGGCTTCCTCGCGTGCCCGGCCCGCTTTGCTCGGTCGAACAGCCAGGACGTAGTCGACGACCCCCGGGCAATCGGTTGCCTAATTATACGGTATTCCGATCCAACTTCCCGGGTCACCGGGGCCGCGTCCTCCGCGTATGCCTTTAAACCCGAATCTTTCCACCGCGCGACGAAAGCGAAATCGGCACGTTTTCCCCGCGTCATCGACGGAGCGCCAGCTGTTCCGCCACGTGCACCGACCGGATTCCGAAGGCCTGAGGCCCAATTACGTGCAATAATCGCTGTTTAAGGATGCAAGCCGCCGGGCGGGTATTTCCAAACGGGGCAAACAGCTGACGCGGGTTTTCTGCGTCGCGAAGAGTACGGCCGCACTCGCGCGCCTTTGTTTACTCGCGGCTAGGCGCGAACCTGGGCGCGAACCTGTGTACGAACCTAGGTACAAACCTGGGCACGAACCTAGGCACGAATCTAGACGCGAATCTCCTAATTCAAGAGACTACCGGCCAGAGAAGCTGCGGCTTTGTTCGCCGCGACGCCTGGCCCACCTAACCTATTTTCGTCCGTGTCCGCCTCGGCGTGGCGGGTCGCGCCGCGATTGGCCGAGCGCCGAGGGTGTGCGGCCGCGCCTCCTCGCGACAATCTTTCTCCGCGGGTGGGCCCAAGAGAATCGTAGGTCGCGCCGGCCGAGAAAAGTCTCGCTCTCTCTCCCTCTCTCCCCCCGCACCGACCCCTCGGCCGTCCGCGAATGCGGATGGGATCGTCCTGGGCGTATCGGGCATACTGACCGAGTTTAACGACAGGTGGGTCGACCGATCGACGTTCGCCTACACCTTGAAAGGATCCTCGCGACGCCTCCTAACGTGGGATCCCGTACCTTCCGGGACTCCTGGATGACGCACTATTCCCGTAGAGTCGATCGCACCGAACGCTCAAGCGCGACCGTTACGGCAGACCGACCGAGACAGACTGGGACTGACCGAGGATTGCGGAGCTGACGTAGCTTACGCATGCGCGGCCATGATGGAATCTACGCGATGACTACCTGTGTATGGCTCCCGAACGACCAATCAACGCGATGACTACCTGCAAAAAATTCAAAAGTCTTCATAGAAGCCTAGAAGGATACGGAGGTCCGATGCTGGATAAATAGTACGTTGCCAACGGATGGCGGCGCTGTAGTCATCTCTCCATCTCTCTTAATCTTATGGCGATATATAGCGATTGCATTCTTTCTTTGTCTTACACCCAGTACTCGCCTTTCTATATGCGTCTCTTTTCCTCCCGTACGCGAGATATCGATGGATACATGTGCGATCTCTCTTTTACCCCCACTTCTGGTTTGTTAGCCAACTTTTAGAGCATCAAGCGCTAACATTCGTAACCAATATTTGTATCGAAATGAATAAAGGTGGAAGACCAAAAAGTAAATTATGGGATGAAACAAGTGGACAAGATGGATGTTTATAACCTAGCGGATACCGCATGCCCTACGTTTGTCTTGTCCGCCATATTTGATACGTTTTCTCCTGGTTTTCTATGTTTTCTATGGTAAACAACTTGATTTAAGTAATATATGTCGATAACCTCGAAAATCGTGAAACTACCCAACCCTGGTCGTATTCAATAATGCGAGACGCGAAACGTTAATATCAGCACGTTAGGCGTTCTCTTTCAAATTTCCCGCCTAAAAATGGCGGAAAACGTTCCACTCCTGGATTGGCTATTTAAAAATCATTGGATTCTTTTCGCTTGCGTGCAGCTTCACAACTATAGGAAATAGACTTAACAAAGTAACGTCAACTGCAAGTAACTGGTTATAACCTCGATTTGTGTACTTTGTACGAGATATGGACTGTTTTTAATATATCTTTTAAGGGAAAACGGGTTTTTTAAGAGTTGAACCTGCTTCGAAGAATTCATACATGGTAGATCGTGTTTACTTTTTACAACCATGAATCAGCGCGTGAAAAAGAAATCCCGAAAATTCAGTTCATCGGATGCCCGTTCTGAAAATGATTGCGATCAGCCTGTAAAAAAGAAATTCAGTTCGTTGGATGTCCACTCTGAAAATGACTGCGATGATATCAGTATGCTAATAAGTCAATATAAAGAGAGCATATCTCCAGAACTTGAAAAGGTAGCGACGATGTTTGCTGTACGAAGGATGTATTAAATTACTCGATAGACCGATATTATATGAAATGTACATAATGGATTTTTCAGAAATTGGAAAGTTTAAGGGTACGATTGAGACACGATCCCCTGCCTCAGCATTGTATCGAAGGCAAAGCTGGTTCCCATGTTTTGACCCAGGAAGAAAAAGAACAATTTGAAAAGTATGCCCCGATTAAAAGAGGCACGTTTACCCCCATGGAGGATAAAGTTATAGTTAAAAATTGGAAAGCATTTTGCAAGGTTTGACCAATTGTTTTAAATGCTCGACCGCGAGAAAAAAACGGTTCTGAAATTAAACTTTTCCTGTGTAGCTGCACGACTGGGATGTTACTGATACCAAAGCATTCATGTTCATGCGACACGACAGAAAAATCTTTGTACAAAAATTACCAGAGAGAAGGAGATTTGTACAGTTCTTAGCCGATGGCCTTCCCAATCGTACCTTATACAGCGTGTATCACAGATTTAGGAACTTATACGAGCCTCATATTCAAAGCAGGTATAACCAACAAAGATATATGTTTATTTGGGATATTTTAAACTTAATTTATCTAATTCGTACGTTTTCAGATATACCGAAAGAGAGGACGATTTAATATTAACGCACATAGAGAAGAACCCTAATCTAGACAAAACTCGGAAATTTGCAGATTTGGCAATAGTTTTAAACCGTTCGCGGGCTTCAGTATGGAGACGATACCAATTACTAAAGAACAAAGGCAAAAAAAGGAAAATTTCAGGAAAAACCCATTTTTTGTAAATACCCATTTCACAAGATTAATTATATCGTTATAATTCAAGTTTCACTTAAAATAAATTTTTCTTTGTAAAGTAACTTAGTGTAAGAAAAGTGCAGAAATATTATTGAAGCGTGTTTATTAAAAAATGCATACAATAATATTTAACTATTGTATCAAAGTGTCTAATTAAAAACTTTTATAATAATCCTCGATACTCTACACATTTTTTCTCGATCATGAAACATTCATACGTTTGTTTATCATACACTTCACGATCGAGGCAAGACGAAAACAAACGAAATGTCAATTGTTTCGTTCGATCATGGACAGGACAAGGTATACGCCCATATCGGAATTGAGCGAGTCGTTCGGAATGCGAATATGCTCCGAAGTTGCCGAAAGACCTCAATTTTCAATACTAGATGCGTTAGAATGTTGTTACAATTTCAAGTCAGCGATCCTTAATCTACATCATGATTATGCTGATATTTTTTTGCAACGTTGCTCTTTTGCGTCACCTGAATAAATCGATTCGCGTGGAAACCGAACAATGGTCGTATCAACTTGGGAGATCGTGACAAAACCCTTCCCCTCCTTTGGAAGGAATTATCAAAAAGGAAAAACCTAACGATGCTGATTAGAATTCAGCAGGAATAAAGTACCATTTGAGCACGTAGTCTAATGGCACGCCAAAAAAAATGACAAAGTCAGCTATTAAGTATAGGTGCAATTATCAGGGGCGATACGCAATTAAATGGTCGCTTCGTTGAAAGGACGCACGCCGTCCTTCGCGATCTGTAAGGTGAAGTGAAACACGTCGAGGAACTTGATCAACGTCGATAAAGAATTTTCTAAATGCCTACGTTGCCGACGCTCGTTTTTATATCGACAGCTGTGTCGAATTATATTGGCTATTGTACCAAATGGCATACTCCACCTGTCGTTTTCGTACAGTAATTACAAAGAAATCGAAGTAAAACTCCAGAAATCCTCTGGATTCATGCTTTCTGGGGCCATAATTGACTGCAGAGGGACCCCCCGCGCCATCTGTGATTTCCAGGTCAATTAAATATTCACTTCGAGACCTCGTATTACCATCGTTTTAGCATAGAAGTGCATACAGCACTTTTTTGCCTTTATCCCGTTCAAATGCGAGTTTATCGATTGCCAGAGTGTTCTAAATTGTCGTAAAATTGTCCTGACCCTTTCGATTCTCAAATCAGAGCCTTCGATAATTGTATATTGATCGAAATATGAGAGCTCGACGCCATTTTGGTTCTGGTCTGGGCTGAGTTAAAAGATTTTTTTGAAAAATCCAAATTTTGAATGTGTCAGGACAATTCTTAGACGATCAGGAGTGATGTGTCAAAGTTTCAGACAGTTTGGTCTAATACCCTTAAAAAGAAGTGTTGTATTCGAATCGACTAATTTGAAGGTAGTTTCACTTCACCTTAATCCAATGAACGAAAGTAAAGCCGTATCGTGCCGATTTCAATGTACAGGAGAGAGGAGTTTTGAAGAAACGACGAAGTCGATATTCAAGTAAAGAGGTTCAAACAAACGTGGAATCGCTACGAACGGTGGGCCTGAGTGGGCCAAGAATGGGGATAACGACGTACCGATTACGTTCTCTAGCCGGCACGGTAAACGCATCGCGCAACGAGGAAAGATCTACTCGCGCTTAAAAGAGAAACCGAATCCATCGCGCAAGCCCCTTAGGCGCGTTCGCGTAAATGTGCACTGGCGTCTAAATAATACTTGACTTCCGGACGTCTCAGAACATCTGGCCTATGACGGCCAGGGACCGGACGGCGGTCTGGACGTTGTTGACGTGAATGTGGTGGGCCACGGCGTGATGGTGGTCCTCGACGACCATCTCGCCGTACTGGGCCCGACACCTCTTTTGGTGAGCGAAGAGGCTGCCGCTGTGGCTGTAGGCGGCCCCGCAGGTCTTGCAGACGTAGGGCTTCTCGCCCGAGTGCGTGTAGGTGTGCTCCTTGAGCGTGCTGAGCCTCTTGAAAGCCTTGCCGCAGGTCTTGCAGAGGTAGTTGGCCTCGCCGGTGTGCCGGGTTAGGTGCCGCCGGAAGGCCGAGCTGACGGCGAAGGCGGCGCTGCATACGTGGCAGACGAAGGGCTTGTCCCCGGTGTGGATGCGGATGTGGTTCGCCAGGCTGGTGGTCGTGGTGAAGCCGCTGTTGCAGGTCTTGCAGACGTGCGGCTTCACGCCCGTGTGCGTCCTCATGTGGTACGTCAACGAGGAGTTGCTCGGGTAGACCTTGCTGCAGATGTGGCAGAGGTACTCCCGGGGCGCCTTCTCCTTCGGCTTGTTGTGCGTCTTCTGGTGGAGGACCAGTCGCGCTTGGCTCGCGCAGACCTTCTTGCAGACCTCGCACGTCACCGGCTCGGCCTTGGGCTTGTGCATCGAGACGTGCCTCCGGAGGCCCTTCTTCGTGGCCATCACCTTGTCGCAGTGCTGGCACTTGTACTCGCCCGTCCCCTCCTCCTCGCTCTCCTCCCGCTTGGCACCCTCGGGCAGCCGCGCGGCAGCGCCGTTCCCAAAGGGCTCGTCGTCCGAGTCGAAGAGCTTGTTGTCCTCCGCGAGGTTGTCCAGCAGGCCGTGGCCGTGCTTCTCCGCGTGCTTCTTCAGCGTGTCCGGCCTGAAGAACCACTTCTTGCAGACCGTGCACGAGTACTTCTTATCCCCGTGGACCAGCGCGTGTCTCTTCAGGTTCTTCAGGGAGGAGCAGTACTGGCTGCAGATCTCGCACTTGTACAGCTCCGGGGCGTTCTCGAACTCGTCCGGCTCGTTCGACCCGGCCATCTCGTCGTCGGTGTCTTCCTCGCTCTTCGCGTCCTTCTTCGAGGTATCCTCGACTTTGGCGTCTTCGTTCCCGACCCGCTCGATGCCGTCGCTCGGCTTCTCGTTGTGCGACTTCAGGTGGCGCGTCAGACTCTGCGGTTTCGAGAAGGAGGCGTGACAGAACTGGCAAGCGTGCGGCCTCGACGCGTGGATCTTTTTGTGTTTCTCCATGTTCTCCAGCTTGTAGAACATCTTGAAGCACACGTTACACTTGTGCTGCTTCTCGTGAACCAGGGAATGCTTCTTCAGGCCCTTCTGCGTGGTGTACCGCTTCGAACAGATCTTGCACTTGAACTTGGTCTCCTCCGAGTCCTGACTGTCGCTGCTGGGCTCGTAGAAATCGTCGTCCGCCTCGTTGTCGCTGTAGGTCTTGTTCCGGAGAATCTTCGCTTTCCTGCTAGAGGTTCGCTTCGGCGGGGATTTCTCCTCCTCGTCGACTCGGACGTCCACCGGTCGTTGCTCGAGTGCGTCTCCCGACGTGACCTCTCCGTCTTTCCGCTGCGCCTCCGATGGGAGCCGAACGTCCGTCTGATCGTGCCGAGGTTCGTCCGACCGAGCCACCCCGGGGGCGAGTTGCGGACCCTGAGGCTGTCGCGGAGCGTCCCCGGGTATACCGGGGATCTTCTCGAGCTCTTTTGGCCCCTCGTAGCCTATGTTGCACATAAAGAGCTTCTCTTCCTGTATGGTAATTTGACTCTCCGATTCGTTCTCCATTGGTGGAACGTAGGGCTCGTTCATCATGGAGAAATTCTGCGAAGCGACCGACTGCATCTCTTGTTTAATAAAATAACTCGCTTGCGGACAGGCGGGCTTCTTTGTTAATACTATTCTCGTTTGAGGCTCCGTCTGCGTACTGGAATCCTGGATGGACGAATTGTCGTTAAAGCAAATGTCAGCGCGCGAAGTAAATTACATGCTATGGATCCTTACCGTCACGTTACACCTAGCTGGTTTGTTGTAGTAAAGTCTTAAACGAGCGTCGGAGTGTTGACATTGCTGTCGAAATTCATGCGCAACGCTTGCTTTGTAGATGCACACGTCACAGATCAGAGATGGCAAACCGTCCTGTTCGTGGATATCTATGGAGCCACAAATTTGAATCTTCTGCGGAAGTCCAGAAAAGTCTTCGACTTCTTGATCGGTGCAGAAGATAGGAGATAAATTAGTGCCTTCGGATAGACAGACTCGACATACTCTATCCATATTAAGAGGCAGATCAAAATAGCTTGCACTCATCGTCGTGGTCAGCGGCGAAACAAGTCCGTCGATCAAGAACCATAGCCAACTGGCATTTTACGATCGTTTGTCGAGTCTTGTCCGCTCCTTGTCGACGTTACTCTGATGTTTCCATTATCTCCGTTACCTCGAGGCACAAAGATCTTCTACAAACCGCGCTTCACGGTCGTGACATTTTCTTTCGACTGAAATTTACACTTCTATATAATCGATGGTACATCGACAACATTCCAGAAAAATTGTGTAGCTGCTCCGCAACTACTCCTATGCAAATATCAGGAGTCTAATTAATTTTGACAGTTGTTAAGTTTCCAACGATGCAATCGTGTCATATTCAAAAAGATTCCAAATATTGGAATAAAGAGAAAACGAGAGGTGCTCAACCCTCGGACCTGCTATGCGCCGTGGGAACATGCCACGATGTTGGAGCCGAGGTGCCAGCAGTGATGCCCAGATGAATCGTGCATTTCAGCCATTTCAGCACATTTCAGGCAGGCTGACACCTTGAACCGAACCTCGCGTCTCGCCGCTTCGGATTCTCCCGGTGGAGTTCTTAGGGTGCCTCGTGTCGCCTTTAAACCTCCTCCATTATCAGCCCAGCCTCCGCGGGCAGGTTCACCAACAATTCATTCGCTTCTTCTGGATGTCTCCTCTTTGTTCAATGGCTTCTCCGAGCACCTCTGCTCCGATCGACCGCCGAGGTTGAGAACAATCCATTTCGGAGTCGTTCGAGATCACCGCCATCTCTAGGCAACTCGTTGAAACTCTCAACTTATATCTGGTGGGGGGCTCGCGCACTCGCGATGGTACTACCATCTGACGATTGACGGCGGTGGCTGACGGTATATTTTAAATAATTCACTGACCGGTAGATGTATCATTCGTTTCCTTTATGAGAAATCGTTATTTAAATTGGCAAGAAAATGTCATGCACACCTTAAAAAAGCTTCAAACCTTGTGTCTCCTCTGAAAAAAATCGCAGCCCCTTGTTCGATAGACCAATTTAAAGGGAAGAACTTTCTCCGTCGAGCTGCAGAGAAAACAGGTGCGAAAAAAAACAGTAGAGACGTAGAAACGTACGAAGACGTAGAAGTGGGTACGAGCGACTAATTTTGGCTGTATCATTTGCGGAAAAAATGAATAAGGTAAGTGAAGGGTAAAGCCGAAGAGGACGTCACAATGGTTCTTCTCTTACCATCGAATCCGACTCGGCGTCGGTAAGCGTAAGTAAGCTACCACCGTCAACTACCAGATGATATTACCATCACGAGTGCGTGAACCGCCAGCATGCTCCACCGAGGGCAGTACATAACGCGATCACGCAACCTTACACGTGAGCAATCTCCTAATTAATATTTGTTGATACGCTACAATTTTCATTTTAAAGTCAAAGTATATAAATAACATTTTTTAATGACGGAAGATCGTCATTGTCGGTATTTTCTAACGCGGAAGAAACGTTACTGCCGGATGACAGTAAAAAATGGTAATGAATATTGCGGGGAGCATCTTGAAAACGAATTACGGGACGTGCTGAAGAGAAAGAGGATCAAGTGTCCACTCGATCCGACACAGTACGTATATAAAAAAATGTTATCAGAGTTTCTAGCTTGATGCTTGAATTTCGTAACCGTATATTCGTTTGCAGCACTTGTTACGCATCCAAGTTAGTCAAACACTTGACAGTTTGTAATAAAAAGAAATTTAACGATGCGTTACCTGCCTATATCGTTGAAGGAGTAAACACGGAGAGTAAAGAACAACGAATTTCCACAAGGATACCCTTATCTCAAGTGGATCGGACCATTCTTGAGGAGACCTTAAAGAAACTGAACGAGGCATATGGTTAGATATATTTAACAAGTATTAAAAATTGTACAATGTTAACCTTTCGATTATACTTTGGTGAAAGGTCACGATTTTGACGATAAAAATGTTTCAGAAAATTTGCCAGTATTCTCAGAAGTAGAGTTGAGCCATGAGATATTAAAGAAAGAACTTCAAAAATCAACATATGGAAGAGAGACTAAAAAACATTTGCGTCAAAATGCTTCTCTCTTGGCACACCTCGCAAATGCAGGGCTTGTTAGAGATAATACTTGCTTTATAGAGTTTGGAGCTGGTAAAGGTATCATATAATATTCATTTACTTAAATTCAAACTCTACCTTAGAAAGTAAGCCTCCATTTAAGAATTAGAAACTGCTATTGACCGTAGGCAAGCTAACCTATTGGCTGGCTCAAATAATAAGAGATCAGAGGAATTCAGCGGTTTTGCTAGTGGATCGTTCTAGTCATCGAAATAAGAGCGATAATAAATTAAGAAATGAAGTATCTTCTTTAGATACATTGAGAATACGTGCAGACATTGCAGATCTTAAACTAGGAGCTGTACCTGAAATTCAGAGATTCCACAATAAGGTCGCAATTGCCAAACATTTGTGCGGAGCGGCAACAGGTAATTATTTTTCACCATCACCATAACCTTTCTGAGAGTTTAATCGGAATTTAATTTTGCGATTACAGACTTAACGTTGAGATGCCTAGCGAAAGCGATACAACAGGAATCCGAGATGAACATCAATGGGATAGTAATCGCGTTTTGTTGTCACCATCGCTGTGACTATAATACTTACGTTGGTACAGAATATTTAAGTAACTGTCGATTTACACCCAAAGAATTTCAAATGTTATGCAGCATTGCTAGTTGGGCGACATGTGGTTCAAGACGAGATGATATCGATTCGAGTCTTCCAAATGACCGCGAAGATATTGGTCGGCGAGTGAAAATATTACTTAACTGGGGGAGGTTAGAATACTTGAAAACACTAGGTTTCCATTGTCAGTTACTTTATTATGTACCCACGGACGTATCGTTGGAAAATATGTGTATCATAGCCACAAAGTGTCCGATTTAAATTGAGTTGATTTTTTTGTTGAAATAAAACCTTAAACATCACTCGGTTGAACTTTCTATGTAGTTCCCCGCCCGTATAAGGGTGTACCTTCATGTCGGCGACAAAATAAACTGATGGAATTGCCTCACGTTTGATCGAAAAACATTACTGTCTGGCCAGGGTTCGGTAATTTCACGATTTTCGAGGTTATTGACGTATATTACTTAAATCAAGTAGTTTACCATAGAAAACGTAGAAAACCAGGAGAAAACGTATCAAATATGGCGGACAAGACAGACGTAGGGCATGCGGTATCCGTTAGGTTATAAACATCCATCTTGTCCATTTCTTTCAGCCCATAATTTACTTTTTGGTCTTCCACCTTTATACATTTTTATACAAATATTGATTACGAATCTTACGACTTCAAATAGCCGTTATCAGCCGTAATAAACAAATGTCAAATGCACGTATATGCATACATTTAAAATTTCCAAGGCTGATTTCAAATGTGCGCGGTTTTGCGGATGCGTAAAGCGTAATCCCCTTAATAACCAATGAGAATCTCTCTTAGAGGTAAATGGGTGGACTCCCATTGGCTATTGACGATATTGCGCATGCGCTTTGCACGTTCAGTTTGGGGTAATATACTTCGTGCATGCGTAGAAAACTAGGAACGCATTATACGTTGTAATATACGTGTAGAAAACCACGTATATTACTTGACGTATTATACTTACCTAACCCTGTGTCTGGCTGTCGTGGCGCTAGCGTCCATGTCTAACTACAAGGTGACTTAACCAGACGCTGCGTGTAGAGGTGCATTCCACATCCCCTCTACCGACAATGCCCCGCCCGATACAACTTGAAACACGAAGAAACGCTTCGCTGCATTCCCTCGAATTGCCTCGAATGAAATCCGTTAAAGGATCGGCGCGACCCTTTGTTTACTCGGTGAAATTTTGCCCAAACGGTCCTCCTCTTTTTTCTACATACCCAAAAGGTGAAGAAATATACAGTGTTGCCGTTCCGTAGCAAGCGACCCCTCTGACGCGCAAGTGAGTAAATAAGGTTTTTTTGAGATTCCTCTGAGTACGCTCTCTCGAAATAGCAAGTAGATTTCCATAATGAATGCTTCGTAAATGATTTATTAGATATAGAAAATGTGTGGGCGATGGATGTAATTAAACGTGACACATTACTCTCTCGCGGATCATTTCCGACAGGCGGCAGGCCACGCCTCTGCCATTTGATCTTGTACTCGTCAAATGAGTGGAAATGCCGGGATCGTATTGTCTATTTATGAAAAATAATGTGGAAGAAGGACTGTTTGATAGAAAAATGTGTCAAAACGTTGGCTACGATCGAAGGTTTTAATGGTTACGTTATAACAACGATGGGCCCCGACGTGTCACATTTTCTTCAAATTCTGAATAAAAAGTCTAAAGTAAATCTTTCAATGTAATTAAAACAAACGGAGCATTAGTATCGGCGATCTGGTAGAAGTGTTGTAATGCAGTTGTATGTTCTTTCTCTTTTTCAGAAGTAGAGTCTAAAATTTCTAAAATGTCAATTCTAGACGAGCGCAAGGAGTACCTTAACAATCCGTTCTTTGAGAAGCACGAGTATGGAGATTTTACACCCTTCTACATAACTATCACGATCTGTTCGGTCATTGGAGGATTCCTCTTCATTTTGAACGTTGCGTTTTGTTGGTGTTCAAGACACAGAGAGTACTGGCAGGATCGGCATACGGGTAAGATTAGCGTAAATTCCTTAGTGGATAGAAATATTATTGTTTCGGAAAATTGATAAGTACATATTCTGTGATTTCTCAGGTAATAGGTGGATTCAGTCGATGTGGACCGTTACACCACATAAAAATCCACCCCTTGATTTATCAGAACTAGAATCTGGCATAGCTACGTTTTCTCAAACGCATCACGAAGTAGTGCAATATCAACAACCGGAATCCCAACCTGGTACACCACAGCCCCGAGAATATATGGAACTTCAAAAACGAGAAAGCGAGATTTGATCGCTCTATCTGAAAAATTTTAATTCCCATTGCGAAGTTTTGCATTTGGACCAACCTTGGTACAGATAATAGACTTTTAAAGCGATTCAGCTATCGGGAACGAAGTGGCAGAGTCTGTCAACATGGGATTGCATATATTTTGGCCAGCTAGCGCTTGCTTGACATTATTCGTGGTTTGCGTTATAATGATCGTGTTAAAGTTTGGACCAAAACTATGCAAGACCAGACACGAGCCACTTCCTTCGGACCAAGACTGGGAAGGGAAATCTTACTCACGAAAAATCTCCATTTCGGTAGCCTAAGAACGTTCTTTTACAATATGACTTGTTTAAAATTTCTCCCCGGGTTACAAGACCGCTTCCTCCCACTTTTAGAATAAAAATATTTTTATCATGCAGAATAAAAATATTTTTATTCTAAATTATTATACCAATAATGAATTTAGAGTACAAATATTTTTATTCCAAATATTATTCTGCATACGAGTATAGCCACGTACTCTCCCCAACATTTTTTGCCTTAGGGACTTAATTTTAAAATAGTTTTTCTATCGAGGCGTTTGAAAAGGTATTCGAGTTGTACAAAACCGATAAGGCATAATTTTGGGACAAAAACGTTTTAAAAATTGTATGCATAATGGAATAAGCACGAAGCTGATTTTTCTCCCAACTTTAACGAGCGCGCCAAAAGAGTAATTGTTGCAACTCGTACAAACCGATGCAGCAAAATTTAATCCGTCCATAGATTAGGATTACAAGTAGCCATAGTTTGAATGACTTTGAAGAAATTTTCACGTATCTTTATACGCGGTGTGGACCCGTATAATTTTTGTTATAAACAGTATTTACAGATAATTTTAAGAATCGCAATGGAAAGCACGCGAACGATTCTGGGTGAAGATGCAACTTTACATGCAAAACAAAGCCTTTACCCTGCATAGAATTAACGTATCTCTTTACGTACAGTAGACACTGTATCCCAATTCATTTTTGTACGTTTATACAAGTACGCCATGTAGCACCGCTAATCAACGTGTCGCACACATTAAAGAAATCTTCCCAATACGACCACGCGAATCGAAGCATCTCTCCCAATACACCTTATATGTAATTTTATTTATATTGACAACATTGGATTTTTCTTACATGTGTAATGGCTACACGTTCGTTTAATACGCAAATAGATACATTATACGATTTTCCTCGAATCAATAGCGTTAGCCGTTAAATCGTTTAACGGACGATCGTCCGACGGATGTAAAATGCGTTATTAAAACCGTCGAGATGAAGCTTCGAGCGATCGTCGCTCGTAGCCGAGAGCTAAATTTCGCGTAGATTCCGGAAGCTCCGCGTCTCTCTGCCAATCGGTATGTAGAAAATGAACGGGTGTATCCTTCGGTTCGGGGGGGAAAATTGATGAAAAATGCGCAAAGGTCGAAAGCACGACGGTCAACTTAAACACTCCCGTAGGTGGCTACTTCGTGTACAAAAGTTCTCTCCCGCGTAGCGGCACCGACCAAGTACCAATTCGAGGACCCACTTAACGCGCGAAACCTCTCGTATAACCCGATCGTTACAATTAACTTACACTCGGCAACGTAAATTCCCGTACTCCAAACGGCGACAAACCATCCTGTAACAGACAACATTCGCGCAACCTCTCGGTTGCTCTTAAGGGGATGTCAAAGTGGCATCCGAAATCTCAATCGTTCATAAAACTTTTCTACAAACTGGGTGTCTGAAATCATTTCATACTTTAAAACGTGAATATGGAGACCTTAAGGTAGGTCCTGAAACTCGCCAAGTTTAATTTTTAATTAACTATCTTTAAAATACCTATAAACAAATTCGAAAAGAATGGCAATTCCATGAGTTTCAGGACCATCCTTATAGTCTCCTTAGTCACGTTCTAAAGTTTCAAACTATCCGGTAAACCGAGTTGGGAGAAAAGTATTATAAACAATGCCTCTTCGACGCCACTTTCACATCACCTTAAGGGTATGTCAAATTGGCATCCGAAATCTCAATCGTTCATAAAACTTTTCTACAAACTGGGTGTCTCAAATCGTTTCATACTTTAAAACGTGAATAAGGAGACCCTAAGGTAAGTCCTGAAACTCGCTAAGTTTCATTTTCTTTATAAACTATTTTTAAAATACCTATAAATAAATTTGAAAATAATAGCAATTCCATGAGTTTCAGGATCTTCCTTGTAGTCTCCCTATTCACGTTCAAAAGTTTCAAACTACCCGGTAAACCGAGTTGGGAGAAAAGTATCATAAACAATGCCTCTTCGACGCCACTTTCACATCACCTTAAGGGTATGTCAAAGTGGCATTCGAAATCTCAATCGTTCATAAAACTTTTCATACTTTAAAACGTGAATATGGAGACCCTAAGGTAGGTCCTGAAACTCGCCAAGTTTCATTTTTTTTATAAACTATCTTTAAAATACCTATAAACAAATTCGAAAAGAATGGCAATTTCATGAGTTTCAGGACCATCCTTATAGTCTCCCTATTCACGGTCAAAAGTTTCAAACTATCCGGTAAACCGAGTTGGGAGAAAAGTATTATAAACAATGCCTCTTCGACGGCACTCTCACATCACCTTAAGATCTTTCGTGCCGTCTCCGTCCCCAACCTGTGATACGTGCAACAGATTTATTCCATGCGCAGGGGGTCAAAGGAAATCGAGACGATGTCTATTATCACGTACCGCATGTTATGCATACTCGGTTATAACGTGTCCTTACTTAAATGTAAGTTATACGTGACGTAAAAAGAGTTACAAAAGTCGGAGCCGCGCGTTAATTCGGGCCCTAAATCTCGTCTAGTGAACCTCGGTGATATCCGCATTTTGCTCCAATTGTGCGCGTACGGTACACACCTTATCTATTATCGATAGGGGGCTGATAAAATGAATGTCTAGTCGTTAGCATACTTCCTACCACGCTATGTTACAATGCGGTTACCACACCGAGAAGTCGTGTATTACACGTTGGGTACTACACAGAGAGAAGTAAAAGCACGATAATATATCTATTACGTTCTATAGACGTTCAACGTTGATTACTGGAAGGGGGGAGTTTTTTTTTTTAACGTATCCATAGATGAATGCTACCTTAATCTATCGAATAGATTTAGTTTACGCGTAATGATGATATGGTGGGACGTGATCTAGTCTAGAATCGTTTTCGGTAACAACCGATATATAACACCCTTATCTGAGAGTCCATCCTTCGAAAGAAGACACGACTCGAAAATAAATTCCTCCGTGATACTACACGACGCGAAAAATTCCTTTGGACGCTTTAAACGCAACCTTCACCGAATCGATTTCGATTGAAATTAATTTTGAACCTGTCCCTTTTTTCTTTTTTTTTTCCATTTTTCTTTATATGCAAAATCGATCGAATTTCTCGGCGTCGCTAGAACCCTTCCAACCAATATTTCCTCGTTTTCCCGATCAGACGGATTCTCCCACCTCGTTAGAAAAAGAAATGCAACTTCCAGGTATACTTTTTTTTTTTTCGGGAATGATATGGCCGCGAACAAGTCCGGGAGAAAATATATCGGAAAGATTAAATAACTCGCGACCAAGGACACATTATATATATATCGCACCGTATAAGAATCGAGTACACAAGGAATAACATCGGAGACCCTCGAGAATGCCATATCACGGAAGAAAAGATTGGTCGAGAGAAAATGCCCAACGAACCGCGTCTGTCTCTTAGATACCCCCTACTCTTTAATTATCCATTATTCCTTGTGCAATTCGTGTTTGCAATTTAATTCCTTGCATCGTAAGTCGAGATAAGAGTCGAAAGTTTCCACTCGGTCTCGCGAGAAGATACGCGGTAAAGTAAATAACCATCCATATTTTTCCCGTTGTCTTTTGTTTTTTTTTTTCCTATTAGCACCGGACGATCGGAACATTTCATTAAACGGACATGGTACCTGGCTTCAAGTACGCGCAGCTTATCCCAAGGCAAATGCGATCCAATTCAAGGTGCGACCTCGACTTAATCGAGGATAAACGTTCTTCCTAAAAAGTCCTACGAGTCCGCGAGACATCCGTCCTCTCCGAAGAATCGGAACGGTTAAATGCTCAGAATTCTGCGGAATGGCTTAACGATTAAAGGGATAAAAGAAAAGGAAAGAGAAGAAAAAGGAATATCTAAAATCAGCGTACAAAACCGAAGGGTACCCGACGTCAAAGTGTCCTAAAAGAGGACGCGTTACGAATTATCGTCGTCGTTATCCTTCCCAAGACTCGTCGACGAGCGTCTCGTCCCTCTGGGCAACGATCGCGACGGAAGGTCTACCAGGGGCAGATATCCGTTAATTCGTCGAGAAAACGACAAACGATAAGAACAATCGCAGATCGCGCATGACCCGTTAGAATGATTCGGACGACGAGTCGAACGCCGACGATAGCTCTAAGTGACGCGAGTCGACGGTACACCTAGTATAACATTTGGCAACACGGAATAATGGAAGCGATTACGATATATCTCGTTAACAATTGGCAATTATTATCGGCAGGTCCCTGCCGTTAACTCGAGCCCTCGGTCCTAGACGGGGCGAGGGCTCGATCGGCGACAACGATCGGTCCAAAAAATCCGAGACGCGCGACTTCCCGGAGGGCGTCTTCCTTCCCCTGCTCCCGAAGTCGCGCGCCGTAGTCAGGGTAGCGGGGGATAAAATCGCAACGACAAAAACGAGATACCGAGGGATCCGACCGAGCGCCCGACGGCATCGCCGTCGCCACTCCGTCGCATATCCTCGGCGATAGAGATAAAACGATACCTTGTTCGCCCTTCGGCAGCAAATCAACGGTCGAGATAGTATCGTGACTCCTTCCGCGAGGCCGGACTCGCGGGAAAGAAAGACGGCGTCCCGGCCCCGGGATCGGGGAAACGATTCCTGCGGTTTCGCTAGGTCCCCGGGCGGCGGGGGCCCGCGCTCCTTTTCCTTTTTCGAGAGAGATCGATCGAGGGGACCGCTGGCACGTCGAAAGGACGAATCGGCCCGGTTACGACGACTTATTGTTTGCCGGACTTCTTGTTCGATCGGTCACCTAGGGAGAAACGGAATTAATGCCTCCGGTCCCGGATTCGAGGGGCTCGTCGGAAGGGGAACGAAGGAATACCTTTGGTGGCCTTCTTCGTGGAGGACTCGGGTTTACACCTCTTGGTGAGACGTCGCGTTTTTTCGCAGGACGCGTCGCTGTTGGCCTTCAGGTTGTCCACTCTGGTCATCAGCTGATTGACGCATCCGCTCCACGTGCCCTTTTCGTACCGACACGCTGCTCTCCCAGCCGGGCATGTAAGGACACAGGAGGAAAGCCGATCATTACGTTGGCACGGGCGGACCTCGCGCCGGCGAGAAATCGCTACCTTTTTTGCACTTCTTCTGGATGGTCTTGGTCTGCTCGCAGGAGTCGTCGCCCTTCTTGAGGTTGAGGGTGCGCGTGCGCGTGTTGGTCTTGGTGTCGCACTCGGACCACTGGCCCTTGACGTATCGGCAGGAGGACACCCCGGCAGAGGCTGCGGCCAACAAGAGGAAAGTTCGCTAACTCCGAGTCGCGCGATCAGCGAAACGCTCGCGGAACGTTCGGGGGTTCACCTCTTTCCTTGGTGCCCCGGGCGGTCCGCACCAGCACCTCCTTGTCGTCCTCCTCCCAGAGGTCGGTCTCCGCCCCCGCGACCCGCCCCGCCACCGAGACGGCCAGGCCGACCACCAGCAGGCTCCACCACAGCTTCATCTCGTCTGAAAGCAAGGAAACGGCGTCGCGTCGGCGGCCAGCGGGAGGGACTCCGCTCGCGGCCGATACGGCGGCCCCGCCGGGCGGAAAGCGGAACCGAGTGGGCCGCTATCGGCCGAGATACGGCCCATCTCGGGGAAGGCCTAATTACGCCCCGACGGCCCCCGCCGGGAGGGGAGAAATTCGTATCGATTTTACCGCGCCGAGGTACGCCGTCGCGGGTTACCTTCTAGGGGCCCGTCCCCGACGCGGGCCCGCGGACCTCCCGGACCGGCGCCGGGGAGGCGAGACGGTGCTCGATAGCGCCCGCGCTTGCGCAACCGAGTCCTACTCGCGTTCGTTCTCCCTCGTCCCCCAAGGTCAATTTCCAGGCGAATCCCGCGGTCGCGCGATGTTATATTTAGCCGGCGATTATCCCGTCCGATCAAAAGGAGCGCGCCGCGGCGCCACGAGGGGGCAGGGGCCCGCGGAAGGGGGCGGACGGACGCTCCGCAAAATCGTTAAGCCCGTGCGCGTCGCGCGCGGAGCTTGCGGCCTGCCGCGGGGGAGCGCGCCTCTCCGGGAGCGGTCCCCGGAACGGGAGACTTACCTCGTTAGCCGAGGGCCGCCTTCCGCCTTTCGGGTGCTTCGACGTCGCTTCTATTCGGCCGAGGGTCCTCCGAGCACTGACTACGGCGGGGACGCGGAGTCGATGCTTCGCGACTCGCTGCTCGCGACTGCGCCGGCCAGCCGACCGATTGGCTCTACCTCCCGCCGTCTCCCCACTCCGAACCCCTCTCGACCACCCTCCGAGCGAAGCGACGCCGCCCCTCCCGTCCTCTCGCGGCCACCCCCGAAACCAGCGATTCTCGACTCGATCCAATTCGATCCATCGAATTGACGCAAATCGATTCCGATCCCCCGGAAGCAGGGTGAGTAATTTCTCGATTTTCGAGGTTTTTGACGTATATCGCGTAAATCAAACAGTTTACCGGAGAAAACGTATCAAATATGGCGGACAAGACAGACGTAGGGCATGCGGTATACGCAAGGTTATAAACATCCATCTTGTCCATTTCTTTCAGCCCATAATTTACTTTTTGATCTTCCACCTTTATACATTTTTATGCAAATATTGGTTACGAATCTTACGACTTCAAATAGCCGTTATGAGCCGTTATAAACAATCGTCAAATGCACGTATATGCATACATTTGAAATTTCCAAGGCTGATTTCGAGTGTGCGCGGATTTGCGGATGCGTGAAGCGCAATCCCCTTAATAGCCAATGAGAATTTCTCTTAGAGGTAAATGGGTGGACTCTCATTGGCTATTGACGATATTGCGCATGCGCTTTGCACGTTTAGTTTGGGGTAATATACTTCGTGCCTGCGTAGAAAACTGGGGACGTATTATATACGTTGTAATATACGTGTAGAAAATCACGTATGTTACTTGACGTATTATACTTACCCAACTCTGCCCGGAAGTGCTCTGGGGCAAAGAATGCAGAAGTCCCATAGAAGCCTAGATTCTATGTCAGCGCTTGATGCTTTTAAAGTTGGGTAATAAATCGGAAGTGGGGGTAAAAGAGAGATAGCATGTGTTAGCCAACGGTATCTCGCATGTGGGAGGAGAGAGACGCATATAGAAAATGTATTGTGGGTGAGATAAAGAAAGAATGCAATTCGCTATATATCGCCATAAGATTAAGGGAGCTGGAGAGATGATTACAGCGCCGCCATCCGTTGTCTAACGTACTATTTATCGAGCATCGAGCCTCCGTATCCTTCAGGGCTTCTATTGAGACTTCTGAATGCCTTATCTAGGGTGGTTCTTATTTCCTCTTGGTAAACATTCTTTTGCCTTACCTCCCAATTTAATCCCACTTTACATTGAAAACATTTCTTGTAAAATTTGAGCAGAATCGGACAAAGGGAAAGGGAGCCTCTGTGCCCTAGAAAATGAAAAAAAAAGACCCATGAAATCGGAGACAAAATCAATTTCATTCCATTACCTTGGAAAATATTAATTTTATGCAAAAGAAGCTTTATACGAAAGGTGTAGATCTATCGAAGATGCGCATGTCGTTACCTACCACTTTTTCTAGGATACGGTCATCCGAGAAAAAAAATCCTAGAGGTCGGCGTTTATTTTTCAACGTCAAACTTTGTTTGTCCCGGGAATACGGATGAATCGGAGGTAAACGAAGGAGGATCCATCGGCCGATTCGACTCACCTCGGACGAGATCGCCGAAGGATCCGCCCAAGAAGATGGCGACTCCTGGGGGTTTCGAGGGGGAGCGAGCCACCTTGAAACATTTCCCTGCGCGTTCCTTTTCAAATCTGGTCGGTTGCAGGCGGCATCACGAAGGAAAGATAAAATTGAATTTTATTCGCCCCTTTCGGGTGCATCTGGTATCTGGATGGGCCAAGCGCGATCCTCGGCGAGGTTTCCGTCCCCACGCGGAAGAGGCACCGGTTCTTGCGGATCTCGGTTCGGTCGGAATCGACCGGGCGCGGTTAAGAGCTGGCTCGCTGGTCTCGTAAATCGAGCGGCTCGAGCGGGCGTAATTGCAAAGGAAATGAGATCAAGTTCGAGCGAGCGCGAGCCTCGGGAAGAAGGGGGACGGTGGGCGAAGTCGTCCCAGCCGTCGGCTCTTCCTCTCCCGGTGCCTCCGGGTCTCGGGCGAGAAAGGAAAGGAGGGGGAAGGCATAGCGAAATGAAAGAGACGACCGTTTAGGATTGCTTTAAAAAATAAACATTTATTTCAAAATTAATGCTTACGAGCTGTGTTCCTAAGATCTAAGTTCTCTATAATCCTATACACCGACCGCATCTCGGGTGTTCTCTCGGTCCTCGAGGCCCGCCGAGCGCGTCTTCGTCGCGCGAACGAGTTCCTCTCTCCGTCCCTCCCTCTTATAGTACCGTAGTGGATTCTGGAGACGCCGCTCGCTCGTCTCCGGTCTCCCCCTCCTTATCGTAACATGATTTCCATGTCGCGTACGTATGTTACATCCAAGTCGTATATCTAGGGTCGTCCTCGGGCCCGCGATCCTTCCTCCCGGACCTCGGGCCGCCTCGCGAGTCGGAAGTCCTCTCGCGACTCGCCGCGTCTAATCACCGAGTTAAGTCTAAGACGATAGTACCGCTAAGTGTCGATATATCACATCAGTCGCTCGGCGCCGCGTCGAGCCCCGGCCGTTTCCATCTCGGGATCCCTCGGCGCTCGTACCCTTAAGCGGCGTCCTTCGAGGATTGCACCAACTCCCCGAAGGAGGTCTCCAAGCACTGGCGCAGCTCGGCGTAGCTCACCACCAGGACGCTCTGCTCGTCCCGGGACATCAGGCAGATCTGGAACCGGCCTCGCGGTAACGTCGTCGCCTCGACTGGACCTCTCGTCGGGCCGCGCGTCCACTCACCTTGTCGTGAGAGCCCGAGTCGAGCTTGTTCAGGCAAGAGACGACGTGGGCCATGTCCAGCCAGGGCCTCCCGTCCGCGGCGACCTGGTGGAACACGTAGTCCCTGAACAGCTTGAGCATGTACCGGTCGCCCGTCTCTGCCCAGGTCGGCTCCATGTTGAGCTCCGGCCTCTCGTTTACGGTGGCCAGCTTGACGAGGAGCTTGAACAGCCGTCCGTTCTCGAGCTCCTTCGAGAGCTCGTTCTCGAGGACGTCGGAGCGCAGCTGGGCCGCGTCCAGCTGGGTGTAGAATCGTGCTCCGATCATGGGCATCAAATCCGTCACGCTCCTCCGTGCCTGGTTCGACAGCAAGTACCTGCGAACGTAACCAGGTAATCCAGGCAATCGTGACGCCGCGCTCATACGTACAGAATCAGGTTGCGCAGGTCCGTCGAGTAGGAACGGGCGACGAGCTCCAGGGAAGCCTGCATGTTATCGCGGTGAACGGCGAGGAGGCTGCGGCACGCCAGGGCGAGCACGAGCTTACCCAGCGCTATCAGGTCCTCCTGCTGGTAGTGGGGTATCAGGGTGAGGGGATTCGCAGCGCTTCCGTCGAAGGTTACGACGTCCGGGACCGAGACGCAGCTCAGACGAAGTCGGGTCCTGGACGTGAGCAAGACCTTGGTCGGGTCCAGGCATCTGTAGGCGAGACCTGCGGACGAGTGGGTTCGTTATCCTCCGGTCGGCCCCTCGGAGGTTCCGCGGAATCGTACGAACCAGCCGCGTGGACGACGCGCAGGGCGGCCGTCAGCTGGATGATGTAGCTCCAAATGATGCTTTCAGGAAGCATGCTCCCATGCTGCTGCCTGAGGATCGTGTTCTTCGTGTGGCTGTAGGGCCGCGGCGCGTTCGGGTCCGAGGAGAACGGGTCCGTGTATCCGTTGACCTCGGTGGAGGAGAAGTGCTTGTTCAGCAGTGTCTCCGACCCCGGGTGGTAGTCGTAAACGAATACCATGGCTAAAATCGAAGGCAATCGTGTCAGGTCGCGACGAGACTAGGGAAACTTTGGTCGGGGCCGTCCGCGGATACTGACAATGATCGCCGAAGGCCTTGGTGGTGAAGACCTCCCGGAGCTGGACCAAATTCGTGTGCGCCAACCGCTTCCACATGTCCACCAGCACCATGCACTTGGTGTTGGCGAGCCTGAAATCTGAAGGCAAGCCACGGGGAACGGTGACGGCTTTCCACGGGAAGACGTCGGTGTTCGGAAGGTACCTTGGTGTACGTACCGTGTACTCTGCGCAAGCAGTATCGGGTGCCCGTCTTGACGTTGGTTGCCTTGTAGGTGGATGTCTGATAACCGAGTACCGTCGAAGCGGCCTTGTGGACGGCCTCGAGAGGACACAGCTCATGGTAGTTGTCCACTTCGTTGGGCAAATCGGGAAACCGAACGACGTCGGGTTGAGTCAGGGTCATCGCGTTCTTTTGAAGGATGTCCAAGCGCAGACTCTCGGTCACGAAGAAGCTGGGGTTGGCTTGAGGCGGAGGAGTGGACGGGGCAGAAGAGCTATTGGACGACGATTTCGTCGGCTTTACCGGCTGAAGATGGGCAGGGGTGCCGGGATAGACGTAGCCCACCTGCCCTGCCGCGATGTTCGTCATCTGGATTAAAAAATTAGGCCCACGTTAGGTATCAACACGCAACTGTGATATTCATTCACAGATATACCGGAAAATGTTCTACTTGGTGCATAACAAGAGCAACATACCGGATCGGATGCATCCTCCGCTCCCACGGAATCGGGTGCGGCGTGCCCCAGGTAAAAATACGTTGTGCCGCCCACGTTTTCCTGAGAATGATAGGAATTATTGAAAAGATTCGGCGAGCTGCTGTTACTTCCCGAGATTCCTCTGGCAGGGACGAATTCTGGACTCGAAGTCGCCTTTTTCTGGCCTTCCAGCGAAAGGTTCGACAAGTGCTTTGTAACCGACGCCGCACCGAGAGCCACCGCTGGACTCTGGTGATTCTGAAGAAAAGGCAGAACTTACAGTTAGCTTCTTCCTTCCCTTTCGTTCTCCGAGTATCGAGAAGTCAAACTGTACGAATACCATGTAGGTAGCAAGCTTGGACTCCAATGGAACTCCATTTGTTTCGGGGGTGTAGGCAACGAACATCGACGGGTCCATGTTTCCTTCGGCCACTGCATTTACCGATACTCAAAGCGTACAATACTCTGGACGAGGCCAGTTCCTTCCAATCCTGTAACATACCTCAGGGTACCGTTAGCGAACACAAAGGAACGACGCGTCGGTCAACTTTTAACCTCTTGAATCAGCATCGAGACCCTTTTTACTCGTACACCTTCTACTCCGAACCCGAAAAGTGATCGAACGCTACGCTCCCATGTTGGTGGGACTCGATGAGTATGAACAAACGATAAAATCCTTGGGATAAATCAATCTATCCAAGGAATCGATGCTGACTGAAAAGGATACTCGACGACCGAAACGTCGAAAAAAGCGAGAGAATCCGGGCCCGATGTTGTGACACAAAACTGAGTTCGACGAGCCGCGCGGTTGCCTTCGCCTAAACCTCGCGAGAATTCGAGCCGTGCGTGGCGGAGGGCACGCTCCGGCGTCGCAGCAATGGCAGCTGACTTTGACAATAGTCGGAGAAACACGCAACCTTGACAGTAGGAGGCAGACTAACTCGCGGTCGACCCGCGGTCGACCCGGAGGCTCGGAGGCCCCGAGGGCCTCAGGGGCGCGCCGAGTTGCGGGCCCGGGCGGCCCCAGGGCTCGGCGACCGCGCGTCTCCGGGTCGCGCCGTGCGCCGCGCACTCCGCCGCCGAGAGTCTTTTAAAGGTTAACCCAACGAGAGACGCGCTGCAGTCTGACCGTGTTATGACATCTTTCCTTCTCGGAGACAAAGGAGAAAGCCCGACCAATCCGATCCGCCGTGTGTTTACGCTGCTCTCGGCTCGCCGCTCGTCTCGGCGTACTGCTCTCGGCCGCGCTCCTCTCTCGCCACCACTCGCCTCTCTCGGTCTGGCGGGCTTCCCTCCGCTTCCCTCTCTCTCTTCCCCTCTCACGAGCGAGCGAGTACTGTTGCTTCGCTTCGATCGCAGCTGTCGCCTCCTCGAACGCGCACCGCAAACCTATCGACAGAGATGAGTTGGGAGATTGCTTAACGGGCAGAGTCGCCCGATCGCGTCGTGTGCTGCCCTCTGGTTTCGTACGTTAGCTTTCACCGTTTTTTGCCCCCAAGGGCGACGCAACGAATTTCTGGTACGGGCTCGCGCACTCGGGATGGCGGTGCCATCTACCAGTCGCCGTTGGCGGCTCACGTACTCGTGATGGTAATACCATGCGGCTGTTGACGGTGGTGGCTTACCTACGCTTACCGACACTGCTCGCTTTTGATGGTAAGGGAAGAACACTCGTGGCGCCCTCTTTGACTTTACCTTTCACTTATCTTATTTATTTTATCCGCAAATGGGGGGCAAAAAACGATGAAAGCTAACGTACGAAACCAGAGGGCCGCATAGGAGCGATCGCGCGACCCTGCCCGTGAGCAATCTCCAACTCATCTGCTATCGATATGCGAGCTTCGTCGAGGTGAGTTCGATGTCTCGAACCAAGTCGAATCGAGTCGAAGAGTCGACTGGTCGCGTCGGCCATGTTGGCTCGTTCGTGCGAATCAGGGCGAATGGTCCGGTGTAAACAGAGTCGTGGGTACGCGGAATAACTTTACCGCGACGGACAAAACATGGAACAGGTTTATAAGGCTTAGAAATACTGATTCGTTTGTAGTGACAATTAACATCCCTATTTTGTTATTTCAGGACTTAAAGGATAAAATCGACCTTGCCTGTCGTACTGCCGAGGAGTTTACGAAATTATACTACGACAGTCTTGACAAGAGAAGATACGTACGTCATGCATTTAACGATGTTTATTTCCGTAGCGCTTGTTCTACCATTATTGATCATTTTTAGCCGATATCGAGGTTATACTTGGATTCCGCTATCTTGATATGGAACGGGAACGGAGTAGAAGGTAAAGATCAAATTCAAAAGTTCTTGATGGACCTTCCGTCTTCTACTCACTCCATCGTCACACTGGATGCTCAACCAATTACCGGTAACTATAAACTTTTACGGTCGATTCCCTAGGTCCTCCGATTAAAATTTTTCATTTTTAAAACCTCAGGCCCAGCCGTAGCCGACCAGCTGACGTTTCTCGTGAAAGTCAGTGGCCAAGCAAAATACAAAGACAAGCCATCGAAACCCTTCAATCAGAACTTCTTGATCACCGCCGTTGGCGACAAGTGGAAAATTGTGAGTGACTGCTTCAGAATGCAAGAAGCGTTTGAACCACCCATATAATTACTCTACATCACGCGTGTAACGAGAACTCGTAGACATTTTTACCCTTATACGATATATTTTGAGTCAGGCATTTGGAGTACTTTGGTAATAAATTTCATTACGGTAAATTCAATAACTAAACCACGATGGAACTTCGGCAACGGGATCTCTTTTAAACTGTCCCAAACTCCCTGTAATTTGATAATTATTTTTATTCTCAATCTTATATATCAATGTATAAAGCAATATTAAAATTTCATATCGGTGGATCGGTACGTTGGTCGATCGTTCGAGGGAATAATTTTACATCAAGTATTGGCGAAAATAAATACAGATATAAATAATCGTAAAATTACTATAATACATATTATATAAAACACGGATATCGCATTTGATTTGCTATTTCTCTTTCGCATTCGTATTCTTCTCTGGACGTCGCGACGCGATCGATCCTTTCGAAGTAACGGAATTTCGGAACCAAAGCGGGGAACTGACCGGCGGATAGAATGCTTTATCACAGGTAGAAAATAATAACGATTCAACCGGTAGAGAACTGGATGGAAATTAGCCCTTTCGGTAGTCTCAACGCGTTACCGAATCCGGTGTACTGGTAACGCGCGATAGGCAGTGCCGCGTTAAGTCGAATTTCACCGATCACCCCCTGAATATATATATCATCAGTTCTGGGCCCGACCTTACATCCGAGCGTACAATCGCGTTAGGTAATAATATATTTGAAAACGGCCACGGTCGTCTTCCGCGTCGCCGGACAATCCGGAATTAACTGGAATACACGATCCTCGGCGCTAGGAGTATTCGCGGGGTGCAAAAAAAAAAAGAAAAAAAAAAGTCCGCGATACTTCCAACGGCCGACAGAAATTTGAGGTTATAACTTCTAAAACTCGCCGCGATCAATCGGATATATCCATCCAAAGCGTCCGCACTGTATACAGTCGATGTAAAACGTTACCAGAAAATATCCGATCACCCCCAGAGTATAAATATATCGACGGTATCGTCAGAGAGACGTCCCCAAGGATGCCTCGGTGAACGTCCAAGACCGCCGGAAGGCGCCGAGCCGTTAAACGACCCCGGATATCGGGAGCTCTCAGAAAAATATCGAATCCCTTAGAAACATCTACCGGATATCCTATTAGACGTCGAGTATCGTCCTCGTAATTCCCTGACGTCGATTAAGTCCGCCTAGGCAGGTCTCATCGACACCGACACGCCGAGGTCCTCGGGAGTGGGGTTTCGTCGTTTCCGAATATCTTGGTCAATTCGCCTCGGCCACCGACCGGGCGACGCTTCGATTACGAAATCGTTATATCGTCCCACGGTACACCTAAAATGACTTAAACGGTAATCCTCCGTCGTAGCTCCTCCCTTAAATCTAGGTCTACGGGTACGCGTACGTAATATACTAAGCGCTATGCATGGATGAGTATAAAATTACAGGTATAACGAGACGACGCGTAGACGGGTGTGAAAAGCGACTTGCCCGAAAGGAGCCGAGCACCTAGGCGAATCGTCTCGAGGAGCGCCGCATCCGAACACGAAATGTCTCGGTCTTCCGTTCCGGGGCCACCCTCGTCCGCCGTCCCCGAGCGGAGGGAGGAGCCGCTCGCCCGACGACGCCCGGAGAAGCATCGTAAAAAGTAACCGTCCTTGGGAAAACCCTCTCCGCCGCGCGAGCCTACGGCTCCCGACGTCCGAGGAATCCGCGGGAGGTTCCCGGGGAACTCCTCCGGTGACTTAGATGTACATGTATATATATGTATATATGTATACGGGGGGGGGTTTACATTCGAGAAATTGGAGGAAGCGGGATCTCGCCCGACCCTCGCCGCCCGAAATCGCTCGTAGAGGGCGAAGAGCCGTTTCCGCGGTCCTTCCGGAAGCAAAGGGCGGCGTCCGCCCGCCCTACCTCGCCGCGGAAGAAGGAACGTCTCGCGCCCTCCCGAAACATGGAAGCCAACCGCGACGACATCCGCGCGTCTAGGCGCCGATAGGTTATCCGAGAAAGGAAGGAACGTGATCTCACCGTAGGAGGGGACGGCCCGGAGCCTCGCCGTCCAAGTAACGCGGGCGGTCTTACCGCTGCACCGTGTTGACGACGTCCTTGATCGCGTTCTGCAGGTCGGCGAGCAGTCGGGCGTTCTCGGCGACGTTGCGCGTGCCGGCGGCGCGCAGCTGCCGCGCCTGCAGCTCGAGCCGCGCCAGGAGGTCGCGGAACTGGAACCGCGCGTGGGGGGCGATCGCGGTGTCGGTCAGGTTGGCGCACATACCGTGCAGCAAGCCGACCTTGTCGGATAGCTGGAGCCAGCTGGCCGCAGCGACGGCGGGGCTGCCCTTCAGATTGGAGAGGCTGCCCTCGATGACGGCGGAGATCTCGAGGACGGCTTGCTTCGCCCCCTTGGCGTCCGCGGCGTGCCGGCCGGAGGACTCCTCGTCGGCGGCCTGCGAGGACGAGGACTCGGCGCAGTTGGGAGTCGCGTAGATGGAGGAGCCGAAGTGGGGGCGATTCCCAGCGGAGACGACCAGGGACTTGGGGGGCTTGGCCGGGACGAGCGGCCGGTCCGCGTCGGGGGCGTGCGGCGCGGGCGGCCACACCCTGGCGCGAGCGTGCTCGTCCGCCTCGTCGGTGGCCGGGCCACCCCGGCCGCTCGGTTTCGGGCTCAGGGGCTGGCCGACCTCGGGCTGCGTCGACGCGGCCTCCTTCGTCTCCCAGAGCTTCTTCAGGCTGCTAATGCTGCCGGTGCTACGCCGCTTGTCGTCGGCCTGCTCCGCCTGGGAGTCCGTTGACTCCCCTCCCGATCCGGCCTCGTCCCTACGCCCTCTTTCCTCGGCGGTGCCGTCGACCTTCCGCAGCCGCGCCTTGAAGTCGATGATCTGCCCGTCCACGGATTCGTCCTTCTGAGGCTGGGTCCTCTTGTCCACCTTCTTCAGCTTGAACCCGGGGGCCGGGGCGCCGAGCGGGGTCTCCGCGAGGGGCGACGCGGCGCGCGGCCGCTCCTGGCTCCGGTCGGGCTCGGAGCCGCCGCCGCCGATCCGGCTCAGGCTCGATATGGCGTACTCGTTCTGGAAGACGGGCCGGCCGGCGTCCATGCTGAAGCTGGCGCAGAGCTCGGAGAGTAGCCGAGAGGCCGGGTCGAGGGGCGCCGCGGCGGTGCCGTTGGGCGCCGCGCCTAGTTTCCTGTGGGCGGCCCCCTGCCTGATCTCGTTAACGAGCTTCAACTCGAGCATCTCCTTCATGCCAGGCTTCGAGTCGAAGGTATCGCCCGGAGGGGGCGGCGGTGGCGGCGGTGGCGGGGGCGGCGGCAGCGGTGGCGGAGGCGGCGGGGGCGGTGGCGGCGGCGGAGACTCCTCCGGGGAGGCGTCCTTGGCGCGGAAAGCGGTTCTCCGCTCATCCCCGGCCCTGCCCGTGTTGGTGGATGCATCTGCCGAATTCTCCCGGCGTCGGAGGTTGACGCCGAACCTAGAGCTGGCCTCCTTGACCGAGGGCTCGGGGTTCCTCACGTCGAGGTTACGTTCCTCCTCCTCGGCGGTCCGGGCCTTACGCGCGGCCACCGGCGAGGCGGTGCCCGACGGGTCGAGGGCGTCGCCGGCCGGCGGCGGGGGGAACTCGAGCGGCGGAGGCGGCGGGAACTCCAGGTCCGCCAGGGTCGGCTGTACCGACCGCGAGGGGCTGGCCGTCCGGAAGGTGGAGGTGCCGGGGGCCCGGAAGGTGCGAGCGGGCCCGGGCTCGGGCGCGTTCCTCCTGCCGGCTAGCGCCCTGCTCCTCGGGGAGCTCGGCGGCTGGTACGTACTCACCACCCCACTCGAGGAATTGCTGCGCGTCATCTGCGGCTGCTGGCCCCTCGGGTTGCTCTGCCTCGGCGACAGGGACCGGTGCTGCGGCGGACCGTCCGCCTCGCGGTGCTCGGCCGTCGTCGGGAGAGCTCCGGGGCCGACCTCCGGCGCGGAGGGCATCCCGCTCTGGCGCAGCGACTCCAGGTACGCGCCGATCCTCGCTCCCTTCGGCAGCGTCCCGTAGCGGTTTATCGCCCGCTTAACATTTTGCACCTCCAACGCTCCCACGTGGACCAACTGAAACCGAACGGGAGGCCCGCGTTAACCGGGAGGGGAGGGCGTCGTCCTCGAGACGGCGAGGCGGTTATTCAAGCAGTGCTAGATGCATTTACCGAGGCGGGCCGAGGTCCGCTCGGCACCGACCCTGACCGTTCGCTTCTCGACTTTGGCTGTGGTTATACCTTCTGAGGCGGTACCTCCTTAGACGTGGGGTAGGGTCGGGTTTTAATAAGTTTCTGATTGCACTGTAAGGTGGACACGGGTTCCGGCGAGGTCGATCCTTGCCCCGGGAAACCGAGCTCCGCCGTGCCCTGAGAACCCTCTCCGTCGTCGTCCCCGTCGCAACCTCCTGCGGTTTGCGACTGTGCGGCCATTGTCACGAGATCTCGCGTGATACCTGAGTTTTCATTCAATAAAGAGACATAGAGTGTATCGGTCCAGCGAAGACGCTTCGGGGCCATAGCGCGGGACTCCGCCATACCAGACGACTTCGGGCGAGACACCGTCGCTTCCGCGCTCTTTTTCTCTCTCTCTCTCACTCGCGCGAAAGACCCTGGTATAGTCCTGGTCCGCCCTATGCCCTTCGATCGAGTTCAACAGCCATGTAGCAGTTCGTAACGCGATGATGTATGCCGTACTAGATCCGCGTGATGCACTAATCGCTAAGTGCACGTTATACCATTGTCGGGTACCGCGTGTACCGTTTGTTACGGGTTAGTCCAAGTATCGGCAAAATTCGTTGCAGCAAGTCATCCAGCGGTTTGAACGGGTTACGCGTGGGTGTCGTTAATCTCGTCGCGACGAAACTCGTGGTAGGCTCGTTAACCTCCGAGGAAGGTCGCGTACTCCCGCGCACGGGTCATTCTCCGTAGAAAAAGAGGACTCCCTAGGTCGATTCCTGCGCCCGGTCGCTCTCGCGTTTCCTCTCCATGAGTAAACTCACGTAACACTGCTTGAACACGTAGCGACGCCGTGAAGAAGTGGACGAGCGGAGAGGACGATTCTTTAAAAGAAGAGATCTCAAGCCTTGGTAAAGGTGTAAGTAATATGCAATGCGAGGAGGAACATGAGAGACTCAGGCTACAGCTTCGCCGTACGAGCGTACGGGCGGACGATCATAAGATGCCATGCAGAAACGGGCTGGAGTATACGTTTACGTACTTTTACGCAAGTCGGCTCCGCGTCGATAACCGCGCGTAAACGAAACCAAAGGGGAGGACATTACTCGGTTGGGGTTTTCAACTATTCCGTACCGTTCAACTACTGTACGCCGGAGACGAGTAAACCGCCCGCTTCGGGTATGTGCGGTGTACGCGGATGCATAGACGTATGCTCGAGGTACTCGGATGCGCGGCAAATTTACTCCGCGAGTCGAGCCGGCCGGCGCATTCTCTCAAGAGACATTCAAAGTAAACGTTGGTACATATGTACGGTGACTTCGGGAGAATGACCCGCTTACATCGAGCACTGGCTTCGTCGTACGAGAGATGCAAAAGTGGTAAACGATCCAACAGAAAAGATTCGTATCCAAGGGAAACAATGGTAAAAGCGGCACGTGCATACGTCATTACGCTGAATTGATGTGTAATTGGAATACCTTCAAAAATCTTATCAATACCATTTAGATCGGTGCCGTCATCTAGGGTGATCGCGTTCGCGTCTACGTTTTGCTGGTCTTGCTCCTGGTACGCCGAGTCGCGGAAAGAACTGCACGATGACAATAAACTGCAACGCCAGTTGAAGCAAACAGACACGGGAATCGTTAATGACCGACCGAGGTATCGGAGGTTAATTGGGTCGAGATTAAGCGAGCCTACCTCGTACGCTTCGGCGGCGCCGGAGCTTGTTTCCCCTTTTTGTTCGTCGAGCGGCGCATCTGCACGATGTTGCTGTTGCTCTTGCTGGTCAGTCCACCCATAAAGGTACTGAGCTTGCTCACCGTACTCGTGCCATCTGCAAGCACGACAAACCTTCCGTCTGATGGACCGCTCGGTTAATAAGAGGGGAAAAATCGCGACCCACCGCTCGTACCTTGAGTCAATCCCGAAGACAACTGGTCCGAGACGAGCACGAGTTCGTGTATGTTACCCGTGCTTCCGGTTTGCGACTTCTTGTACGATAGCAGGGGAATTTCCGCGCTACCCTGCAGTTGCTTCTCTACCTCTGCAACCGTGAAGAGCAACGTTGTAATTCTCGTTCCGCGATATGTATCGCCTTCATCAGGGCAAAATAACATATTTAAAGAAACGTTACCCTCCGTGATGCTGGACTCTTGAAACATGTTTTCCAAGGAGTGGTGGATTTCCTTGAAGGTCGGTCGCTCCGGAGCCGACCATTGCCAACATTGGCGCATGAGCTCGTATACCTTGGGAGGACATCCGGGTGGACATTCCATACGATAACCCTTTTCCAGCATGTGATATACGTCGGTTAAGTCCACTCCGGGATAGGGCGACATGCCGTAGGTCGCTATCTCCCAGAGCAAGATACCAAAGGCCCACACGTCGGACTGAAAGTATGTGCGTCGCATTGGGTCGTCTCCTGTGCGCGGACTTCATTTTCTCACGTCGAAACGAATCAGAGTTTTTCGAATACCTTAGTGGAAAACTTATTATAAGCCAATCCCTCGGGGGCAGTCCACTTGATCGGAAACTTTGCACCAGCATGGGCGGTATACGTATCGTCCCTCATGAGCCGAGCCAAACCAAAGTCTGCGACTTTGACCAGGTGATTCTCGCCGACAAGGCAGTTTCTAGCTGCCAGATCCCTGGAGAGGTCGGTAAATGTAGTCGATCGATTGCTCGACGTGACTCGACCGCCGGAACATGTTTGTCATACCTGTGAATGAAGTTTCGGCTTTCCAAGTAGCTCATTCCGCTGGCTATCTGAGTTGCCATGTGCATCAAAACGACGGCGTTGATCTGATGCTTGCTCTCGTTGCGCAGGTAATCCAGCAGGTTTCCTTTGCTCATGAACTCGGTGATGATGTAAAACGGTGGCTCGCGAGTACAAACCCCCAGTAACTGAACCAGATTTCTGTGCTTCATCTCTTTCATGATCGCCGCCTCCTCCAGAAAGTCCTTCAGAGCCATCGTATCTTCCTACGGTTTAGATCGCCCCAGGTCATTCAACGTTAATTCGATCTATTGCCAAATATCGGTTCTCGATTGAAATCGACCTCGAGCAGCACAACTTATCGATTTGTTCTCGAAGATATTCCTGCAGCTTAATAAGTAAAAAATATAGCTTCACCTTCAAGGTCTTCACAGCCACTGTCATGTTGTGTCTCTTCCACACGGCCTCGTATACGTCGCCGTACTGGCCACCGCCCAATTTGTGTCTCATCACTATGTCAGTTCTATTGATCTCCCATTCGTCTGGTTCTACCAAGTAACACGAGCTTACTATTGGAGGCTTCCGCGACTTAATCCTAATTGAATGAACCGAAATCAACCTACCTGGGCTAAGAGGGAAGACCGTGGGCTTGTTGTGCTTAGGCGCGGGATAGAGGAGCTGGGTGATGAGGCCGTCGGCCAGCATGGAATGGTGATGCACCAATTCCGCCAACGTGTTGAATTTACTCTCGGTCGTCACGAACATCTGGAAGAATAGTTTGATTTAGGGCAACTGCTGGTTTTCCCTTTCAACGCCTGACAAACCTTTCCTTCGCTGTCCTCGTTGATCCTGTAATGATACACTCGGCCTTCGTAACGTAGAGAAATACTTCGTTGTCCGGGACTGCTCTCCGATTCTCGCACGAGGAAACTCCCATTGATACCGGAACTCAATAGGTACTCGGCAGCGTTCCTCGATATTCTCCCGTGGTACCAGGAATGTTTCTCCAAAGAATTAACCGGAGTCACGTAGTTAGACGGTACCCAGCCCACCTGACCGGCGCTCGAGTGAGCCTCGCACCATTCCCCGCTCTTATTATAACTTAATATGCGAACCTGTTCACCTGTGAGAATACATATTTCTTACGATCATCCCCCGTCGACGATATCTCTGCAATCGTGGGGTGTTTTAAGAGGACCTTGAGTACAGGAGAGATAACGGCAGGGTGAGATCCTACGAGTCAAAGAAGACTTACCCTTCTTGAGGCTGAGTTGGTTCTCCCCTCCTGCCTGGAAGTCGTACAGCGCTACGAACAGCTGGGGATCGTCCTCCTCCTGCGCCAAAAGATTCTCCTTGCTCGTCCATCTGAGTAGCGATAGATTGAGATTGATCATCGGAGAGCTAGTTGGCACTTTGATCGGTAGTTGGTAATAAATCGATTTACCTGTTTGCAGCTTCGAGAAGTCCACAGGTTGACACGCCGGCATGTTGCTGAAGATTGGGTTGTTGCGAAATAGATTGGACCGTGGAGCCGCTCGGTGGATCTCCTTCCGGTAGAGCAGGGATATGAGGTAGAGGTCTACTTTGCAGAAGCGCCTCTGTTTGTTAAAAAAATATTTACGTCTTAACATTTATTGGGAAAATTTCATTCAAAGCCAACAAGAGAAGGAAGCATCGAGGTTTGAAACCGACGCAAAACTAGCTTGCCTTTTTTTGTATAAGCACGCTAGCAAGCATTCGATGCCCTGGTACGAGCTTACCGTCATGATAAGAATTTCCTGTACACTCTTACGAGAAAGCATTCCACAAAATCATAATACTTTTACGTAATTACAAGATTATTGCATTATATAAGATAATACTACGTGATCGCAATAGGCACGACCCTGCCGAGTCCTGAATATTAACGAAAGAAACGAATATGAAATTCGTGACTTTCCTCGACGACCGAAGGAATAAACAATTACCTGCTACAAATCCTCGAAATAACGATATCATCACGAAGGAAAGACATTGAAATTCTCCATCTCCGATACTCTAAAATAATATTTTTTATCCCTGCGAGTTTCGACGTTTTCGGCACGGGAGTGTACGAGAAAAATGATTTTGAAAATAGGCATTCCAGACGTCAAGGCAGGTCGGGAAAAAATGGGCAATAAAACAATAGGAATCTCGGCACAATAGGATCCCCGTCTCCGAGCATAAAGCGTCAATCGAAAGATGCGTCTCGCGGAAACGACGCGACACGTGAGAGTTGAATTGATAAGGGGGGACAAGAAGAGATAAAAGGGAGTTTCGAAACGTGAGGCGATCGATTCCGCGTCTTACCGCTGTGCTCGGTGAAGATGTTGGAGCCGACGAGGCGCGACTCCTTGGGGTTCCTCGGTTGTTTCCGGGCCTGTCTGACGGCGGAGCCGGGAGGAATCACTCTGTCCTTCGTTTGTTGGGCGCCCATAGTTGGCCGCTTAACATACCCCCAGTGCGGCGAAATCCGGGCAAATCCGGGCGCGACTCCGGCGGAGTCTCCGAGGAGAGGCTCGCTTGCACCCGCGCATCCACTTCCGGGAATTCCGGGCGCGTCGGCCGCTCCTCGTGCCGACGCTTCACGACGCGCACCTCGTCCCGCTCATCGCGGCAGGCCTGGGCACCCCGACCGATTACCACGAGCTCGCTGCCGGTCGTCTCCTATCCTCTCTCACATCTTTACGTCTCCATTACGTCCCGCTGCCCCTCGCCATATTTGACAGGTTTTGACGTCGATTATTTAGTTTGTCCGAGCATTGCTGCGGGGCAGCACAACGCCGGCCGAATGCGCAACTGTGCACAACCAAAGAATTCAGAAGTCCCATAGAAGCCCAGATCCTACGTTAGCGCTTGATGCTCTAAAAGTTGGCTAACAAACCAGCAGTGGGGGTAAAAGAGAGATCGAATGTGTCAGCTAACGATATCTCACATATGGGAGGAAGAGAGACCCATATAGATAGGCGAGTATTGTGTGTAAGATAAAGAAAGAATGCAATTCACTATATATCGCCATAAGATCAAGAGAGATGGAGAGATGACTACAGCGCCGCCATCCGTTGGCTAATGTACTATTTATAGAGCATCGAACGTCCGTACCCTTCTGGGCTTCTATGGAGACTTCTGAATCTTTGGCACAACTCACTGTCGTCGCTCCAGACTGCCCGGGATCGCCCATTGGTCGACGCTCTCCTCCAATCAGCGACGCCCGACCCGCCCTTGGCCTAGGGAATTTCTTTGCTTTTTGTCCAGAAGCGCATTTACCTCGTTCGCTCCATCCATTTGAAAATCTCGAGATGGAAAATAATCAATGAAAATGTTCATCTCTACCGCTATCTACAGGTCCTAGATACTCGTGACAAGTTTTTTAACTATTACTTTATGACACTCTGTCCCAATCCTCCCAATCTTTCGTTCCTTTCATTTTTGGTATTGATGTGACGCCAATGAGGGCGAATGAGAGCGTGAAGGAACGACAGGTAAACGCGGCCCATGTGCTTTTTGCCGGGAAAATCTTCTTTACTTGGTTTTGTCATTTTAGGGAGGACATCGAAACTATTCAAAAGGCGAATGCAATAGACAACGTACCATTCTATATCGGGAATATTTGTATGTATTATAATCTAGGCTTTGTTTCTCGTTAGATCATTGTTACCATCTGCGTTTAAAACGACAGGAGACACGCGTATTTTCATCAAAGAAACGAGTTATGACGACTATTCGGAGTGTATCCTGTGGTTTGGACTTTTCCGTGGCACCTGATTTAAACAACTGTTTAACGGCAGCTTCTTCGTCTAAGTATGTAACCAAGGAAGTTAACCGAGTAAATTTAATAACGCTTGCCTTCAAAACTCATTTATCCTTGCAGGTTTGATTTTATTAGTGTACCGCTGGTTCATCCAATGTTTAAAAGGGAATTCATCTCCGGTAAGGCAAAGGAACGCCCAGGGCCTTTTACCAGGTCCGACATGATTCTCTGCAGTTCCGGTAAATTACATAGTTTATAGGAGCGTTCGATCGTGATTGGCCCTCGCGTTATGCTCTAGAATTAATGTCTATCCGTAGATTGGAATAATTTAGTCATTGGCAAGATTTCACCTTACATCAAAGTCGATTGCAAACATCTTCCAACGAGAAAAAATCATGAGGAAATGTTACTTCAAGAAATGGCTCTTGCCAATCATTTGGGTCTTCCTGCGATTACTTTAAAATTAACTGGAAGTATAGAGAAAAATATAAACCTCGCTAGGATACTATTCGATAAAATGGCATCTGCTTGCAATTTCCAGGTATTTCCGAAATTAAAAAATTCCTTTTTTTTTCTGTATTCTTTGAGAGAAGGAGATATCTATAAAAGATGATATTCCAGGTTTGGATTCAAGTTCCTATGGAGAATCCTTTCAAACAGGTGCAAACTCATAGAGATCAGGACGAGGTTCTAGTCGAAAGCCCTTGGGAGTGGTGGAATGCATTTAGGATGGTTTGTGATTTCGATAGAAAACTTGGCGTGGCGCTTCTTGTAAGCCACGATCTACCTGAACAAGAAGAGGTATGGAAGAGCTTTGTAATCGGCAATTATCACTGCTCCTCGGCCATTACAGCTCAAGTCTGTTTCAGATCGATAGATGGTTAGGGGAACCAGTGAGGTGTCTGGTGTTGCCTACGTCATTATTCATTAGTAACAGAAAGGGTTACCCTGTGCTCAGTAAGGGTCACCAGGCGCTCGTTAAAAAATTTTGCACTCTTGAAATACAATTCATTTTGACAGGTGCTAATAATTATCAGAGTATCAGCTTTTACTATACTTATCTGGATTATTTATGGAAGGTAGGTTGAACTCTCAGAACGAAAGGCAAAGCACGTTACCAAGGTATCGTTCCATAAAGACTTATGCTTACGTTCTGTCACGTAGGGTTGCCAGATTAACGGTCCTGTTGAGAGATTCGCACGTGGTTACGAGGATTATCTGCAATGCCCATTACAACCATTGATGGACAATCTGGAATCACAGACGTACGAAATATTTGAAAAAGATCCCATCAAGTACACTCTCTATCAAAATGCCATCTACGAGGCGCTTGTCGATTTATCTAAGAAAGAAGAGTATTTCAATAAAACAATGTATGTCAACAAAGGAGTATGCAGTCATTGCAGATCATCGATTTGGGAAAACTCTTTCATTGAACTAACATGATGTCTAATGGCTCTTGTAGAGTAGTAATGGTAGTCGGCGCTGGGCGAGGCCCTCTGGTACGTGCTTCTCTGAATGCGTCCGATAACTCAGGAACTCATATAAAGGTCTATGCAGTGGAGAAGAATCCAAACGCGGTATTGACGTAAGTCGAGATCATCGGTATTACAGTGGAAGATACGTAAACGGTTGTCATTACTTTACAGTTTACAGTCCCTGAAGAGAGACATGTGGGGTAACAAAGTGACGGTGGTTTCCTGCGATATGAGGAAATGGAAGGCCCCGGAAAAAGCAGATATACTTGTGTCCGAGCTGTTAGGTTCTTTCGGTGACAACGAGCTGTCCCCTGAATGTCTGGATGGTGTCCAGCAATTTTTGAAAGGTGATTGCAGTGGGTGAAAACTCGAAAACTGCCTAAATTGCATTATTTCAATATTTTATAGACGGTGGGATAAGTATACCTTCATCTTACACATCTTACATCAGTCCGGTCCAATCGCCAAAGCTATACAACGAGGTGAGACAGTGTAAAGAGAAGGACAAGCACCCATTGGCACATTACGAGACACCTTACGTCGTGCATCTTCAGAATAAATACGACATTGCGAAGCCGCAGTCGCTCTTCACGTTCAATCACCCAAACAGAGGTACGCAGCATTACCGTTTGCTCCCAGCATAGCGAGAAAATCGATCTACCATTTGCATCGTTACAGAGAGCATCATTGACAATTCGCGATACGCAGGGAGGAAGTTTAAGGTCCAGCAAAATTCAATACTGCACGGGATATCGGGATACTTTGACGCTACTTTGTACAAAAACATTAAACTGAGTATCGAACCAAGTACCCATAGTCCCAGCATGGTCAGTTGGTTTCCAATATTCTTCCCAATTGTCGTGAGTGTCACCGGCTTCTAAAGAAACGCAAATAATGGGAATGATTAAAGATGATAGTTTTTCGGTATTTCACCCTCTAATTTCAGGAACCCGTGCAAGTGAAGGAAGGGGACGAAATAGACGTGCATTTCTGGCGTCGTTGTAGTACAAAGAACGTCTGGTATGAATGGTGCATCAGCAAACCGAAGCCCCTGGCGATGCACAATCCGAACGGACGTTCGTACACGATTGGATTGTGATCGGACCGCGCGTTATAATAATTATCCAAAGTGTCTTGCATCGCGGAAACGCACAATGAGAATCCGGATGTCGGCCGGAAGGCAATTCCGAGTCGGGCGTCGAAAGTATGGCTGTCGATTACTTTGGTACTTTAACGAACCTAAAGAGGACGGCACGATTTAGCCGTTAACGGCGTTACTTCCGCTTGGCGAGTATATTCTAAGACTATTTCCGAATTTTACAGAAAATACCCGAGCTGTGAAATCGATTGACTCGATCGAAGGAGAAACAGCCTTTAATAAAAAGGAAAAATGATAAGGAAGACGCGGGCGTAATATAAATTCTCTATGAATACGGTAGTTATTGACTTCCCTTTTGACACGAGCCTTCGCTTCGAGTTAACCCACATTTATGTTTCACGTTACCGAACTTGAGTTTATATAAAGGACGAAGATAACACCCTCGGGTATATGCATACGTATCGTGGGTTATCGCCAAAGTTGGCGCACGACTCGATTAGCCGTTAACTCTTTGACCTCACGTGATCGCAACGGGGCGCCTGTACGATAAGAAGAGAACCGCTCGTTCCGGCATTCGACGATTTTTCCGCTCAGAAGGTCGGACCCGCTAAACTCCATACGTCTCTTCCTTTTTCAATACGCTCTGATCTGGTCTGCCTACAATTTTCAATCCGGTCGTCGAGTGCAACTTCTTTCTACGTTTTCGGTGAGTGCGTATCCGAAGATCTTCTAGTCCTTTAAAGTGAAATGAAACCCCCTTCAAATCAGTCGATTCGAATACAATTTTTTTTAAGGGTATTAGACAAAACTGTCCGAAACTGAGACATCACTCTTGATTATCTAAGAATTGTCCTGACACGTTCAAAATTTGGAGTTTTTTTTAATTTTTTAACTCGGCCCACATCAGAACCAAAATGGCGTCGAGCTCTCATATTTCGATCAATATACAATTATCGAAGGCTCTGATATGAGAATCGAAAGGGTCAGGACAATTTTACGACAATTTAGAACACTCTGGTAATAGATAAACTCGCATTTGAACGGGGTAAAGGCAAAAAAAGTGTTGTATGCGCTTCTATACCAAAACGATGGGAATACGAGGTATCGGAGTGAAAATTTAATTGACCTTGAAATTACAGATGGCGCAGGGGGTCCCTCTGCAGTCAATTAGGGCCTCAGAAAGCATGAATCCAGAGGATTTCTGGAGTTTCATTTCGATTTCTTTATAATTATTGTACGAAAACGATAGGTGGAGTATGCCATTTGGTACAATACCCAATATAATTCGACACAGCTGTCAATATAAAAACGAACGTTGGCAACATAGGCATTTAGAAAAATATTCTTTATCGACGTTGATCGAGTTCCTCGACGTGTTTCACTTCATCCCAAGGTTATTATTATTCATTTTCACTCCGAGACCTCGTATTACCATCGTTTTAGCATAGAAGCACGTACAGCACTTTTTTTGCCTTTATCCCGTTCAAATGCGGGTTTATCGATTACCAGAGTGTTCTAAATTGTCGTAAAATTGTCCTGACCCTTTCGTTTCTCGTATCAGAGCTTTCGATAATTGTATATTGATCGAAATATGAGAGCTCGACGCCATTTTGGTTCTGATCTAGGCCGAGTTAAAAAATTTAAAAAAAAATCCAAATTTTGAATGTGTCAGGACAATTCTTAGATGATCAGGAGTGATGTGTCAAAGTTTCGGACAGTTTGATCTAATACCCCTAAAAAAAGGTGTTGTATTCGAGTCGACTGATTTGAAGGGGATTTCACTTCACCTTAAAGAATTAATTAGCCATCAAAGGATACTTATTTCAAGCGAATACGGTATTTCATCTGGTCTGTCCGAATCTCTTCGATTCTCCGTCGATCGTCGGCGTTTGGTTAAATTGTCTATCGGTGGATATTTATTTCATGGGCAGGCGCGTTAGTAGCACCCTCGTGACTAAATGAATAATTTCTTTTTATGAATGCGGTGTCTGATGCAACGCCTCCCAACGTATGGTTATCTATTGCGTACAGGGGTTAGCAGTTTCTCGAGTTATCTCGCTTATCCCTCGGCCGAAGATCGAAGGAGAGTGAGATCTCGCGGAAAGTGGTAGCGTAACCAGGGTTTGGATCTACCGCGGGCGCCAGTGTGCAACATCACGTGACCGTTGGTAGACGCAGCCAGTGCGCAGTCTCACGAGCAGAAGACGCGGCGCGGAGTACATAAAACGATCGGGAATTGTATCAGTTGATATTTCTTAAAGAGAATGGCACGGTTAGCGGGAGATCTTGCTAAAAATACTAAAAAGGTACTCTTGCGCGTGTACGGCGCGCAACTCTTAGCTCCTTCGGCTTGCACGTCGCTTACATCGTTACGCAGAACCATAACCTCAACCGGTTGCGTAAGAGCGGGTAAGTTTGATTGCTCGGTACTGTTAACAAGAAATAAATTCTAATATCAGCGGCCCATAGCGATGCATAGATTACGTCGATAAGCTTTCAGGTAGATGGTACACGGATAAACATGAATGGTTGGAGGTTGATGGGAAGGTAGGCACCGTTGGTATCTCCGATTATGCTCAAAAGGCTTTAGGAGACGTGGTGTACGCGCAGCTTCCAGACGTAGGATCTCTGGTCGCCAAAGGAGGTTTGTTCGCAAAAACTTTAAATTTCATTCAACGGGATTGGCTCGATTATTGATTTATATCGTTTTAGCCGAATGCGGGGCACTGGAATCCGTGAAAGCAGCATCTGAGCTGATAAGTCCTGTCGGGGGAAAAGTTATATCGAAGAACGAAGATGTAGAGAAGAAGCCTGCCCTAATCAACACGTCGTGTTACAAGGATGGATGGCTCTTTAAGGTAGAATTAAACGATCCACAAGAGATAAAAAGTCTAATGAACGAGGAAGCATACACCGAGTTTTTAAAGACCGATCCCCATTAAGTTCTATCTGTGAAAAAAGGCTTCAACAAAAGGTTTCTCGGTGCTGCATCGGCATATCGTGCAATTTCAAAATGTTTTACTCGCAATGGCGTTCGGTCAAATGTTAGAGCAGAGACGCTACCGTTTTGACAGAGCATTTTTTAATTGCACAAAAGGTATCGTCTCCTCTAATAACCAAAGAACGCATTTAGAGACCATTCGGGGAGCTAAGGAACTAAACGAGCTACCGGTGATCTTATAATGGGAATCATTACAGGGGGCTGATCGCATGGCGGTACAGAGCCTGAAAAAGAACAATAGTATGTTAATAATAAAGATATATTTACAATCATGAATTTTTCTACATAATTTACAATTGCCAGCTCCTAATGGCAGTGTCAACGACGCTTTTTTAACTCGAGCTCCGAGGGGAGACGAATCGGAACGAAGAGAATTACATTGATATTAAATAATAAGGCTTCCGTCGATCAAACTGGTAACTGTACATGAATATGCGGCGATACAATGTACACAACCACTGTAATTTTAATTGACGTAATTTCTAATTACAATAAATTGTTAATAAAACGTTCCTCTCGTTATGCGATGTATCGTTGGACGATTAAACGGGATGGACGTGTGTACAGAGACGGTGGACTTGGAACCGTACCTTAAACCGCTGCGGGGAGAAGGGAGGAAAGGTGGGAGGATGATACTTGCGATCTTTCTCTTAGATTATATTATTGATAAACCTCTCAGGACAGCGATGAAATCTGATTTAATTGTCCATACGGTAGTATAGCTCGTGGTAAAAATAAATACAAGTCGATCTTCGACGTTCGTCTCCTCCTACCCAAACGGCAAAACTTTCCTTCCTTTTTCCCTCTCTCGTCAGAGGGATATCGATTTTAATCGGTAGTTTCGTAGAATGGTACAATTCTCTCGTCAAACGGCCCCAGTTTTCGGCCCCGGCTCTTAAACGGTTCACCGCAACTAAGCACCCGAATTCGACGTTTCCTTATTCGTCCTTACCGACTCGAATCACGATACGTAGGTGGACGTGCAAAGGTGCTATATCACCGTGCGCGACTATCTCTTCTACACGAGAGTCAGATTGAGACCCTCCTTCCGAGATATATACCCCGCGTATACATATATAATATATACATGCATATATATATATATACACACACGTATGTATTCGAATTGCCATCTGGGCTCCAGAGATAGGCACCATCAATTACATTTGTAATTTAATCACCGAGTAATACTAATTACAGCTGTACATAATCGGAACGGCATCTAATTATCCATAACGCGTTTACAAGTTTGAATTGGAACGACGCCTAATGACCGATATCAATTAAAATCCATAATCGAAGTCGCGTCCGAGCGATCACCCCCGAATACTTCGGGGCCGAGGAACGTCCTTAATTAAGGATCAATCAAGCTCGATCGCTTACAAATATCTCAAGGATCTAAACTCTCCATCGAAAAGTACAATCCCAGCGATAACGCGTCTCTAAAATGACATACACCTGGCAATTGGGCGATGTTCCGATTACGCAAAGTATCTCGCGATTACCGGCAATTAGTGCCGTTCCAATAACAACGAGTAGTGGTAGTATCCTGGTGTAAAAAAATATTCCAGAAGAACAAAAAAAAAAAAAGAAAAAGATAAGTAATAACGACATAAATGCGAGAAAACGCGAACGGCTTACTCGAGAATACCGAAAAACGTAGCTCTCGTCTCGTGTTCTCCGCCGTCGACCCTCTTCCTCCCTTTCTCTCTCTCTGTACAAGGTACGCGTCTCCTTTCCGTACAACATTTAACCCCAGGTGAGCGTAACTGCGATACAATCAAATTACAAATGCGCCCATCCCTGCTGGGCCCTGTCTAATCTGAGGTATGTGGTTACTAAACGCGTAACAATATAAAAACTTAATACAGTTACGTAGAGGTAGTCGTTTCTTGTGTCAGAGTCAAGTGAGAACAGCTGATCGTGTATGTTATATATAATATTTCATCTTGTATACAATAAGTGTCCTGCCTACCGGCGTAGGCGTATATATATTTATATATATATATATATATGGGTTCGCTTTTTCTTGTGTCTCGTATGTATAGATCGTACGTTTTGTAAGGTGCCACGGTGCGTGGTGAACGGACGATTTCAAGATTTTTGGAACGCTCGGGTTAACTTCTTACTTTGTAGGTACGTTAGTTCTTTTCGAGTCGGCCTTCGCCGCGAAATCGGACAACCTTCTGTCGCGGGGCAAAGGATTCCATTCCACCAACCCGTCAAGAGGGTGACCGGCCTGATTCGACCCGAGGTAAGAATACGCGCTCGGTCGTTCGCCATTCCAATAGCGATTTCTAACATGTCATCGTTTATCATTTTGAAAAGCACTGTCGCCCGTTTTAACGGCAAAGGGGACCGACCAATCCAGCATGCGTAATTATAACGACGGTTTAGATACCATAGGCGTCATCGAAGACTACCTTCACAGCACTGAGAAATTTTCGACTAACGACTAAACAATAATAATATAATAATATNTATTTATATAGATATACCAGCGGTAAAGCGACAATCGTCGTACTTTAGCGTTAATATTATTCTCGACTCGTCGTAGGACCACATAAACCTTGCTCCAACGATTCCTTTCGTTCTCTTAAACATAATCGTTATTACGGTACAACATACAATAGTAAAATATCGCAACTCGAGGTTATTTCCTTTGTATTTCTTTTCCGTCACCTATTTGAAAAGTAATAAAAGAAAGGGGGAACGGGGCGGGAGTGAGAGCGAGAGAGGGGGAGGGGGCGGGGAGAGAAAGAGAAAGAGATAAGAAGGAAACAAAGTTCTGAAAAGAAAAGAAAAAAAAAAAGACAAAAAATTACCGTACGCGTTTTCGCGCATGACCGCGGGGTGTAACGCGAATGGACATTAAATAGTCAGCGAATCTCCTCCTCTCGTTTCTTTTCCGGTAAGCAACGGAAATACATATATACATACATATATATATATATACACACACGTATGTATTCGAATTGCCATCTGGGCTCCAGAGATAGGCACCATCAATTACATTTGTAATTTAATCACCGAGTTTAACATGATTCTTCTCGCGTGTCCGTGTTACGTGTACTATACAATTCAATTGGAATGTGTTAACTAGTATTTACAATAATATGTATGTATATATATATATATATAGTAGCCCTGCTAGAAGTGCAAGTGTGCCGAAATGCAGTTATTCTTTTCTTTGTCTCGTTTATCCGGGGGTGGAGGTCGAAAGTACGCGTAGGCTTCCGGTGGACAAAGTACCCGCCCGAGAGAAAGAAACCTCGAAGGCGACGCTTCGCTCGCGGAGGAACGCTTTTAACACGTTCACGCCGGGGGAAATTTTGAACGATTGGTATTGCCATTCGACGTGTACATCCCGTCGCGAATGTGTTAGACGGCCTCCTCTCTCCTCAGCCCGGTGGTAATTTCGTCCGAGATCGTTTCGCGATCGCGTAGCCAAAGCCGTCCTATTTAGTTTTCCTTCGATCGCCGTAAAGGTATCATGGGAACCGAAAAGCGATGTCGTTTCTGCCCATCGAATGTAATGTAAGAAAACGACATTCGATTCCGGTCCCCCTGATAGAAGGGCTAGACCGTGGATTTTTCACAGAAATTTCGAGCTCGAGTGCCGCGGATCCCATAGGTAAGGTACACGGCGAGGTGTGCTTTCGCCGTTCGGGCTCCCCCGTTAAAGCGGTAAAATGGGACACTCCTTTCGAGGAGTCATCGTTCAACCAGAGGCAGACAGCGAGAGCGCGAGAAGGGGAAGAGAAAGAAACGGGAGGAGATATATAGAGAGAGAGAGCGAAAGAAGGGGGCAGGGAGGAGGGGGACGGGGAGAAAGAGCAAGGCTTCGGTGGTGTATGCTTAAAATATATAATCGCATCTAATAATAGAAAAATAGCTTCACTTATTTAGACAAAAGTTGCCTGCCCTTTGACCAATATTTTGTGTTTTGTAACGACCCTTTGTACTGTTTTCAAGGCATCTCGCTTACTGTTTTTTTTTCCCTGCGCTCGCGCCCGCCCGCCTAGCGACGACGGGGCGCGCGTGTACCACCGTTGGATACATCTCTAAAACTTCAACGTCAAATATAGAAAATATATGTCGTTATGTTTATATATATATTTTAGATATACACGTTATAATACATATACTATGTATATATATGTATAGATGTAGACGACGCATACGTCCACGCTCGACTCGTATCGCGGTAGGTAATCCTCGGAACCGGGGCCCCCGTATCCAAACTAGGTCCAAACTAGGTCCGATCCCCGCTAGACTCTCGGCCGTCCTCGCGGACCATCCGGAGCGCTTTCGAGCACCGCCGCAACGAGAGCGAAATCTACGGTACCGGGCACTCACCTTCGTAGGGAGTTTCGTCCGAGCGAGTCGGTTCATTTCCGCTTAGCGTGGAGCATCTCCATGAGCAGGGTTTGCGTCGGCGCGCCTCCGTTGCAGTGCTTCTGGTACAGATGGTCCTCTCCCCTGCTCGCCACCACGTGGATCTCGGGTAATACTGCCAGCAGCTTGTTGAATTTCTCCTGCAACAGGGCAAGCGGTACCGATCAAACGCCGTCCCTCCACGTCCACCCGCCCCGCCGTCGAAACGACCGACGCCGAGCGCCTCGCGGACCTACCGGTATAGACGGGTAACAAGTGAGCGTGTAGTCCAGAAGAGCCTGCTGGACTTGTTCGTGTCCCTCTTGCACGTGTTTCTTGTTGACCAGCCCTCGTACGTCTGCCCGGAGAGGAAAGAAACGCAACGTCAGGAGGTGGGAGAGAAGGAAACCTCCGCTGGAGACGAGGCTTACCGTGATTGAGCAGCATCAGGAACTTCATGCAGATGTAGTCCGAGAGGTCGAACTTGAGCTCCTGGAGCTTCGAGGAGAGGTCGTTGAAGAGATCCGCCAGGGAGGGCACCCCCAGTAGGCCGAGGCAGAGGAGATCAAACTTCTGCCCGTTGTGCAGCGTCGTCTCGTCCGGTAAGTTATTGTGTAACCTCTGGTGGAGATGATCGAGCACCAACATATCCGACCAGGAGTGTTGCAGCAGCTTCATCTGGTCGTCGACCTAACGGAAACAAAGCGTCGTTCGAGGATGTTCCGAGACCGAGAAACCCGGGAAACGCGGATTCGGGGTGGAGAGGGCGCGGCACCGAACCCCGACGACGTATACCCCGTCCCACGCGAAGCGAGGCCTAGAGCTTTGGGCCAACCTCCATAACCTAGAAACGTATCTCGTTATGACCCAGATATGAGGCGATGCTTGAAATCATTCAGGGATTGTGCAACCTCGGTGGTTACCTCACGTCCCTGCTCTCGCGCCAGCGAGAGAGGCCGGCGCACCGTGAGCGCGGAGCCGAAGCCCGGCCCGGCCCGGTCCGGTCCGGCCCGACCCGATCCGACCCGACCCGACCCCGCTCCACCCCTTCCCGCCCGACACTAACCTTGAGATCCTTGAAGAAGACCGAGTTCCTCGCCCAGTCGACCTGCGAGAAGAGATTCTGGTCGAGCACTTTGCACATGAGTTCGAACAAGTCCACCTCGCACTGATTGTACGTCTGGTTCTGCAGCAGCCCAAAGAGGGAGGCCTGCCACTCGCGGTCGTCGACGGTCTGCACGAAGTCTCTTATCATTGGACTAGTTTTGAGGGGAGGCCCGGAGGGCGCGGGCCCGGCCCCGTGGGCCTGGGGGGCCTGCTCGGCGAAGCCGAACGCCTTCGGACTGGGGGTGGTGGAGTTGGCGGCCCACATCTTGCCCTCGACGGCGCCGCCCTGGGCGTGCAGGTGGTTGCCGGGGCCCGCGCCACCACCCGCGCCGGCGGCCCCGCCGCCCGCAGCGCCGCCCCCGCCGGCGCCGGCCCCGGGTCCGGCCCCCGAGCCGCCGCCGCTACCCCCGCCTCCGCCACCTCCTCCGCCCCCGCTGCCGCCACCGGCCGAGAGAGAGGCCTGCGACGAGGGCGCGATCAGCTGGTGCTGGCCCGCCCCGTTGTTGACGGCCGGGTTGGAGGCGCCCGTCACCAGGCCCGCGGCCACCGCCGCCGGCGACGGCGACGAGTCCGGGGACGAGGTCAGGCTCGAGACCTGCGGGATCTGGATCTCCTGCTTGATGTGCAGGAACGACGTCACCGCCGAGGGGTAGCCGGAGGGGTCCCCCAGGGTCCCGCGGATGGTCTGCAGCGCTAGCTGCCGCTGGCGCATCATCTGCAGCTTGCGGGCCCGGTCGCGCTTGTACATCGGGCCGAACTTGTTGCGTCCGCCTCGCATCCGGTCGGCTCGAACCGCTGCAAAGGAAAAATGAAAACGGTGACGATCTTCGTCGGCGGGGCCGGCGCGTCGAGCGGCGTCGAGCGGCGTCGAGCGGCGTCGAGCCGCGTCGAGCGGTTTCGAGGCAGCGTCGCCGCTGAAACGGCGCGCGCGGCGCACGCGGCGCGCTCGCTCGTTGAAAGTGAAAGGAGGTTGAATCGCTCGCCCGTCCACTTCTGCCCCCGAGCCCCCCTCCCCCGTCGTCCCCGTTCCGAGCTCGAGACTGTGCGTCGTCGCCGTCGCCGTCGCCGTCGTCGTCGGCGCCCCTTCGCCTCCGGGGCGCTCGTCTGGAGCTGCGCGCGCGTCTCCTCGAGGGGGAGGATCGAAACCGTCGCGGAGCCGCCGGGAGCGGGAAAGTCGAGACGCGGACCGTCTCGACGAGGGGCGCGCCGCGGAAAAGAAAAAAATAAGAAAAAAAAAAAAAGGAGGAAGGTTCGAAAAGGAGGCGAAGAGGCTCGCTCGATTCAGGATTGCGCAATCCTGAATCCGCCGCCTCGGCCTAACCTTTCTCCCCCACCGGGCCCACGGGAGTCGCGAGAAGTCAGGAGGCGAGCGCGTCCGAGGAAGCGACTCTCGACGCGTACGCGCGCCCTTGCGACATCCCGCGATCCTCGTTAAATCCCTCCGTCTCCGCGGGTAGACAAAGGCGTATCCCGACCGCTCATGCGGGGGATGCCGGCCGACGAGTCGAGATCGGACACGCCGAGAGGTTTACCCAACGGTGCGCGGCGCTTTCGTCGGCTCGAAACCCACCCCGCGACCGCCTCTCGTTAAAAAGATGGAAATAGCCCGCGGAGACTTCGCGACCCGACGGCGACGACGACGACCGGACCCGAAGAGACGAGGAATTCGGTCGGATTTCGGCGGAACGGACAAAGGAAAGTTTCGCCACGGACGAAGAGATTCTCGGGTTTTCCCCGAGGAGAAACCGCCCGGGACTCGAAATCCGGCTCCCGCGGGGGGAAATCGCGGTCGCCCGTCGACGCGAGAGGGCAGAGGAAAGGGCGAACGAGTAAATGCCCAGGGGGAGAAAACGGAGGATGAAACGAACCTTCGAGCTTCATGCCGACCTCGAGGCACTTCTGGAACCTGCAGAAGGGGCACCTCTTCCTCTGGGTCTTGTCGATGTGGCAGGAGCGCTCGGCCACGCAGGTGTAGACCTTCTTGTTCTGCACGGTGCGCTTGAAGAAGCCCTTGCAGGACTCGCAGGTCAGGAGCCCGTAGTGGTACCCGGACACCTTGTCGCCGCACACCGGACACAGCTCCTCGATGACATCCTTGGTGTCGGGGAAGTCGGAGGGACCGGGAATGGACCCGGTGACGACGCCCACGCCGACTTGGCCCAGCCCCGGGTGGCAGAGGGTGCCGGCCCCGGCGCCGCTCCCGTTGGTACCGCCGGCCGCAGCCGCGGCGGCGGCGGCGGCGGCCGCTGCGGCGGCGACGGCGGCGGCCGCGCTACTTCCGCCGGCGGCCGAGGCGGCGCCACCGGTCCCGCCGGCCGCGGCGGCGGCGGCGGCGCCCGACGTCGCGTACGGCCCGGACTCGTGGGAGGTCGACGAGGTGCCGCCGCATCCGCCCCCTGTGGGGGAGAACAGACAGGTGTAGACCTTCTTGTTGCTGCAGGGCGAGCTGTTGCGCTTGAAGAAGCCCTTGCAGGACTCGCAGGTCAGCAGGCCGTACTGGTAGCCCGACATCTTGTCGCCGCACATCGGGCACCGTTCCTCCAGGGCGGTCGCGTCGAAAAACGCGGCCTCGAACCCCGAGATGCCGGCCTGCGACTGCGCCTGCTCGTGCCCCGACATCTGACTCGGGTGCTGATGTTGGTGCTGGTGCTGCGCCTGCTGCTGCTGTTGCTGCTGCTGATGTTGGTGCTGCTGCTGCTGCTGCTGGTGCGGGTGCGGGTGCGGCTGCGGCTGGCACATGGCCGAGGGGGGACTCTGGCCACAGTGGCCGTAAGGCGAGCCGTACTGGGCCTGTTGCGGGCCCCCGGCGCCTTGGGGACTGCCCTGAGGGCTCAGGTGGAACGGCGACATGTTGAGCGATATCAGGCTCGAGTTGTGATCCATCTCCAACAGCATATCATATCAGCAACCTCGGTCCGTATCGGCGCATCGAGTCGGCCTCCCCTGGCCCCGGCGGCGCCCTCGGGCTTCCGGCGCCCCGGCGCCGAGCCGCGCAACCTGGCGCTCGTGGTCGTCGTCGCGGCCGACGAGGCGGAGCAATCGGAGAATCTCGGGGAGAGAGAGGGAGAGAGCGAGAGAAAGAAACGGAGGGCTTCGATCGCCTCCCGAGGCAGCGAGCCGTCGCGACCGGGCGCCTCGAGTTTCGACTCCGACGAGGCCTCGGCGTCGCGGGCGATCGCGCGCCAGAGACGGAGAGGGAGAGAGATCGATCCTTCTCGGGAGGCTCGCGGCGGGGCGCGATCCGTATCCACCCTGCGATTGAACGTACACTCCGACGGCGTGGTAACACTCGCGGCGGGGCGACGGGGGATGTCCGGGCACCTTAGGATCTCGGACCGACCTGGGGCTGGCGGGCCGCGGCCGCGGCCGCGAGCCGCGCGGCGCCGGCGGGGGTGAACTCGCGGGGGCGCTCCATCGCGCGTCCTTCCGGGTTGGGCTAGGTCGGGCCGCGATAACCGACGGAGAGCGCGCGAGTCGGGTCGGTAAGTCAGGTCCCGACCGGCACGACAACACTGGCACTGCGCGAGCGGCCGGCGCGAACCCGGGCCGCACCCGGAGACGTCGCGGGAGGCGACCGACGGCGACGGGGTCGGTCGGCGACGGCGGCGGCGGCGGCGTGGTCGGCGTCGTCGGCGGCGGCGATGCGCGGCGGGCGAGAGTCGCGGTCGGAGCGCGCGTGTCCCCGTTAGCAGCGGCGGGCCGCGAGGAGTACCGACTTAGAGCGCGGCATAAGTGAAAGTGATTCAGCAGCGCATGCCAGCGCGAGCGCGAGCGGCCAGGTGCCCGCCGCCGGGCCGCTCGGCCGCTCGGCCGTTCGCGCGGAGCGGAGGTGCCGCGCGAGGGGAAGGGCGGCGCGCGGGCCTCGGGCGGGCGGGGGCCCGTGGAGGTTGCCGCGCGGAGGGGATGACCCACTTACGGAACCAGGTCTATGTCGGCCGGGAAACTATTGTCCGGAGACGGAACGCCGAGGGACGGGGCCGCCCCGCCGGCCCTTCGGCCGGGTCCGCCGCTCGTCGAGCCGCGGCTCCTGGGCGGCCGGCCGGCCGCCCAGGAGCCGCGGCCCGCGCTCCGGGTCGGCCGCCCTCGTCGTCGGCCCCGGCCGCGGCGGCGGCGGCCGGGTCAACGGCAACGCCGTCGGCACTCCCCGCGGCGCGCCGCGTCGCTCGCCGCGTCGCTCGACGTACGTAGACGCGAGGAGACCGCGGCGGGTGGGGGGACCCACTGACCCAGTTCGATGGGAACATGACGCAGCCGCGACTCGCTCTCCCTCTCGTTATCTCCCTCCCGCTCGCGGCCCCTTCCCGCTCCTCCCCCGTCCCTCTCGGGCTCTCCGTACCGAAATCGCTCGTTCCGCGCCTCTCCCTCCCTTCCTCCCTCTTGCCCCCCTCTCTCTCTCTCTCTCTCTCTCTTTCTCGCCTTCCGTCGGCCCGCGGGCCCTCTCCTTCTCGCTCCCGCGAGAAGCGGGACTCGCGCCGCGATGACGTATGCCCGTGCGGGTCTCGACGTTAACGGTCTCGCCTTGCCAAAAAGTGTTCGGCGGGCGGCGTCCCTCTCTCTTTCTCTCCAGGGCCCTAGCGAAAGCCGCGTCCGAAGGGCTCCGAGGAGCCCTTCGGACGCGGCTTTCGCCCCGTTGCAGTCGCCGGCCGGAAGAAGCGAGCGGTTCTCCTCCGAGGGAAAATCGCTGCCCGGAGGACGCGAAAGGTCCGCCAGTCTCGCGCGGGAAAAATCCTCCAAAGAGCCGGCCCCTTCCGCCGTGCGCTCGTGCGCGTCGACGCGCCAAAGTGTGCCAAGGCTCGCGCCGCGGCACCGCAATCCCATTTTCGAAACCAAACTCGAGCTCGGCTCGCTCCGCGTTTTTCAGCCGCGGCCGACTTCCTCCCTCGAGATCGCGCTCTCGTCGCGGGGGGGAGGTGGAGGAGGGGGAAAGTGGGGGGGGGGGCGAGAGGGGGAAGACCACCCCGGAGCTTCGCGCGCCGCCGTTTCGCGGCCCAGTTCGCACGTCCTTGACACGGTTACCCGGATGGAGCCGAGTGGCGCGTCGCGGCGCGGCGCGTCGCCTCGGCGCTCCCGAGTGCCAGGAGTCGCCTCCACTTGGGCACCTATAGGAACGCGCGTGCCCGCCCGTGTAAATATATCCGGCGCGGGGACGGCCGAGCCGTTGGAGAGACTCGCCGGCCCCGGTTTACGGGGGTCGTAATTCGGGGACGGTCCGGGCCACCCCCGACCGCTTCCAAATATTTGGACCCGGCCGATTTACGACCCGACCCTCGGTCAAGGGGACGAGGGCCGCCCGGGAGGAAAGGGCGAAAGCGGCCTCGATTACGGCGCGGCAGGCGCGATTACGTCGCCGTTACGGCGCGGACGCAACGAGAACCGGCCTTTCTCTCTCGGGCCGGTCGGCCGGTGGAAAGTGGCGCAGCCGCTTTTACTTTCTTCGAGACCACTTTCCTTGGCAATGGTACCGGTTACGTCCGTTACGTCGCGCCATTGCGAGCCCGGGGGGCGAGAGGAAGACCCGGAGACTTTCTCCCTCGCGCCTAGACGGGACCGACCCTCCGCCGTCCGGGGGCCACGTGGGCGCCGGTCCCGGTTCCCGGCGGCCGGACGGTCCGCCGGAAACGCCGAGCGGAGCCGAGCGGAGCCGAGCCGAGCCGAGCCGAGCGGAGGGAGAGCCGCGCTCACGTGCGCTCGCGCTTCGCTCGGTTCTCATTGACCTAGTTACCCGGTACACTTGACCGCACTCCGCTTCTCCCACCCCGGCCGCGCGCCCGCGGTACCTAGCCCCGTCCGCGCTCGTTATCGCGCACCCCCGGCCGCCCCGACGCTAACTGCCCCTGGAGCGAGCCAACGAAACGGAACCCGACGGTCCGGCCGCTCCGCGCCCGTGGCGTCCCCCTTTCCCTGCCGCGGCTCCATATTTTCCTTTTCCTTTTCTTTTTCCCTTCCGCCCTCCGCGCCGTGCCGCGCCGCGCGTATGGATCCGATCGAGGGAGAATCGCGGTTTTCCCCGATTTACCGGACCGAAGTTCCGACGGGTCCGGGCGCTCCCGGACGCTCCCGGGTCCTCCGGGTCGGGCACGGTGTTGCACCGGTGCAGCCTTGAGCCTATTCCACGCACGAAAGCCCCCGGTTGCGCCGCGGCACGGCTCGCTGCGCGCCGCGCTGCCCTCCACCCCGCAGCCGCCCCGCAGCCGCCCCGCAGCCGCCCCGCGCCGATCGGAGTTCCCGAGCGTACCTTCCCCCGTTCCCGCGGAACGAGACGATCCGCCGCGGGCCGAGGGGGGGAGTGCGTTGGAAACCCGCGTGTCAACGACGCCGAGCGTTTGTCTCGCGAAGCAGAGTTCCGGTCCGGTGCCCCCGCGTCCACCTTTTGTGCCTCGGCCCTTTGTGCCGAGGAGGGAAAAAGTCGGGCCGCGGCGGAGGCGGTTTTTAGCGCGCCGCCGTCCCGATTTCGCGATCGTCCCGGTCCGGCCGATCGGGGCACCCCTTTCCCCCGGATCGGCCGGGTCGCGGGTCGACCGGAGACAACGGAGCCGGTTCCGCTCGGCCGCGCCCGGCCACCTTTGCGTCTCGGGGAAGAAAGGAGCCCGGAGTCGGCGCGTCGCCCCCGCTCCGATTCCGGCGGCGCCGCGGAGCTCGATGTCGATCGGCGCCGTCGTCTACGGCGGTTTCGGCGGCGACTCGACGCGCTCCGTCGAAGGCGGTCGCGCCGCCCTTGACCCGCTTCCCCTCGGAGCCGGGGGCGACTCCCGCACCCGAGCGGGGCCGGGGGGAAGGTCGGAGTCGCGGAAACGAGGTCGCGGAAACGCGAAACGGGGTCAGGTTTACTCGGTAATCGGGTCGCCCGCGTTATCGATTTCCCGTACCGGTCCGCGGCGACTCGGGGGCGGTTCGGGGCTCCTCGGGGTGCCGCGACGGAACCGGCCGTCGACCCTCCGGGCCGGCCGAGGAGGAAAGAGAAACGCGAGTCTCGGGGCGGTCGCCGGGTCCGGTCGGCCGGTCAGCCGGACGGCCGACCGACCGACCGACCGGCCGAGCGAAGCCGAGAAGCGAAGCGAGCGGCTTTCGTTTTCACCCAGCCTACTTGTTAATCCGGTGAGTCAATAGTTGTATAACAGTGGGACCGAGTTGCGTAATCCTCGGTTTCCCTCGCGACCTACTTGCCCACTAAACTAGACACACATTCTTGCCAACCTCCCGGCTCCGATCCGAGCGCCGACCCTCCGGCCGGCGGCAGCCGGACGCGTATCAAAAGCCGCCGCTCATCCCGCTCCGCCCTCTCTATCCCGCCCGGTCCGGGGCGGGTTCCCGCCGGAATCCCCGCGTCCGCGAGTGCGGCGGCGCGTCGTTCTTACGCAAACCGGCGAAAGTGGCGGCGCGCCGCCGTATCTATCCGCGGGATGAAACCGATACGCCTTCGCGGGCGTCCCGGACTCTCGGGACGGGCCGGGAATTTCGGAAGTCGATCCGGATCGGAGGCGACGCGAGGCGCGCGACTCGGGCCGCCAAGGTCGCGCCGCGGCGCGGCGCGGCGGCTGCGGCCGCGGCAGGGATCGGTGTCATTGTCAGTGGGTAATCGGGTCAGTGGGTCAGTGGGACGACCACTTTCGATTCCAGTCCTTCTAGCGGCGGCTGTGGCGGCGGCGGCGGCGGCGACGGCGGGGGTGGCGACCAATCGGGAGGCGCGCCGTCCCCTGGAGCGGCGGCGCGACGCGCGAGCGAGAACGGCTCGCTAACTACGGGCGAGATAGCGGAAAGTAGGACGCGTATTAAAAACCACAGACCGTGTCCCGCGCGTTACTTCATGCCATCGAGCCGCTTACCCAATCGAATTCGTCATAACCGCCGCACGAAATCCCGAGAGCGAAATTTCGCCCGGGCGACCCTTTACCGACTCGCTCGCCGGCGTCCCCGCCTGTATCCTGGACATATTACCAAGTAGAAACCCGCGCGCGCGCGGGCGCGCGATAATTATCGCCGAGCCGGGTGCGTTATATCGAGTTATTCCAATGCGAGTTTATCAAATTGGGTCGAGCGATTCAATAGCGGGTGAGGAGAAACGGCCGAGGTACGCGTGGGAGTACTCGCGAGCCGACGAGCCGACTTCTGGCTTCGGCTCGCGAGAGACCGACGCCTTCGCCGTCGACGGCGACTCCGCGTCCCGACAAAGGAGGAGAAAGTTCGCGGGGGATATTAATAGCGCCGAGTCGACGTCGACGGGGGCGACTAGGGGGCGGCTAGGGGGCGGCTAGGGGGCGGCAACGGAGACGGCAACGACGACGGCAGGGGGGCGGTCGGTCACGGGGAACGCGACTGCAGGTAGACCGCCCAGGGGGTCATTGTCGGGGACGCGCTGTCGGCAAACACGATTCGCCCCGCTCGCGAGATTTACGCGCGCGGCACGCGCCGCCTTCACCCGGGATAACGAGGGCCCCTTCCGGGACGTTTCCAGGCCAAGGCCGTCCCCGGGCCGAGGGAGTCCTCCCGCCCCCAGGGGTAGGTCGGCGACTCTCCTTAGAACCGGGAGCAAGACGGTGAAAAGCGAAAAGGCAGACTCCGGGCCGAGGCGCGCCGGCGCGGATTACCTGCGGAATACCTGCGGAATATACCTGCGGGTGCCCGCGCTATCTCGGGTCGGCCCGCGGGGGCGGGCGGGGGACGGGCCCGACCGGCCGGAGAGCAGCGGCGCAACAAAGGGGCCCGGCTCGCCCGGGAGGAGAGCCCCTGCTCGCGCGGCGCGTCCTCCGGCCCGGTCTAGGGATCGCCCCGGAGGGAAAATATCGGCCTCCCGCTCGCCGCGCAAAAACCGCCGCGTCGTCCGCCGTTCCGCGATAACGTTTTCAAGAGAAAAAGACCGTTCTCGCATCCTCCCGACCCCTTTCGAGCCCGACGTTCCGGGAACCCGCGGAACGGACGGAGAGACTCGCTCGGGCCAAAGTTGATCCCCCACCCGAGGCGCGGAGGGGGGGGGCGGAGAGGAGCCGCGCGCGAGACGCGAGGGAACGGCGGAGCGGCGAAGGAGAACCACTGCTTCCCCGAAGGCGCGCCTCTTCCCCCCGGTGGTGGTTACCTGGGCTCTCGGAGGAGACGGCGCCGCCGTCCAGGCTGGCGGGGGTGTCGGGGCCGGCGCTCGGCAGGGGCATCAGAGGCTGGGGGCGCAGCCGCTGCTCGGCCTCGGCCGCGGAGTCGGCCCCGGCCATTCGGCCGCTCCTCTTCCTAAAACCGGCGAGTCCTGGAGTTCCCGTGGGGTCCACGGGCCCCGGTCGCGGCGGCGCGCTCGGTGCGCGACGCCGTCGCCGTCGTCGTCGTCGCCGTCGTCGTCGTTGTGGCCGCCGCCGCCGCCGCCTCCTGGGAGAGGGGGCCACCGGGCGGCCGCTCGGACGCCGCCCGGACGCCTGCGAGCCGCGACGCCGCCTCCGAGGCGAGTCCTCCTGGGGTCCGCACCCCGCAGCTAAGCCCGCCGCGACGGGCGCATCCTCGGCCGCGGTCCCTGGCGGATGTGCGCGTCAGCGGGGCCTTTGGGTGGAGAAAAAATCGAGCGTTAGACGAATGTAGGTCTCTGGGCCACTTCACTTACACTTAGCATCGGCACGGGCACTCCCTTAGTCAAGCGACCTCCTCGTCCTCCTCGTCGGCCGAGCCGCCGGCTGACAGCCGGCCAGGGCCGAACCCGGCGGGTCCCAGGGGCGCCCTCGTGGTACCTGCGGTTTGCCACGCGTCGTTAGTCGGCCTCCTCGGCGGCGTTCCCCCTCCCCCCGACCAACAGGTGTTCCCGGCTTCCCGGTCGCCCGGCCCGATTTTTCCGCGAGCTCCCCCGCGGTTTACTCTCCCTCGGGAAGGGCCCGCGCTCCGCGTCGCGATCGACGCCGGAAGAGGTTAGGTCGGATTGCGCAATTACCGACACTCGACGCGGCTCGCTCGACTCACCTGCGGGACTAACCTTCCTTCTCGTTGAGGCTGGCGAGGGGGTCAATCGCTCGACGGTCCGGCGAGTCCGAGTCTCGGTGGGTTACCTCTCCGGCCTCGCGTCTCCGGGCGCATCGTTCGGCGGGACCTCTCGCGACGAGCGATAAGGCTTGCCTATCTTTCGACGCCTCGGGCTCGTTCGACGGCATCGGCCATTGATTCTCCTGGATTCTCCCGAGGAGGGCTCTCGGCCGCGAGTGCGAGGGAGAGCGCGCGACGGGGCGGCGCGGCCGAGCGAGGGAGAGAACAAGATGGCGCTGCGCGAGGCCCGTGCGGCCGAGGCACGGTCAACGAAAGGGAAAACGCGCCGCTCGATCGGCCCGATTTCCTCGGTCGGAGGTCGCGCCGCGGCGCGATTCGCCGAAATTCCCCGGTCGGAGGAGCGCGCCGGCCCGGGGATGCCGCGCCCGGACGATTTTCCCTCCCCGAACGCCGATCTCTTTGTCTGGCGCGCCTATTCCCGCCTCGGGGCGCCGCCGGCCCTCGGAGGTTACGGCACTGGCCGCTCCACGGGACGAGACCGCGGCTCGGCTCGCGTCCTCGCCGCTGGGCCGTCCTCGTGGCCGCGCGCCGACTTACGCCGTGATCCTCGGGCTGCAACCTCCGGCTCCCTCGGTCGTTCGGCGGTCGCGGCTGCTGGCGCGAGCCGAGGCTCGGGTAACCCGCTGGAAACGAGCCGGCCGCCAAAGTAGGTCAGTCGTCGCGATATCGCGAGTTCGCCTTTTTTCACACCGTGACTCGCGTAATTGGCCGCGCACGAGTCCGCGAAATATAACCGCGTAAAAACGGACCGCGGCTGGGCATTGTACGGGGTAATCCGCGATACGCGCGAGCCGCGTACTTGACTAGCGCGGCACCCGCCGCCGCCGCGGCTGACGGTGGCGCCGCCTGCCGGCGAGACGCGCGCCCGTGGCGCCATTTTTAAATCGACCGATGCCGACTCGTCCTTTCTCGCGGTTTACGTTGCGTGGATACGCCGACATTTTGGCGTAGGTGGCGATTTTATGTAACGGTTGCGTATATTTTGCGATCATAAAAATATATGGGCGTAAAAATATATATATATGTAGGTATCATTTATAAATTTGATCATCGGTTGCAACAGACTATCCGCCTCTCCGCGTTGACGCGCGATTCGACTTTACACGGTTACCGAGAGCTTCTCCGTTGGACGACGATTTGAAACCTGCAGGGGAGTTAAAGACCTAACCGCTACCGGATTGTTTGTACTCCTCGAATAGTCTACGAGAGATAATCAGTCTTTGAATTTGGGCCGTGCCTTCGTAAATCTGATAGATCTTGGCGTCTCTCATTAGCTTCTCCACGGGATATTCGCTGTTAAACCCGGCGCCCCCAAATATCTGAAAATTGCGTTAACGGTAAGTCAGGGAACGGGGTTGCGGACTTAACGGTACGTAAGCGGACTGTCAGGTTGTACCTGGACCGCGTCGGAGGCGCACTTGTTCGCCACGTCTCCCGCGTAACATTTAGCTATGCTAGCGTACGACGATGACGGGACGCCGGCGTCGGTGACCCAAGCAGATTTCATCCAAGCGAGTCTCGCAGTTTCTATCCCGATGGCCATGTCGGCGAGCAGAAACGCTACGGCTTGGTGTTCCGCGATGGGTTTGTTGAACGTCTTGCGTTCCAGGGCGTATCTCGTGGCTTCGTCGAGAGCTCTTTGCGCCAGACCCACGGCTCCAGCAGCTACCTGTATTTTAAACGTTTAACGGTCATTTTCTCATATGTATTTACTCGTACATGGTTTAAAATTTTCAAATTCTTAATTTCAGTTCGTCAACTTTCTCACCGGAGGTCGAGTTTTATCAAATGTTCCCATGGCGATTTTGAAACCTGCACCTTCACCCATTAGTACGTTCTCTTCCGGTACTCTGACATCCTCAAATGTAATCATTCGAGTATCGGATGCCCTCTGTCCCATGTTCATTTCCTGTGAAACGCATCGGAATTTAAAAAACTGTATTGTATTTAGGAGTCACCGTTATTACCTTACGACCAGGAACCACCCCTTCCCATTCTCGTTCCACTATGAAAGCTGTAAAGGCTTTACTAGCGGCAGCCTTAGGATCAGGATTCGTTCTCGCTAGTACAAAATACCTGTTGCGGAAAGGTCACTTTTTTGACACAATCGTACTCTAATCTACCGTATCTACGTAAGCTGTACTATTTCCGGAAAAATTAACCTACCAGTTTGCAACACCACCGTTCGTTATCCACATCTTTGTTCCATTAAGAATCCATTCCTTTCCTTTCTTCTCCGCTTTGGTTTTGATGCCGCTTACATCCGATCCACAACCTGGTTCGGTAACACCGTATGCCTAACAGACATTGAATTATACTTGATCAAGTTAGTCGATGCTAGAGAAAGCAAATTGATTATTAATTACATGGAGCAAAAGTGTATAATTAAATATGAACTAACCGCGACGAGTGGCTCCTCGATCAGTCTGCCCAAATATTTCTTCTGTTGTTCCTTTGATCCGGCGAAAATCACAGGTGTTTGCTGTCCAAAAAGATGGAGATAAATTTTTAAATGAGCAAAAATCACACATAGCGCACATGAAGCATACCGCAAGGCCAGAGGCTTCCATAGCGGTCATTATACCGGAACATCCGTAGCTCAACTCTTCCGTTACTAGGCAGCCATCAAAAATTCCACATTCGAGACCTCCTAAAATATTTAAAAAAAAAAAAAAACGTACGTTACATTTTATAATTTCATTTATTTATAGTATGCTCGAGTTTTCGTCCTGTAGGTACAAAATAATTGTTTTTAAATACCAACCACAGAATTGTGGAATATGTCCATTAAGTAGACCCAAACTCCATGCCTTCTTAATAATATCCCATGGATATTTGCCGGTTCTATCTAGCTCGGCAGCCACAGGAATGATCTCTTCTCTGGAGAACTTTCTTGCGAGCTGTTGCATCTCTTTTTGAGTATCTGATAATTCTGTATTCATTGGAGAATGCAAATTAACAAGATAATTCACTAACTCTATATACTTTGCTATTCGATCGCCTCGAAGTGCACAACTCACGAAAACTATATCCATTGGAAGCTGTAGCATTTGCTGAAAATAGTCTAACAGCTGACGGGCGTGCCACTGCAGTAAATACCTGGAAAAACAGGCCTCCATGAATTTTCTCTGTAATCAATTTTCGTTTCGCTACAATAAAGTAAATTCTCTAAAATCTTGAATTAACTTACCCGTTTGAACAACATAATCCTTGCTTGAGCTTTACTTGGATAAGCGATAAACGATAAACTTGTGAATTTCAACAATCTCTGCAACTTCTTATGGACCAGTGATATGCCTTTGCTAATTTATAAATATCTAGAGAAATATATGTGCAAATATAAATGAACACACCCAAATAAATACATACTCGTGTACACACAAATTTAAATGGAAAACACTTACAGTCGGGATAAATCTTAAATAATCTAAGTAAGATCCGTGCTTCGTAGAACTTGGACTCAAGGAAAGCGGCGAATTATGTGCTTAGATCATTGAGCGTGTAACAGGTCAAAGTACATAATACAAAAGAGTATGTACACATTATATATATGTATTGACGAACAAAAAAAATTGAAACTTGAAGGCATCTTTCGTTGCCGTTCGTAACGCCCAACATTCAACCAGATTCAACCGACGTCACAATTGGCTGCAATTGGCAATCCGACCGAGTGACTAGGTGGCAACTCTGTTGGGTACAATTCGGTACTCGCGAATTTCGATAGAGAGCAGCAGAGATTCATGCTCAGCGGATATTGGTCGAGACTGTGACGTATCAGAGATGCTCATCTCTGATATTTAAAATCTGATTTTGTGCGTCCGCCATCTTGAAAAATGGTCACCGGAGTAGCAGAAGAGCTCGAGTGATGCGTACGGAAAGTTTTTAGGTTAGGAAGAGTGCATTTAACGACATTATGTCAATGTTTATTGTTCGTCTCGGCGAGAGATCCTCTCAGCCGTTACTTGGAAGGATTTTGAAATTCTCCACAACGCGAGCGTCATCTTCGACAATTTCTGAGAAGCCAGAAGGTGTGTTTCTGTAATCTAACCTCAAAGTTTGCACTTTTCTATATATCCTCAAACATTATCACTTCATAAGAACATACCTACTAATTGATGCTATTCGTTCTGTCAGATTTATCTTATTTCTGTGAGTTGTAATGAATGAATGTATCATAGTGTATAATTATTAATAACAAAGTTTAACATTGTTAGAGAAGTAATTTAAATGCTATTTTAGAGGAATTTCGGGTACTGGAACTTATACCAAAGAAGATAGAAATTAAAAAAGAAGTTATAAAGAAATTTCCTGTACCACCTCCAAGAATCAATCAAATGCAGGTGGACCAAGACTGGCCGTCGGTATGGCCAGGGCCGCGAACCTTTCATCCAGGTGTTGTTCCACTTCCTGTACGCCAAGGATATCCCAAAAAGAGAGAAGGACCACCTTCAAAATGGGCAAATACGGAACTCATGAAAATCCCTAATTTCTTGCATCTTACGCCACCTGCAATCAAGAGGCACTGTGAAGCTTTGAAGCAGTTCTGTACGTCATGGCCTGAAGGCTTAGAGACAGATGAGAAATGTGAACAGCATTTTCCACTAGAGATTATTGCCACTGATTACTGCTACTCAGGCCCAACGATACGAGAGCCTAGAGCTCGCATTGTAACATTTAGGACGAAGCTCTCCTCCCTAGATCTCAACACACATGCAAAAGATAAATTGTTAAGATTAGTTAAAGACAGGTACAATCCAGAAACAGACTGGATAACAATCACTGCTGACAGGTGTCCAACGCGCAAACAGAATTGGGAATACTTAGAATACCTTTTAACTGCTTTGTACTGCGAGTCATGGGTAAGTGCTTCTAATGCATAAATTTTCTTAAACACCGCTTGTTCTGTAATTCAAATTTATCTATTAAGGTGAGGTGAAATTTATTCAGCAACAATTAAAAATATTCTTCTAATAAGCTAAGTTACCAACATCCATGTTTATATTAATGGCTGTGTAGCATTATATTGATTATTGTATGGAAAGGCATAGTCCATATATCGTTTTCATACAATTATTACAAAGAAATCAAAGTTAAACTCAAGAAACTCTTTGGATTCATAATTTTTTTATATTTGAATTTATTAGAGTGCCGCCCTGCGCCATTTGCAGCATTCAGTGCTAACTAAATTTTCTCTCAGAGTTCTTGTGTTACTTTCATCTTAGCACAGAAGCTCATGATATACTTTTTTGCCTTTATCACGTTCAAATACACATTTCTCGATTACTAAAGTGCTCTAAATAGTGCGACAGTCATGACTTTTGTTTCTGCCATCAGAGCCTTCAAGAATTTTGTTGTATATTGATGAAAATATGAAAGCAAGTATTGAAGGCTACGATATGAGAAACTAAGGTGTCAAGACAATTGTACAACAATTTAGAACGCTTTAGCAATTGAGAAACTCGCATTTGAACGGGGTAAAGGCAAAAAATGTCTTACGCGTTTCTGTGCTAAAATGAAGGTAACACGAGGTCTCGGAGAGAAAATTTAGTTGACACTAAAATCACAGATGGCGCAGGGGAGCACTCTGCAGTTAATTAGGGCATAAAAAAAACATGAATACAGGAGATTTTTGGAGTTTTCCTTCGATTTCTTTATAATTATTGTACGGAAGCGACATATGGAGTGCGCCATTTAGTACAATACCCAATATAATTAGACAGGGCTGTCGATATAAATACGAACGTCGGCAACATAGGTATTTAGAATCTTTTTTTCCGACGTCGATCAAATTTCTCGACGTGTTACACTTCACTTTAAACTGAGTTTAAAAGATAGCCAGGAGTTGTGAAACTCAGTTTTATAAATTCTTAATCTCTTACCTTCTGGTTAATAGAAAGTCGAGGACTGGGAGGCCGAAAAGGCAGAGGCAGACATGGAGTACTACGACTGGGATGCAAGCAAAAGTCGACAGACTTTAGTAACAATACGCGCTTGGCCCAATGTTCCAACAGACTCGGACTACGACAGCATTCCGCACGCTGTGGAGTATAAAGTTGCACTCTCAGACTTGATCAACAATGGCGAGGACGAGCACTCGATTAACAAATACAAGGAGGCTGTGAAAAATTTACTTAACTTAAACCCGCCGAAAGAGAAATTTTGAAAAATCAACGATACGGTGTAGCAGCTCCAAGTCATCTCATTTTGTACAGTATAGACACAATTAATAAAATTCTTATTATACGTAATGCCATTTAAGGTAACGCAGAAATACCATTGAAAATGTTACACCTTCGGAACACAATCTCATCAACTAATTCATAACGTACATCGAACACCAACCCATACGAGCAATAAAGTAGGACCGATCAGATTGTTTACCCCATGCAACAAAATTTAATTATGACAAACTCAATCCACTTAGAAACTTAACCGTCACTAATTTCATACATCGCCAAAATCACGTATAAAAACGAGAAAGAAGCCATCTATTTTAGTTCGTGCACGTGCCAAACTCCGATATTATAAATCCTGTGGAACGGTTAATAATTTCCAAGCTTTCCTGTACCAACGCCACCGGAATTACCCGTAAAAATTATTAAAAAACATCCATCTTGCTTCGTGCACGTGCCAAACTCCGGTATTATAAATCCCATGGAACAGTTAACAACAATCCCCACGTTTTCCTGTACCACAACGCCACCGAAATTACCCGTAAAAGTTATAAAAAAACATCCATCTTGCTTCGTGCACGTGCCAAACTTCAATATTATAAATCCCATGGAAGTTAACAACAATCCCCAAGCTTTCCTGTACCACAACGCCACCGAAATTACCCGTAAAAGTTATAAAAAAACATCCATCTTGCTTCATGCACGTGCCAAACTTCAATATTATAAATCCCATGGAAGTTAACAACAATCCCCAAGCTTTCCTGTATCAACGCCATCGGAATTACCTGTAAAAGTTAGAAAAAAACATCCATCTTGCTTCGTGCACGTGCCAAACTTCAATATTATAAATCCCATGGAACAGTTAACAACAATCCCCAAGTTTTCATGTACCAACGTCACCGGAATTATCCGTAAAAATTATTAAAAAAAAACATTCATCCTGCTTCATCCAGATACGAAATCCCACTTTTATACATCCCACAAAACGATCCCCGAACACCTCGTAACAACAGAGAACGCTGATAAAATGTTGGTACACTTTATTTACGCAATCGCTAATTTATCCATATAATATTGTACAAATCATTACAGTAAACTATATAGTCCTGTAATCCGTGTGTCTATGAATGCTCTCTCTCTCTCTCTCTCACTCGCTCTCTCTTTCTCTCTTTCTCTCTCTCCCTTTCAATCTCCCGTTCGCTCTATCCCACATGCTCTCCGTAATACCAACAATAGCTTCGCAGTAAAAGTTTCGGCCGACAGCCCAAAGGAGATTTTTTATACTTTTTTTTCTTTTTCTTTTAACTAATACAGCGCCGGCGAGTCCTAGCAAGAGACTCGTCGGAGGAGAGCGTACCGACGTACATCCTAGAAAAGGGTTCCGTTCTTTTAATATTCCCTTCCGTTGCCTCGGCACTACGCCGAGATAACGCAGATAAGGATAATAGGGAAGGAAAGGGTAAAAAAAAAAAGAAAAAGAAAAGGAAAAGAATCACGGGGAAACGAAAAGAAGGCCTCTCGCGAGGCGAGAGGGGTATATATTATTACGCCCGTTTCCTCGCCTCTTTTTTTTCCTCTCTCTCTCTCTCTCTCTCTCCTCCTTTTTATCGTCGCTATCTACATGTCCAGGGTAATAAGCCTATTTTTTAATCGTCCTCAGGTCGATTAGCGAGCCAGGGAGGATTTAAAGAGACGTGTCTCCTCCACAGAGCACTCTCTCTCTCTCTGTATATTTTTCTCTCTCCCTATACTAGACTTTCTCCTTTACCTTAAGGCGATATGAAAGGGTCATTCTATGTATACATAAAACGTCAAAATATTGATAAAACTTTTCCGAAAACTAAGTGCACCGAGTGATTTGAAACATCAATATGTCATTACGAAGGTCCGAAGAAAGAACGCGATGTTCGTGAAATTTCATTTTTTACAAAAAAAATGTGATCTTGGCTCTAGTCCAGGCTAAATAAATGAAACTTTTTTTTTCTCGAAAATGAAATTTAACGAGCATCGCGTTTTTTTGTTTTGGGGCCTTCGTAATCACGTCATGAAGTTTCAAATGATCACATGAAGTTCACCCAGATTGGAGAAAAGTTTCATATATATTTTCACATTTTGATATAAAGAACGACCCTCTCGTACCACCTCAAGGTGACATGAAAAGGTCATTCAGCATATATCGAAACGTGAAGAGATTTATACAATTTTTCTTCACACTGGGCGCACCGAATTATCTGAAACTCTGACACGTGATTATGGAGGCTCCAAGGAAGAACGTCCGTGAAATTTCATTTCTCGAACCAAAAAAAAAAAATGCCTTTTTTCATTCTTGTCAGATAAATATAAATTTTTCTTTGAAAAATGAGATTTCACAAGCATCGCGTTCTTCCTTAGGGCCTTTATAATCACGAGGTCGATGTTTCAAACGATTCGGTGCACCCAATCTGGGGAAAATCTTTATAAATAATTTGACAATTTGGTGTGTGTCATATATGTATACATATATATGACACTCTCATAACGCCTTTAATGTGGCCCCACGCCAGAATGGGCTTAACTTTTCTTCACAATTTTTTATCGTATATCTTAAGGTTGAGGCAAAGTCTCGGGCTCGGAATATCTTTCCCCTGGCAGTTTCCGAACGACGAGGTCTCTCTTCTCGTTTCTCGTTTCTCGTATCGCGCGAAAGTCGGCTCTCATATTTCCTCGTTTTCCCCATTTCTTTTTCAGCGATTTATCTTCATCGTTTTTTATGTCTTCAGCTCGAAACCGACCCTCGGAGGGAAACTCTTGGGATCGCGAGGGGCTTTTCGTTTTCCTTTCTTTCTTTTTTTTCTTCGCGTCGATTCTTCCCCATTTCCCCCGAGAAATTGTGCACATGAAATCCCAATTAACCCTTTAATTACGAAACGCCACTATATTCATTCTTTCCCATGTACTCAAAGCGACAAATAAATATCGTATTCATATAAAATATCAGCATTTCGCGATCGAGCTATCCGTACAGATGGTACATATCCGCCGTAGTTAAAGGGTTAAGGTGATATGAAAGGGTCATTTTTTTATGTCAAGACGTGAAAATATTTATAACAATTTTCTCCAAACTGAGTGCACCGAATCATTTGAAACCTCAGCACGTGATTACGAAGGTCCCAAGGAAGAACGCAATGCTCATGGAAGTTCATTTTTCAAACAGAAATGTGTGTCCTTGGTTCTAGTTTGGGATGCATACCAATTTTTTGTATGAAAAATGAAATTTCATGAGCTTCGCGTTCTTCCTTAAGGCCTCCATAATTACGGGCTGAAGTTTCAAATTATTCGGTGCACCCTGTTTTCAGAAAAGTTTTATGAACATTTTGACGTTTTGGTATATACATATATGACACTTTCGTATCACCTTAAGATGATGTCAAAGGGTCATTCTATATATCGAAACGAATCATTTGAAACTTCAACACGTGATCACGAAGGCCCCAAAGAAGAACGCGATGCTCGTGAAAATTCACTTTTCAATAAAAATTTCTTTTTATTTAGCCCAGACTAGAACCAAAATCACACTTTTTGCGGGAAAAATAAAATTTCACGAACATCGCGTTCTTTCTTAGGGCCTTCTTAATCACGAGTTAATGTTTCAAATGATTCGGTGCACCCAGTTTGGAGAAAAGTTTCATAAATATTTTGACGTTATATATGTATAATGACCCTCTCATATCACCTTAAAGGGTTATCTCGTTAATTGATCGAGACCCGTATTAGGAACAGGATCTTTTTTTTTTCTCTCAATGTTTGTATCTTCCATTTGAAGATTCCTTTCGAATTATTGGGAGAAAAAACCCTGGTTGCTCTCCAATAATCGTCTTTTTTTAAATTTATTTATGAAACGAAGTTTTCTAAAAGCAGGTGCCATTTTTAGTTTCCCGTCATTTCTGAACGGTCAGTTTGAACTTAGTTTCTTTCTTTTTTTTTCTGATTGATTGATTGAAATCTTGATAGAATTGATCGCGAAGAAGGGCGCGAAATTAATTCCCCTGTTGGAAAGGGCGGTCGTTTTTTATTTCTACATTTCATCTTTTTTTTTTCTCGTTACAGATGTAAACAATAATGAGAAATTAATCAGGAGCAGTTGCACCCCAGAGTGTGCTGAAACCCTGACAATTTCTGTTTAATAAAAGTTAATTAGCTGTGCTAAGAAGAATATCGGAAAAACATTACAATCAACCAGTACCGGATAAGAGAACGATTCACATTGAATTATGTAAGCCTACTCACTATATAATTTTTAAATATTGTCAAACGAAAAATTTGAGTACCAGATGAACTATATGAAAAAGATTTCGTTTATTTAAAAATTGTAAACAGATAAAATCAGGGCGTTAACTTTACCCCTCTCGTTACTTTCGATGGGAATAAAAGTGTCAGTACTTTTTCAAAATCGAAATTTCGTTTTTCCAAACGTAAAATGACACCTTCTTTTGGGAAACCCTATGATCTCATTTCCGATGAAGAATTAATTCGAATTAATTTTTCAGCTACGATTGCGGGAACAGTTTGTTCTTCGACAATTGCCTTTATATATAAAGGATATAAAACCGAGAAAGAAAATACCTCGTCGATCGTTCAACTCATCCCGATCGCTGATACGCCGAATTAATCCTTTGAAATTAATTGCAACTAGTACAGTTTAATAAACCACGCAAGACGCATCCGAAGCTCGTAAAACGCCGACAAAATCACTCGAAAAAGATTTACAAACCGATATATTCTCGTATATCAGGACTCGACTCATGTATCGCGCCTATTTCCGGAAAAACGTCGAAAAAGAAAAACCTCGAGAATCGCGAGTTAAATCATTCACCGCTAATCGCGAGTTAAATCGTCCACCGCTAACCGCGAGTTAAATCGTCCGCCGCTAACCGCGGGTTAAATCGTCCACCGCTAATCGCGGGTTAAACCGTCCACCGCTAATCGCGATCATCATCCGTACGTCCCACAGAGACAACACAAATTTATATATCCCATAGCGGATCAGTTAAAAAAAAGAAAAAAGAAAAAGCAATAATATTTGTCCGCCTAGACCTTCCTTCAGAAGGAAGCTGCAGAAAACACCGAGAAAAAAGAAAACCATCCTTGCAAGTCTTTAAGGTGATATGAAAGTCTCATATATATATATGTACCAAAAAGTAAAGTATTTATAAAGCTTTTCTCCAAACTAAATGCACCGAATCATTTGAAACTCCAGCACGTGATTATGGAGGCCCCAAGGAAGAACGCGATGCTCGTGAAATTCCCTTTTTCAAACAAACACTTTTTTCATTTATCCCAGACTAGAACCAAGAATACAGATTTTTTCTTTGAAAAATGAAATTCTATGAGCGCCGCGTTTTTCCTTAGGGCCTTCATAATCGCGTGCTGAAATTTCAAATGATTCGATGCACCCAGTTTGAAGAAAAGTTTTATAAATATTTTTACGATTTATATATACATCTATAGAATGACCCTTTCATATCACCTTAACACTTTACCGACCGGAAAATTTCGAGATAAATGGCGATATCATGGGCATCGCAAAACCGATTAACAAACTTCCGGCCGGTAAAGCGATAACGATCACCCGTTCGATTCGCAAATCGAGGTCCGACCCTAACTGATTCACCGAGAGAAGCCGACGTTTCCTTTTCCCTAAATATCTCCCCTCCTAGTCTCTCTAAAACGATCGCAAAAACTCGCCCCACGGTGTCCAGGCAAGAGAAACGCCTTGCGAACTCGATTTCCCCCCTAAAGGTCGATTCAGACCATCCGACACGTATCGGTTCCGACACGTGACGGTGCCGGTCCGATAAAACACTGTTAACATGCTTATCAATAGCATTATTCATCCAAGACGCAGGTCGTAAGTGTCAACAGCGCCACTGAGACATACATGTTACGATAATACAATCACGAAGTAGTACGAGGAGACGTAACACCTATATTCCATAAAAAGTGGCCCCATAATCGGTACTCAGGGATCTTGAATTTACGCTTATCCAACGATACTAGCGCTACTTGCGGAAAATCTAGGAACTCCGATACCACGTGACCAAAATGATTCCTATCGATGTAAATAACCTGAAGCGCTTTTAATTTCGCAGTTAAGATAATGTGAAAGTGGCGTCAAAGAGGTTTCGTTTATGACTTCTCTCCGACCTGGGTGTAAATAACCTGTAGCGCTTTTAATTTCGCAGTTAAGATAATGTGAAAGTGGCGTCAAAGAAGTCTCGTTTATGACTTCTCTCCGACCTGGGTGTTACGGAATCGATTTAAGCTTTACAATATAAATATGGAGAGTATAAGGAAGGCGCTGAAACTCATGGAATTTCAATTTCTTTTATTTTAAATTTGTTCATAGTATTGTTAAAATGTGTTATAAAAATGAAATCTCATGAGGGTCAGGACCTTCCTTATGGCCTCCACGTTCACGTCGCAAAGTATGAAACGATCCGGTACATTCGGTTTGGAGAAAAGTTTCATGAACGATTGATCCCCTTAAGGTGATGTGCAAGTGACGTCGAAGAGTCCTCGTTCACGATACTTTCCACCAAACTGGGGGTACCGAATCGATTCAAACTTTACAGTATAAATATGGAAAGTATAAAGAAGGTCATGAGACTCATGGAATTTTAATATTTTAAAAATTTGTTCATTTTGTTAAAATTTGTTATAAAAAGAAGAAAAAAAAATGGAATTTCACGAGAATCAGGACCTTCCTAGTAGCCTCCACATTCACGTTGTAAAGTTTGAAACGTTTAGGCACACCCAGTTCGGAGAAAAGTTTCATGCACGAGTGGCATCCGAAAGCTCAATCGTTCATAAAACTTTTCTACGAACTGGGTGTCTCAAATCGTTTCATACTTTTAAAACGTGAATATGGAGACCCTAACGTAGGTCCTGAAACTCGCGAGATCTCATTTTTTATAAACTATTTTTAAAATACCTATAAACAAATTTGAAAAGAATTGAAATTCCATGAGTTTCAGGACCTTCCTTATAGTATCCCTATTCACGTTGTAAAGTTTCAAACTATCCGGTAAATCGAGTTGGGAGAAAAGTCTTATAAACGAAACCTCTTCGATGCCACTTTCACATCCCCTTAAAGCAATATAAAACGTAGCTAAGAACAAACCTACGTTTACAATGTTTTGTCAGATCGGCACCGACAAGTCTCCGCACCGATACGTGTCGGAAAATATAAATCCCCCCTAAAGCGTACACGTCCTCCCCCTCGTTACCTATCTCACCCTTTTATAATATCTACGCATGTGTCGGCGCGCGTGCGCGCGACATCCCTAGAGGTATTACCGATATATCCGCGTTCTTTAATATTAAATCCCTACATTAATGTACACGTTCTCTTGTTCATCCGCGAAGGAGCGCAAAAATAAAACTGGATATTTGTTTATTAACAGTAGAGTACGGGGGGTCGTTCCCGGGGTTTTTTGGGGGGCTTTGCGAGGGGGCGAAGGGGGGCGACGCGGAGCCCAACTCATACATGGGCAATTAATTAGATACAATGTACAGCTCCGAGCTTTTACGCCTCTTCAGAGAGATGGTTACGAGTCGTATAAATTATATGTATACTTCCATACGCACACGCGGTATTTATATCCCACTATTAATGAGACGTCGCTATAAATAAGGGAGCAAATCATTCCGTGGATAGGAAAAGCCGGAGGAACCATTCGAGAGGTACACCGAGGGGGGCTATCATGAGAACCGCGTACCGCAAAACTCTACAATATCTCTTTCTATGTTTTCCCCTTACTTGTCAATCTTTAAAGTCCTGGCAAAAGAAAAAAGAAAGAACTGATACCGCCGGAGAAATACGCGAATGTAAAGTGGTGGTTCTTGGTCCGCGTTACGCGACCTACGCCGTTATAAATGTTCTTATATATATTGGTATATAGTATATACACAGAGTGTCCATATATGCAAAGAATTTTAGAAATTTAATCCACTAACATCATCATTTGTCATTTTTGCCACTATTTTAACCCTTCGGCTACTAAAGGCGTCCGCCGTTTGGTCCAATATTGCCTGCACGCATTCACGAATTTCGCCCATATGTCGAAAGGGCTCCGTATTTAAAGGGTTAAATCAGTTTCACCTAAGAGTGATTATAATGGCTACAAACTGAAAAGGTTTGTATGCATTTTTTTGGAACACCCTGTACATATACATTTCCAGGTTTTTGTTAGTTTTATGCCCTTACTGATTTTACCGTTCCGCAAATTTTGCGACAGGATCGAAAGCGTTTTGAAAAGATTTAGAACCACCGATGTAGAGAGTCGATGAGGGAAAGCGCAAATCTTAAGGTGATATGAAAGGGTTATTCTACAAATATAAAACGCTAAGATATATATATGAAACTTTTCTCTAAAACAGGTGCACCGAATCATTTAACTCCGGCATATGATTATGGAGATCCTAAGGAAAAACGCGATGCTCATGAAATTTCATTTTTCAAAAAAGTACGTATCCTTGGTTCTAGTCTGGGATAAATAAACAAATCTTTAGTTGCAAATTGAAATTTCATGAGCATCACGTTCTTCCTTAGGATCTACATAATCATGTAACGAAATTCTAAATGATTCGGTGTACCCAGTGTGGAAAAAAGTATTATAAATATTTTTACGTTTTATATATATATAAAATCCTTTCATATCGCCTTAAAGGTTCATAGACTCTTTCACATCCTCGAAAAGTCTTGTTAATTGGATTAACCTCAAACCAAGTAATCCTATATCGTTCCGATAACTAGACGAATGCATTTCATTCTAAAAACTCGATAAGCGTTTCTCGGGACCGTTCAAATATCGTTTAAAAAAAAATTGAACGGCTGCGGATCAGATCGTTAAATCGCTCGCCCAAAAGCGCAAAAGGGCCGAATTCGAGCACTTGGTGTAAATTCCGAATAGTTCCGCTCATCTTTCGTTCGTATCTCGAGAAACACGTTTTTCCTGTTTACGGCGAAACGGGGAACTCGGATCCGGAGAACATCTCCGATGTGCAATCGGTTTCGATATTTTCATGGCCTTTTAAAAAGAGAATCATCATATCAAAACGGAAGGAAAAATTGTTAAGTATAATCAAGCCCTGTGTAAGTTGGACGAAGAATCGTTAAGGGCGTTCTAGCTCTTATCAATGCACAATCGGCGCGCGATTCTCCTTCAGTCTTGTATCATTCTTTATGGAAATACGAATTTCCATAATTCACCGCGCGAGCGCAATTTCATGGGAAATTGGACGGGCTAGAAGAAATTCACGATAAAGGCGTCTAACTACTTTTACGAATTCGACGATTTTTCAACGACTTTCCCACCTAGAAGAGCTTAATCAATTTAATATCTTGAGATCTCTCAACAATATTTCCCATCCGAAGAAACTCCTTCCCAGGCTTGAACTCATCGAAGGACTTAACATGTTAAGACTTTTCGAAATCAGTGTTAGGAATTGTTTGGAACTCAAACATGAGTATATGTTAGACAGGGACCATTTACAGACTTAACAATAAAATGATCGTTTAAAGACGTAACATCTATATCGTGTATATTTAAATATACATATTTGAAGATATGTACTCGACGATATTTAAAGACATTTAAAGAGGCTAAAACCTATAACGACTCGGTCATACGCGACGTACGAAGCCCCATCGCCAATTTCTTTTTTTTTCTCTTTCCTAAGGCGCCTAGAAACAAGAGTAATTATCGCACGAATTCCCCTTCGATCGAATGAAATTACCTCCATCCGTAAACGATCCCTGGGCTCGAGATATCCACGTCAGAAAATCTCAAACATTTCCCACCACAGATTGGGGAGGAAAAAAAAAAAAACGGTCAGAAACTAAGACGCTAACCCCCCATAAAAAGTCACTTCCTCGCATCCCCTACTCATCGTCGCACAGAAAGAGAAGGAAGTTAAGACACCATGAAAGCGTATCCGAAACCAACGACATCAAGAAACGCCGCCGAGACCCGTTAATTTCCCCCGTGCGCCGAGATTATCGGAAATAATCGGCCTTTCTCGAACTCTCTCCTCCACCTCTCTCGGGTCAGGTTGGGAGGGGGGTGGCGGGGGGTCACGGAGGAAAAGAATTTCACTAATTAATTCGTTAGAAAAATATATAAGGTGCAGTTGAATCCGTAGCGGTGTTAATTGCAAGGCCCTGGGAGAGACACCGCCCCAAGAGTCCCGGAGGGAAAAAAGTCTTTTGATCTCGCGTTGGGCGACGCCGCCCTTGTCCCAGGGCGGGCCGCGAAGGCGCGCCCGGCCAGGGCCGTATACACAAGGTAGAGTCCGCGCGCCAAGTGCGCGCACCGCTGCGCCTCACACGTGCACACGCGTCCGAGCACGAGTCGGAGGGGACCCGACGATCCTACTTCCCGACTTCGTCCAGCGGCGAGGTGGCGAGAGCACCTCTTCGGGGCAATCTTCGTTCCCTCTGGCCTCCCCGACCGGTCGAGGCGACGGCGCCGGATAGATCGTTCGCAGCTACGAGAGACAGGGCCCCGTCGTTCGCTCCCGGGGGCGTCCTCCTCCTTCCCCCCTCTCGGGCCTTAACGAGAGATCGGACAGTGACAGAGATATACGCACGGCATGGCTATTTATATTATGTATATTTATAATATGTATATCGTTACGGCAAACGCGACTCCGCGTGGGGGTCAGGCCCGTCCCTCGGACTCGCCCGGGCGCCGCTGCAGCGGCGAGGCCCCTCGGCCCCGCCTCCCGCGACGGAGTCCGGCGACTCGAGAGACTCCTCGCTTTTAAATAAATATACAAGTCGGCACTGGCGATCGATCGAGGGACCGCGCGGCCAGGGGGAGCCATCTCCTCGGCCCCACCCCTCTTTCCTCGAGTTGCGTCCTCGGGGGATCGGGCCCGGGGGTCCCATCCGGCGGGCCGATACACCTCCCGCGTCTCTTCGGCTCGATCGGCGGGCCCAAGGAGGGAGCGAGGCCATTTCGCGGCCCGAGGGCCCCGCGGCCCCCCTCCACCGGCCCGAGAGGGCCCGGAGTCCCCTCCCCGTGTCCCTTAAGCATTAGTTATATGCATACACATGTACACGCGCGGCTCGGCCTCCGCTGCCGGGCCCGGGGGCTTCGGTGGCGCCCCCGACGGCTTGCGGCGCTACTCAACGGAGTGCCGCGAGGTTGCGTGTCGTCCTGGGCGAGGGCAGCCCGCGCTGGCATCACTCGGCCGATCATTGCTATTTCGCTCTCCCCTGGACCCCGGCGGACCTGGTGGTCGGCTTGGCCGGCTGCGGTATTATAGTGATCTCGTCGTTGATCTTGAGCGGCTTAAGCAGCGAGTCGTTCGATCTTGAGGAGGGCGACGAGGGCGCGTTCTTCTTGTCCATCACCCGCTTCGCCACCACGCTGTGGGCTGAGTACACGTGGTTCTCGAACTGCTTGTACATGCCGAATGTCGCGGTGCACACCGTGCACTTGTATGATAAGTGCGCCGGCTTCAGGGTCATTCCGTGGTCGCGCGCCACGTGGTTCAACAGCTTCCACTGGTACACCTGGAACGTGTTGGATGAATTGGAAAGACTGTCTCCGATTAGGTGGACCGTCGAGGATAACGACCCGTTCGCAACTGAACGCGGATACTCGAGACAAATTTTCAGCTAATCTAAGGATGGTTTCCGACAAAACTGTTATCTCGGTAGATTGTTCAAATAATGTTACGATATACAATTATTTCATACAATCCAAGAAATTCGTGCAGAAGCTTTGTGAATGGAGCATCGGGACGGCGTTGGAAATTGCAAATTGCAACACGCAATTGAGAGATCATTCATCTGGCTTAAATCAATCTAACTGTTGTTCATAATAATTGAACGCTATATACTATGTGCTTCATTATCGCGTTCATTAAAACATGATGCGATATGCAGAAAAGAAGTAACAAATGAAAAAGTGGAGTAAATGGTCTAGTTTAAACAAACCTTTCCCTTAATCACGTGACTTGAATGTTTAGAGTTACAATGAGTTACTATAAAAAATGCTACGTATAATTTCACATAAAAGTGTAAAGCTAGAAACTACGAGTTGCTATGAATTATGTTGATTATATTGTAACTATCGAAAAAAATTAATTTTCTTATAGCAATATTACAACTTCATTTATAACTATCTCCGTGAATAGCTTAAGGCATTCGATGCCGTTCTGTTATAAAGGTTTCACTGGGAAACGATTTTACATTGTCAACAATATTTTGCAGTTAATGACCGTGCCATGGGGTTAAATGGTTTGCATGATATGATTGCATTGATATGCAGATGCATTGCATAATATTTATGAGTACGACCACCATAGTTCATGGGACGTTATTGACGAATGTCCCTAGAGACTACCGATTCAGACTAAAAAAATCAATCTTAATTTTAACAAGCTGTACTCCTAATAAATGTAAAGTAAATCTATTTACCCTGCCACAGGCTGGACAACGTCCCGCGTCCTTTCCTTTATTTGCAGCCTCCTGCATACTGGACGTGACGAGTCCGTGAGATCCAAGCAAGTGTCTTTCCAATCCCTGTGATAAAAGAAGCATAAAATTTATTCAACATCCATTCGTTCAATTATTCATGTGTCTGGGAGCCGTTCAAACAACTTATACCGTACATGAATGTTGTCCTACTTATCATTTAATGTTTTTAATGCAGCATGAAAGCTATTGACGGCCACTTTTTAAATTGCCGTGCAATTACCAGAGCCTTAGAAACTGATCGTTAGTCTCAAGTTAAATTCCTTTTTCCTTATATTTCAGTTACACGGAAATATAACGTAAGCTTACCTGATCCGTAAAGAATCGGAACTGACACTTTTGGCAGTTCAGCGGGGGTCTATTGTAAATCATCTTTGGATGAATCTTAACTTTGTGGATCCACTGCATGTGATTCCGCAGCTGTTCTAGATCCTGGAAGATCAGTAAAATCTTTAGTTAAAGAGACAAATGTAAATCTTATAGTTATAAAAAAAAAATAAACCATAGAAAAACAATAATGGCATTTCTCAAATCATTTTGTTACATCTGATCTGCATTTTTCCGTTGCCCCTTGTCTTCTACATTCTGAAGATTATTTTAAATAATCAATCGATAAAATTGCAAAGAGGTTTTCTTCTATTAATTTAAAAAAAAAGAAACAACCAACTTAACGTATAATGATTCTTAAGAAATTTCAGTAGTTAAAACAATTATGCTAAATACCAATCAATCAAAACGAGGTCACAATTTACGAAATCTGATAATTGATGATTGATATATAAGCACTCTACCCACTTTTAACGTCAAACTGTCAATTGACAGTTTTTGACATTCTCGTGTTCATTCTTGCGGGCCTAACGCAAGATAAACGAACAAGCACGTACAAGGTGTAATGTATATTACAGCAATTGTTATTTTTAATCGTCGTTGTACGGTTAAGGTGTTATGAAAGTGTCATATATGTATATCGAAACGTCAAAATATTTATAGAACTTTTCTCTAAACTGGGTGCACGGAATCAATTTAAATTTCAGCACATGAGTATGAAGGCTCTAAGGTAAATGCTCATGGAATTTCATTTTTCGCAAAAAAAATGTGATCTTGGTTCTAGTCTAGGTTAAAAAAAAAACCTTTTTTTTTAAACAAGAAAAAATGAAATTTCACGTACATCGCGTTCTTCCTGGGGGCCTCCATAATCACATGTTACAGTTTCAATTGATTCGGTGCACCCACCTTGGAGAACAGTTTAATCAAAAATGTATTTAGCTCGAAACTCTACCGAGTTTCTTGATAAATATTTTTATGTTTTACATATAGAGTGACCTTTTCATATCACCTTAAATAGATCGACCCAGTAACGGCGGCTCGAAATACTGACCTTGATATATCCGTCGCAAATCTCACATATGACAAATGTGTTCTTGCCACCAGGCTTCGCTGAGCTTCCCGATCCTGAAATCGGAGTTTGCGACGTGGTGCGCGGCAATGGGGTTATCGATATACTCGGCTGGCTTAATAGCTTCGCCGTGGGATTTTTCGAGCTAGACGACGTGTTCTGTAAAGAGAAGAAGAACGTCAATTGGGGCCCATTATACGTGACAACAAATAAACCTCAAATGAATGCACAATAACGTGACACTTAGTAAAATTAATCGAATTAATCCAATTAATCCAGCGACTGTACACCTGTTTGCGCATACGGACCCTTTCAACGCTGCAAAACATACAACAATGCGCATAATAAACCTATTATCTCTTTATTAACAATTGAATCTGACGGTCTATAGGCGTAAAAATAGTACGCATTGAAAGAGCTTAACGAGCACGCATCGTTTACGGTTAAGAGGTGGTTAAAGAAGCTCATAAATAAAAATTCACCAAGGGAGTGTACCAGAGCTTTTCAATATTTCTGGAAATCAATGTCAGAAACTCAATAAGAATATATATTAATATCTAAACAAATGGAGTCATTTGTTTATGGAAGAAATATTAATCTCTTAAAAGGAGGTGAAACCTTAAATGATTTTAAAATTCCCTACGCAAGAGATCACAATTCATCTTGATTTTCCTTACAATTAGTAGAAACAAAAGAAATGGTTTCTTTATTAAATTTCCTTCGCTTCAATGCATTCTCAGTTAAGAGAGGTTCCTCTAAACTAGATATTCACGAATTTTGGAAAAATATCAAACTACACACTCGGTACGTTCTCCTAGTAGAAATTCAATTTCAAGTTCTATTAATTACCCATTATGTTGGAAATATATTAAAAAATGTCTCACACATTCAGATTTCTTCCAAGAAAGGCATTCCACATAAAGTATCTGCGAATGGTCGACCAAAAATTACTACCATTGCTACTCTCAGCTAAATAATTGCAACTCCCGACAGTCAAGAAACCACCTACTACTTGTCACTGCCCACGTAAGCTTATCAATTTTTTTTTCCTTCCTTCAGAATACAGCCAATAAGGTCTGCTCGACATTCTTAGTCTCCGACATTCCAAAGAGCAAAGAGCTCAAGAAGCTCTCTCACATATAAATATATTAATTTCGAAGAAGAAGAAGAAGAAGAAAGATACCTCCGAGTTACGTGTAACCTTTCATCTTCTTTTCCTTTTTTTTATATATATTTAATTCTGTAAATCGAACCAGCCTAGAGAAAGCTTTCATAAGAGAAATTTGTTTTGCATTTCGGTCCGACTCCATGAATAATTCGCGTTCCAATTGCGGAGTTAATTTTGTAAATGGGAGAGTTTTATTGATCCAACCGACGTTGCCTTGTGTGTGGATGGCTCCTCTGTTCTCCCCCTTTTTTTTTCTTCTCATTTTCCTTCCAGGGCTTTTGGCGCTTCGGATTATTGCTTCTCCGGTGGATTTATTAAGCTTGGTGACTCCCCATGTCGGAATTACGTACGCGTAGAGACGGTCCCACGTATAATTACCTGGAATATTTGGTTGCTGCCAAACTGGTACGTAGTTGGCACCAGCAGCCCTGAAGACGTTGGTCGGTACATCATACCTGCAACGTTGTCTGCAATGTATGAGCATTCGATTATTTCGAATTCGAGATCACGATTCAAATTCTGCGTGAGTTTTCACGACTAAATGAATAATTGACATAATAATTTCAAGAAACGTTCCAACATTTAAGAACGTCAATGAAACGACCATCTGCTCAATAATAAAATTAAACATCCAATTATTGATGAATCCAATATTATGAATAGACGATTTTTCTCAGTTAGTCCATTTTGAAACCTCCATCCGAACAGATCGGAGTACCTCAAAAACCGAATTAAGCATCCAACTATCATGATCCACGTTTGATAAAAAAAAAAAAAACGCTTCTTTGTTGATCGAGGCAGCCTTTCACCACGATGAATTAGAATGCTTTTAAAGTTAATTTAAACATCCAACCATATTCCAGATAACATTAACAGTGAATAAATCGTGACACTTTTTCAAGGATTCTCTTGAAAGATCGGAGCACTTTTAGCATTAAACTAATCACCTGTCATCCTCCGGCTTATATTAAGCGAGGAGGAAGATTCCAATGAACCTTCCACTAGGGGTTCTCACCTTGTCGTATCGGGGAGCTTCCAGGACGCAGAGTCTTGAGATCCGTATACCTAGGTTGCATCGGAGGACGTCCACGACCACGTCCAGGTACAGGAGCTGGCAGGAGTTTTGGCAGCAATGGTTGGGGACCTTTACTGCTCATAGCCATCGCCAGGTTGGCAGCCATGGAGTTGGTAGGCCCGACAGGTCTGGGTCTGTTCAGTCTGGGGATCTTGGCAGGAGGCTCCCAGTCGTTGGCTGGTTCCAGGTTACGCTCCGGTCTGAACTTCTTGGTGCAAGCCAGGACGTGACGAGTCAGCTTGCCCTTCTGGTTATCCTCGAATGGACAATTGGGGCACTGATGGAAGGCAGGTCCTCGTTCTAATCTACCGCGGGTATTGTGTTCGGCCTCCATGTGAAACAGTATATCGTGGGGGCTGCGCACCTCCAGGGGACAGAAGTTGCACTTGTACACGTAATTTCGCATGTGGGGTGTCTCGAGGTGATGCTGCATCACCAGAGCAGACTCCGTCTTGAAGCTGCAGAACTCGCACTTCTTCATCTCTAAGTGGAATGGTTCGTTGTTCTCTTTGCTGAACTCCAGATTTTTGATGAGGGAGTTGATGGCGAGCTGAGTCTCCGCCGAGGTGGACCCCTTGCCCTGCTTCCGCTTCTGAGTGCGCAGCAGGTCGGTCTGGACGAATTCCTGGACGAGGTTGACGCCGATCTGCATGAAGAATTTCCCCAGAGGGAGGTCGAAGTACGTGGGGACTCTGTTCCGGTCCTCGGGCTTCTCCTCGACGCCCGGCAAGCCCTTCTCGATGATGTCCACTCCGTCGCCGAGCTCGTCGCTATCTTTCTTGCTCTTCACGCTGCCCTCGTTCTCGCTCTCGTCGGCTTTGCCGCCTTCCAGGGAGTCCGAGTCCTCGTTCCTCTTCTCCTCGGCCTTTCTCAGCTTCTCCTCCTTCTCGAACTCCTCGATGCTCTTCTCCAGCTTCGACACGAACTCCTTGAGAGGCTTTATAGGAGGCTTCTCGTATACGTAAGGGACTATGAAGGACGGCGCTTCGACGACGAACATGTCGTCCGTAAGGGTTGGCAGTATCGGAGGAACCGGTGGCGTGATCGTCGCGATTTGGCTTGGCTTGGGATTCAGCTGTGGAGGTTTACTCGGCAAGGGGACCGGAGTTATGGTCGTTCTCATATTAGGGTACATGGTCTGTGCCGCCGAGATACCCATAGGAACCACCGAGAAGGAACTCGAGCTGGAGCTCGAGTGGTGAGACTTGCCCACGGGCACGCCACCTCTTCCTGAGAGAATCGAATTAGTGTCTATGATCACTAACGTCGGCTCTTTCTTGCCACCTTTGGAGGACTTACTGCCAGCAGCTATTTCCACGAGCCGTTTAGTGTCGCTGACCACGATGGTGGTCTTGCTGTTCTTTATCGGACTCTTTGTTTTCGAGTTCTCTTTGTCCTTTGTGTCGACTCCACCCAGAGGATCCTCCGGCTTGATCTCCTCTATATCGGAACCGTCGTCGTCTATCTCCTCCTCCTCGATTTCCTTTTCTATGTAGCTAGTCCTTTTAATGTTGCGAGAGCTACGCCTCGGAGTAATGGTGCTGAGATCTATCTGCTTTCGAGCCTTCTTCTTGGGGGGATCCTTGACCGGTGACTGGTCTTGCGATGAAGCAGCTCGTCCGTTGCTTTTAGCGGTATCTGTAATCTCTTCGATATCGGGACTGCCACAACTTCCATTCTCCTCGCAGATCTTCACGTCGGACGTGTCTAAAGTGCTTTCAGCTATTGTACTACTGTCGTTAAATTGAACGTCGCTACTACCTGATTTATCTCTGTCTACCTCGTCGGTTGATTTCTCTATCGCAAATACATCATCCGTATCGGAGTGTACTTCCGTCACGGATTCATCTAAACATTCGACATCCGAGTTATTACTCTGAGCGTCGACATCCATTGGTTCACTCCTGACGTCTTGACACTCGCTGTTGGTTTTTGACACTTCACTCGCGTTATTTTGCTCACTGACACCGTCGTCTGACTCGGACGCTTTGTAGTCGTCACATGCCTCTGTAATTTCCATTTCCTGATGAGTATCCTCGTCGGTCCTCTCTTCATCGGGAACGTCGTCCATCGAATCTACTCCTTTATCGACTTCGCTGGTCCGTCCGCTTCCCTGACCATCTTCCACCTCCATCTCCTCCTCTTCGTCCTCCTCCTCCTCCTCCTCGTCTTCCTCGTCATTGTGCTTATCCTCTTCACCCGCTATGCTCTCGGGCCGAGCATCGCATGCATCGTCGCTGGAGTCGACCAACTTTTCGCTCTCATCGTCGTACTTTCCGTGAACTCCATTGGGAATCAAATTATCTAGAAAGAAATTCCTTGTAAATCAATAATGTCATCGGATACACATACCTACAAATTCCAATTACATAACCTGTGAAATATGAATATAACTATTTACGAAAAACTATCCACGCTTAATTCTTTTTACCCCAACGTCTAAGCATTAGCGCCAACTTTCAAAGCTTCTCTAAACTTCCCAATAAAATTAAGTACTCAATAAAAATGAATACCACATTCCAATTCACATATTTACACCATTATTAGCCCCAAACAAGGTTAACTACAAACCAAGACTCCGATACGGTACGAAAGCCTCGATTCGACACCCCGTACCCATTCCAAAATCCATTGGTAAACCCTCCGCCAAGTGCTTCTCCCTGAAATGGGGCCACCCCGAGCACTGTTCCTGCCCCGACTCTCTTAATTAAGGCTTCCTGTCCCCAGTAAACCCAAATATCCCCAAAATCTCTCGATCAACTCCTCCGAGCCTCCATGCAACCCCATCCTCCCAAGCCCCTCGAAACGTCATCAAGCATCATACCTATCCCAAGCTTGTCAGGACCGTCGCGGGCAGGGTCCTTGACCAGCGGCTCCTCGAGCGCGGCCTCCATGGGTGCCGATGATCTCAGCCGCTCTGCAAGCCCGAAATACTTCGAATTAGCGTCTCTCCATAAACTCGGGGGAGTCTCGTATCGGCGCGTCCGGCGTGATCCGCCGCGCGGCACGTTGGCCTCCCAGCGGTGTCCGGATTTTTCAAAATGGCGCCGCGAGATCGCGCACTCCCTTATCGGGCGGCCGGCCGTCGGTGTGCCCTAACCTCCGCGACGCGGTCGCTCGCTCGTCCCGGAGGGCTCTCGGGGCACGTCGCTGGGCGTGCTCGCCGCCGCGAGGGCGGCCCTGGAGACGCGTCGACGTCGGCGGCGTCGTCCCCTGCCTCCTTCTCCTTCCCCCGTGGGCGCCGTCGACGGCGACGGCGACGTCGTCGTAGCGCGCTGGCGATGGCGTGGACCCGCGCGACGCCTCTCCGCCGGAGCAGGCTCTTCTCTCGCTCTCTCCGGTCGGCTGGACTGGTCCGGGACAGCGAGACGGGGCACCCTGGTCGTCGTGCACACCGCGCGCGTTCTTCCTCTGGGCCCTCGCCTCCTCTGGCGCGCCTCTCCTCGACCTTACCAACCTTCGAGCCAACCTACAACCTTACCCTTAGGCGCGCACACCTACGCCGGGGAGGCCCACCGACAGGGCGCGCGCGAGCGTCCCACCGACGCGCACCCACCGACGCGCAGCCCGCGCACCTACACGCGCACCGCGAGAGCGCGCCCAGGAGTGTGGGGTGGAGTAGACGGGTGTGCGCACTGCGCGCGCGCGCCCGTCGCGTACAACGGACCCCGCGGGGAGAGTGTGTCGCCGAGGCGCCCCGTGCACCGACGACGCCGGAGTTTCCATGTAGACTGCCGACACGATGGGCGCGCGCGAAACGGAACGCGCAGGGCGAGGGTGTTGGTGCGCGCCTACGAGCGTGCGGTTAAGTAGAGGCGCAAAGGTATTCGTATACGCGGACAAGTACGTATACCCGGGAGAGTGGAGTACCCCGACGCGCGCGCGCGTGCCCCGTTTACGAAACGGAGTACACGGACGGTGAAGCGGGGTGAGTGAGCGGCACACTCGTCCACGTGCGCGCCAATGGGAAGCGCGCACGGTCCCGATGCGGCCGCACACTCGCGCGACCGACCACGAGTACATAGTCGGTACATAGAGGAGCGCGCGAGGAAGGAATAAGGAGCGCACGCGGTGGAAATATGGATTGGTGGTTGTCACCGTATATCCGTGCACGTATTCCCGCCCGGCCGTCGTCTTTTAAGCGAAAAGGCTGCAACCGCGTTTTCTGCCGTCGCGAGGGGGGCTACACGTTTACGTGTTAATAACGCTGCCCGCTAGAAATTGTATCGCCCGAGAGTCCCGCGCCGTCCTGGGACGGTTCTATAGGGATCGCTTTTCCCTCCGTTGCCCCGTTAAACCAGAAACCGTCGTTTTGTCCCGGATAATGGTGAATGCAGTTGCGGTCGTTTAGCTTACGGCGTGCTTCGACGTGCACGCCCCAAAAAACCCCGCTGTCGGGTCGAATCGCTATTTGGCGTTAACCCGAGGTGAACTTTCTCGTTTCATGCGTTTCCCCTATTTCGCGTGAATTCGGATTAACGTACGTTTAGTAAGCCGGCGCGCCGCTTGCTCCGGTCGCGAAGGCACGTGCCCATGTAACACGTGCATTATCTTACGAAGTGGCGGCAATCGTTTCTTACCATCGAACCTACGACCTGCCAGCTCTCGTACATAACGCGCGAAGACCGATATGCCCTAGGGGATAATATCCTAAATTATCGCGAATATTTGCCGCGTCCCTTTCTACAGAGTGTGCAGATTTTAGCAACCCCCGTACCTGCGAGCACGTACTTCGGTAACCTTGCACCAACACCAACCCCACCCATATTCGTTCATCTAACCCACGGTCTCGTATCCCACTGATTTTATAACCAAACTCATCTACGCACTCCCTCGTTCGATACTACACTCTTCTATACACCGACGACCTTATGCCGACACGTCCTCCCATACTGTACTGCCCTACCCTGCACGTGCCTCTCTGGTACATATTTAGTGGCTTTATATAAACGCATTCCCATATATTTATTTCTATCTCGCAGCGACTAAACCGATTTGTATATACCGTTTCGTCCAAAACCGCATGTTTCTATACTCTGGTGACTTTATCCCGACAGGATCCTCACCCTCGTTTCAGCAACCCCGCATGTTCCAATACCCTGGTGACTTTGTACAACACGCGTACTCGCGCATTCGTTCCAGCACCCATATTCATGTACCCTGGTGACTTTTTATATATCTACGCGTACAGGACATTTGTTCTCATACCGCATATTCCATTACTCTGGCGATTTTATATCAACGTATCCTAATACACTCCTCTCTCGCCCTACACCTATTCTATACCCTACTACACCGACGCATCTCGCATTCATTCGTTCTCCCAACCCGCATGTTCCTCTACTCTGGTGACTCTGCACCACGCGTGCACCTACACTCCGGCAACTTTGGCGCGCATTCGTACCGCGCAGCCACGCGCGGAGTATATAAGCGCGCCGTTAGCGACGCGGCTCACACAGTCGCAAGCCAGCGACTCGTGTGCGCGCATAGGGGTTGCGCATGTGTGCGTGCCACGCGCGAACCAGCTGTGCCTGTAGGGAAACCGGTGTGATTGTGTGGTATGGCTGGTAGGTTAGGACGCGCGCGCTCGAGCCCCCTCTACCTTCAAGATCCAACCTCCAACCTACATAACCTACGCCACCTACTTCGGCCGCTTTTCCCGCGGATACGCATCCCCGTCAGCAAGAGCCAATTTGTGGTTAGGATATGCCCTGCCTGCTCGAAGACGCCAAGAAAAAAAAAATTGAACTTGGACTCAGGCATGTTGAGAAGACTATTCTTTGAATTATGGATTATAAACAATTATAGAAATCTAAATGCAGTTGACAATTACGATCGTGGCACCATGCGACGCATGACTCAAGGGGACCAATGCTGAACTTCGGAATGGTGATAAGGATCGAGACGATTGGATCAAAGCGGAACAGTAGCAGGGAATGATTAAGAGGATTTATGAAGTAAAATAGGATATTATAAAACGAGATTATCATAATTATGGGTATAACGTGCAAGTTAGTGCGGACGATAAGCTTAGACTCGGGTGCATACTTTGCTTAAATTTGTTTAGACTAAGGAATTGGATTTTTTATCGCCAATGACATTGTCTTCTTTTTTTTACACAGCTCTCTGTAAACCGTTATCTTATATTGGAGTTAATGGCTAAGATTACGTGTTATTATCTCTAATGAAATTTATGATATACGATTAACGAAGTACAGAGAAAGCGTGGAATCTAGTGATCGCTAAAAAAAAACGAGTATGTAATTGTTTATATTATTTTAATTACTTCTGCAAATGAATAATTTAACAAAGAAAGCATTTGGACTTGCCTTTTAAATTTGGCAAATATAAAATTCATCCTCGAGGACAAGAGATATCAGTCCACAAAAATAGGATCCTATGTGAAAGTAATGAGTCACAGATACCACATTCCGCTTTTGAATGACGCAGATTATGTCAAAACTAATGCAAGCTTAATATTAATTGACATCTTTTAAAAACAACTAAGAAAATCCTATTCCACAATTAGAAAATAAAAGTAAAGATGTCCTCATTGCCAAACAGAATCTTTTCAAGATAACTCGATGAATATATTTTAAACTTCCAGAAACATCGTAAACTCATTACGTGTTGATCTTTTCTGTATCACTAAAGTGTCATCTTATTAAAACCCTCGAATATTAATGAAATGTTAAATCAATAAATGCCTTTCCTAGAAATACAATGCTTTTGATATTTAACGTGTCAGCATCAGAATTGACAATGTCCAGAGTATTTTAAACTTCACCCCGTGTCCAGAATAAAAGATTCCCAGCAAGTAGAATTTTGACGTTTAATCCAGCGGAGCCCAGATGAAATTACAGGGGAAATAACGGCAGAGGAGGCAGGAAGAGCAGTCGCGTTATAGGTTATGATGCCAAGTGCCAAGAGTGCCGCCATTAGTGCGTGGCAGGCGCGGAGCAAACAGCGGCCCATAATTTCTTCCATGGAGCGCGAATCGGCGCGTATGTTACACCCCCTTAAAGTTAATCGACACGCCACGGGGAATTAACCCATTAGCATATGACCGAGTTTACAGAGGCTCGCGCATCCAGGGCGTCGCGTGCTCCGAATACGGCCCTGCCGATCCGCGCTTTTCCTCCGCTCGAAATCCTCTCCTGTGAGGATTTTGACATTTGACCGGTCAGGCCCGAAGGCAGCGGAGGGACGGTCGGGCGGACCTTTAGGTGCCACCGGAGGTTATGATACCGACGATTCGCTATCCCGCCATTACTCGGACGAGGCGCGGAGCGAGGAGGGCCGCCTCGGCGAGAACAGCTGCCGCCGCTTGAAGCGAGTCGCGTTTCTATCCCCACGTCGCGCGTCGCGATCTCGCCGACTCGGCCGCGCTTCGGCGGACGTTCACGCGTAGGGACGAACGGAGACAGATACGGGCCGCGCGAAAAGCCGCGCTATTTAAATCCACTGACCGTTAGCAGCACCAAATGCCAAGCTGGGACAGGCTCCGCTCCGCTCCGACGGCCGATTAACCGTTCTCGCGTGGAAATTCTTCACATACGCTCTGTGTTTATTTGGGCCCCGACGTCACGGATCTTCCTTACCTCCGTCGAGGAAAACTGCCAAGATGGCCGCCGGCCCGAGTCACGTGACCGCGGGTTCTATGACGTGCGCGCGGCGGTTAAAGGGACGCGGACTCGGCCAATTGCAGCCCGCGTCGCGGCCCACGTGACCCACTTGCCGAACGCTCTTGGCCAATCGGGACGCTCGTACTAGGCGCCAAGTTGCAACATTGTAGTGCAAGGTGTGGACCGTCCCTTTGCAATGTGCACTCTCCGCGACTCTTATTGGCGAGCCGGCGGCCAATCAGAGCGAGAGAAAATTAGTGGCATTGAAACCATTTATAAATTGGTTTTCTCTTTTTTTTCCTTTTCTTTTTCTTTTTTTTTCTAAATAAATATGAATTTTAGGAATTTCATGTTCAACTAAGAATTTGGAATTGCAATACTTAAGGGACTTGAGTCGATGTGATAAATACTACGTCAGTCCATTTACAGGCAAAGATGTTGACAGTAAAAGAGGATTTTAAAAACAGAATTCTTATTCTATTGCGAATCAGTTTTGCACTAGTGATTCTTCCAGTATATACAATTATAAAACTAATTAATATAAGACGATTCGTTTAATATGCATATGATGTAAGGTATTGTTAACTGATGTCCTCTTCCTCATTATCAAATGATAAAACCGACCTTTTATGCTTCGTCTTTTTTGACTTTTTACTAGACGAATGGTCCTCTGAATTTGGTTCGGTAGTCCTTGTTTTCCGAAATACAATTTTTTTGGTCAGGTCTGCTGGAGTGTTTGCCTCCTCTGCATTAAACAAGAAGTATATATCATTTCTTTAATTTTGATCAGGAATAAATAAAAAAAATATAACTACAGCTTCAAGTATTAATAATACATTGTTGATATTAGTATGTTGTCATGTATGGTGTTGTTGACATTAGTATTGATGATAAAAAAAAATTGAAAATATATATTACATAGTTAAATACTGAAACAATATATACCTTCTTCTTGTTTATCTTGATATGCTTGTGCTTCATCGGCAGTTAAATCTCCACTCTTCAACACAACTACGACTGGTTTTTCTTCTTCTCTGTCTTCATAATCTTCTGCGGTAGCTTCGGGTAAAGCTTCTCTCTACACAAATGATATAACTTCATTTTGAATTTAATATTTAAATGAAATGTCAATTCCTTTGCTGTGGTTTGTATGTAAATAAGTTTCTAATCTAGATGTGACGTAAGAACTTTGATAACACGACACTTTTAATACAAAACACCTGCATTTTATTTAGAACCTCGGATCTCACCTTCGTGTCCACGGTCGGTCCTTCTTTGTAGCCAATTTTTTCCTTTAGCTCGCGTAAAAATTTTGGCTCCTCAGGCTTTAAGTATGCAACATTGTGTTTTCGCTTAGACATCACTACTATATTGCAAGATACAAAAAACAAGGATCAGTGACACTTTAATAAACACATCTAACCTCTATTCATCAAGCCTCCAACAAGCTCAATTTACAAGCTTTCTATTGCTTTTCATAGGAACGATCCATCTTTCCGTACCGATTTAATGCAACGCCATTGGTTGCATTTTATACGGTAGTTTTAACCGCCCAATCACAGCGCTTTAAACAGCTCTAGGGGAAATGGAGTGATTTAGTAAACTAGCGCATTCTGAGGGAAATTGACGCGCCATCTGCTAGTAAAACTCAGCATTTGACTGAGTGTAATTTCATTGAATGTCAATATGCAACAGAGTTGAGTTGGGAGATTCCTCACGGGCAGGGTCGCGCGACGCGTCCTGTGCTGCTTCTGGTGGAGGATGTGGACGGCTAATGCACTTGCCACCTGATACCCCCCAATTCAGGGATCCTCCTCATCTCTGTGATAACAAACATCGTTTAACATCTTTTAACATCTCTTGCCAACACGTCCAGCAAGATCTGCGGCGATGAACTACACATGATGACTTGAAAAAAGGTTGATCACAACAGGATTCATTTTTTTTTCAAGTCATCAAGTGTAGTTCATCGCTGCAGATCTTGCTGGACTTGTTGGTAAGAGATGTTAAAAGATGTTAAACGATGTTTGTTATCACAGAGATGAGGAGAATCCCTGAATAGGGGCGCCATTGGGGGGTATCAGGTGGCAGGTGCATTAGCCGTCCATATCCCCCACTGCGGGGCAGCACAGGCCGCGATAGCGCGACCCTGCCCGTGAGCAGTCTTGAAACTCATCTTTGATAATACATGGTTCATAATGCATAATATATCATACATTATTCATATAATCAATCATAACTTCGCTTAAAATTGCGCTTTACTTCTATCCGAACTCTGATTGGGTTTTTATCCATAACAAGTCAATGCCAGAGATGAGTTGGGAGATTGCTCACGTGCAGGGTCGCGCGATCGCACCGTGTGCTGCCCTCTGATTTCGTACGT